TCCCTGGTCAGGGAACTAAGATTCCACTTGCCATATGATATGGCCAAAAATAAATAAATAAACCAATTAATTAATTACACATGTCTAGAGCCAGGTTTCCACAGTAATATCCTTTGAGGGCCTGATGAGTGGATTAAATCAGAATGTTGGTGTAATGCTGAAGCATTACAGTTCACAACCAATTTTGTGTCTTCATTTGCTCCCCTGCAACTTTTAAGACATTTGTTCACATCCATTTACCCTAATTTGCAGACCTCAAGGAATTTTCTTGGTCTAACCAGTTTGCCTCTATGTGTCCATAGGATTTGCTTGGTTTGGCAAGTAAATATCAATTATGGTCATTTCCGGAAACTTCTGTCCAAATACGCCTAATCATTCTGAGGCACAAGAATAATGGGGGGGGAAGAAAAAAAATAATGGGGGGAAATTGTTTGTTGACTTTCTGTTGTATAACAGCACTACTGGGTGCTTTCATGTCATCTTACCCTACAAATTAGACTTGTCATTAAGTCAAAGCATTAACAAAATTTTTGCTATGTGGATATTAGTTTTGGACCTGAACCATAGCAGGCGTTTAAAAAAAAATGATTTTTGACAGAATAAACTTTCTTCTACATTTTAACCTAAATTTCACAAACATTCAAGCCTGGGTAGACATGCTCCCAGCCATAAAATGAGACTGAAAACCAATGAGTTCTTGGGGAAACTGGACTGTATGGAGCTGTTTTTAGTAAATTCATCAATAAATATTTACTGAGCAAATAATATGTGCTCAAACTATGAAAAGACCTGGGGCTTGTGAGAACATGGTACTCCAGGAGCTGAGGTGCAGGTAGGGAGACTAGATCAAGACTAAGGAAAGTTTACCTAGTTGGCCCACACTGGCCTGGACGTGACTACAAGTGAATGTGCAGAGACCTTTGTAGGTTTTCAGGAGAGATCTCTTGGCAGGACTGAGAAAGGATTTAGTGGGAAAGAACTGGATTCAGTGTTGGGACATGTGGGCTCTAGTTCTGGCTGAGGCTCAACTGGCTGGAAGACTTGGGGTAAGTAAGTCCCTTAACTTCTCCAGACATCAATTTTAGCCCCTTTAGAAAATAAAGGAGGGTGGTGGTATTGTTGAACTGCTCAGTTATTAAAGTGTTAGTCGTTCAATCACGTCCAACTCTTTGGTGACCCCGTGGATGTAGCCTGCCAGGCTTCTCTGTCCGTGGAATTTTTCAGGCAGTACTGGAGTAGGTAGCCATTCCTTTCTGCAAGTGATCTTCCTGACCCAGGGATTGAACCCGGGTCTCCCTTATTACATGAAGATTCTTTACCATCTGAGCCACCAGGGAAGCCCATTGTTCAGTTATTAAGTGCCTTCCAATTCCTAGAATCTAAAATTTTGACAGCCATACTTATTTTTTCCTTTGAGAAGAAAATACTTCCTATACTTGGAATTGCAACAATCAATGGCATTTAAAAAATACCCACTAATACCCTAGGAGACTGGGCCATAAATCCTCCCCAGGTTCCTTAATCATTATTTTTAATCATGGCAAAATGCACATCATTTACTATCTTAATCATTTTTAATTATATAGTTCAGTAGTGTTAAGTACATTTACCTTGTTGTGTAACCATCACCACCGTCTGTCTCCAGAACACTTTTTATCTTGGAATACTCAAACTCTGAACCCATTAAACAGTAACTCCCCATTCTCCTCTCTCCTGCCTCTTTATTTTCTGTCTCTATGAATTTGACTACTTATTGTATTGAATATCTTATATAAGAGGAATCATACAATATTTGTCTTTTTGTGACTCACTTATTTCACTTAGCATAATGTCCTCAAAGTTCATCCATGTTGTAACATGTGTCAGAATGCCCTTCTTAAAGGCCAGATAATATTCTGTTGTATGCACACCATTTGTTTTTTATCCACCCGTCGATGGACACACTCAGCTGCTTCCACCTCTTATCTCTTCTGAGTAATGCTTCTATGAACATGGTACTTCTATATCTTTTTGAGACCTTACTTTCAGTTTTGGGGGGTATATGCCCAAAAGTGGAATTGCTTGATAATATGGTAATTCTATTTAAAAATTTTGAAAGATACACTGGTCTGTTTTCCATAGTAGCTGTACCATTTTACATCCTCACCCACAATGCATAAGGGTTCCACTTTCTTCAGCCTTGTCAACCTTTGTTATATTCTTTTCTTTTTTTAAGTGGCCATCCTTATAGCTATGAAGTAGTATCTAATTGTGATTTTGATTTGCATTTCCCTAGTGCTTAGTTATATTAAGCATCTTCTCATGTGTTGTCATTTACATATCTTCTTTGGAGAAATAGATATTTAAGTCACTTTTTAAATCAAGTTGGTTTTGCTATTATTGAGTTGTAGGAGTTCTTTATATACTCTAAATAGTAACTCCTTGGCACATTCATGATTTGCAAATATTTCCTCCCATTCCATGGATTGCCTTTTCACTCTGTTGATTGTGCCTTATGATGCACAGAAGTTTTAAACTTTGATGTAGTCTAATTTATCTGTTCTTTTGTTGTCTGTGCTTTTAGTGTCATACTGAAGAAATCATTGCTAAATCTAGTATCATGAAGTTTTCTCCTTATGTTTTCTTCAACATTTGTATAGTTTCATCTTTTACATTTAGTTCTTTCATGCATTTTGAATTAACTTTTGCATAGGGTGTGTGAAGTATGAGTTTAATTTCCTTCTTTTGCATGAGGATATCCAGGTTTCCTAAAACCATTTGTTGGAAAGACAGGCTTTTCTCCACTGAATGGTCTTGGCACCTTGTTGAACATCACTTGACTATATATATGAGGGGCTTCCCTGATGGCTCAGTGTAAAGAATCCAACTGCCAATGCAGGAGATGAGGGTTGGATCCGAGTCGGGGGAGGGAGGTCCGGTGGAGAAGAAAATGGCAACCCACTCCAATACTGGTTGCCTGGGAAATCCCATGGACAAAAAGAACCTGGCAGGCTACAGTCCATGGGGTTGCAAGAGTCGCACATGGCTTAAGTACTAAACAACATATATGAGAGGATTTTGAGCTATAAACTTTGTGTGTGGGGGGGGTGGGTACAGAAAGGATATGGTCTCTGCTTTAAAGAAGCCTCAGCAGAGTTGAATACTCAGATTCTGTTTCATACAGCATTTGTCCACTGCTGGTTGTGTGCACAGTGGGTGCACGTTTTCCCACACTTTATCTCTTAATCTTCCCAGTCAAACAGTGAGACAGGTAAGATAATCCCCTTTAACAGAGAAGTAAACTCAGTCCCCAGAAGAGCACGGTTATGTTTTATGTAGGGGCAGGGACAGAGTCAGGATTTGAACCCAAAGTTATTGGTTCCATATGTCCCGTCGGGTTAGGATGGACCTCCTGTTCTCATCTCTAAAATGCAAGCAGAAGTGAAATCAGATCGTCTCTATTGAGCAGCCTTACAGCTGTAAGATCCGATGCATGAAGGGGTCACTAAAAGCCATGGACCAAGCGTGAGGTGTAGACGTTAGACACCACTAAATTGCAGAAAAAAGCCTATACTCCCAACGGCGGCCCGGAAGACCACAGTCCTGGGACCGGAGCCCCGCCCCCGGGCGGACCCCAAGTCTTTACCCGGAACTAGGGCGCGGCTGGGCTGTGCTAATGGCATGGGTGGCAGACGAGCAAAAGAAAATTGCCTGCGACGAGATTCTCATTGAAATGTCCCTATGACCCCCCCGGATGGAGAGATTACTACTTCAGAATGCCTCTCGGATTACCTCCGATGCCTCTCTCCCTTTTACTCACCTCCCGTGGCGTTCTTTCTTTCCCTTTGCCCCTGCACTGGAAGTCCTTTTGGTACGCCCCCACCCCGACTGGGAGGGGCGAGGTGCCCTCGCAGCAGCACTGCGCATGCGAATCCCGCCGAGGCCGGGTGGGGCGGCTGGGTGGGAGCACGGACCCCGCCCCTTCGCGACTCCACGCGTGACGTCGCGGGGGGCGCCGGCCTCCGCCCGGCTGCGAGCGGTGAGAGCGCGCGGCGGGCAGACCCGACGCTGCTAGAGCGGGAAGGGATGAGGGTGTTGAGTTTCTGCAGTAGGGGCTTGGCGGGGGAGGGGAGGCCTAGGGGTACCACCACCCGCCGACCTCTGGCTCTGCCCTCCGCCTTCCTGCCTTTTCCGTCCTTCCAGATGTGCCAGGGCCGGGGCTGAACCTTGGTGACACCTGCATTTCCCTGGGACCCTCCTTCTCCCCCAGCCCATCTGTTTATCTCACCTTCCAGATGTTCCTTTTCATCAGGCTGTCGCTTCTTGCCAGGGAAAGAGCACTCCACTTGGAAGAGGAGCCGGGTTTCAGACTTTGGCCCTTCCACTGCTTTGTTAAAATGCCCGAACCTCAATTGCCCCGTAGTTATTTTTGCCTTGTCCCACCTGGTTTTGAAGATCCATATGACCCAGAGAAATAGAAAGGAAATGAACATTTGTTCAGTTCTTGTAAGGCCAGGTACTAGGGCAACTTTTATCTGCCCCATTTAGTCCTCACTACTTGATGTTCCTAGAACTCCCATTTCACAGATTTCCATTTCACTCACACAGGTTCGCTGATTTGTCTCCTTGAGCCAGTGAGTGGCAGAGGAGGATTTCAGTTGAGTTTAGCTCCAACGTGGAGTTTTTTTCGTCTTGTCTTACTTGTCTTACTCGTCTTACTTGCCTGGACTCTCAGCTGGAACCCTGGCCAAACCGTAGCCCCGGAACAGCTGCTTCCTGAATTTCTCCCCTGGAGAATTCTCCTTTTTGAGTTCCTTTTTCCTGCACAACATACTCTGCTCTGCTTCCGCCTTGATTACTTCAGAAATGAAATTCAGCAAACATTTATTGAGTGGTGCATGGAGATGAACACTCGGAGTCAAGAGCCTCGGATTCCTGTCCTGGCTCTGCCACGCTGACTGGCTGTGTGGCCTTGAACAAGTCCCTTGTCTTCCTGATGCTTTAACTTCCCTTTGAATAAAATGGGTAAGTGCCTTCTTACTGGCAGGCTCTTGTCCAGTTCTCCCTTCCTGTCCTCCAGCAGGCTCTTCCCGGAGGCTCAGACCCCTCTGCTCCCCATGGGCAGCTGCCAGGCAGGGCACTACCTGCATCTCTGCCTGGCCCACAACCCACCTCTGGTCTGTGCCACTTTGATCCTGCTTCTTCTTGGCCTTTCTGGCCTGGGTCTTGGTGGCTTCCTCCTCACCCACAGAACTGACCTGCGCAGCCCTGACATCCCCCAGGTGAGTACTCACCCTCCTGCTCATCCATCCCCTGCAGGCTGCTTTTTGCTGCTAATCTCTCACCTCTTCTCACCTTCTTTTTCTACACAGGACTGGGTCTCCTTCTTGAGATCTTTTGGCCAGCTGACCCTGTGCCCTGTGAATGGGACAGTCACAGGGAAGGGGCGTGGGTCTCATGTCGTGGGCTTACTGACCACCTTGAACTTTGGAGATGGTCCAGACAGGAACAAGACCCAGACATTCCAAGCCCAGGTCCAGGGTAGTCGGATGGGATTGAAAGGTGAGACCAAGGGGGAATTGTGGGGTCGGATATCAGAACACTCAGGGGTGGGGCCCTGCCTCTGACCTCACCATCCTGGTGACCTTGGCCACATCTCTGGGCCTTAATCACTTCTATAATAGGACTAGACATTTTCAGTGAACACAATGCCCACTGTGTAGATTCTCGATAAATGTTTTCTCTGTCCCCTTCCAGCTTTGAGGTTCTTTGATTCTATCCTTGGAGGTGTGGTGAGATGGGCAAGATTTGACCTAAAGTTCTTTTTCAGTCCTCTTCACCCCTTGGGGCTTCTGTTAGAGGCACCTTCGTTTTTCCTCAGGGATATCAGAAAAGCACGTTCTATTTATTTAACCTGGTGTCTTTAGTGCCTGATCCGTGCTTGATACAGTGCCTGATACAGCTCTGTGTGCTGTGAAGTATACAGAAAAATTAGACTTTTTCCATTCCCAAATTGCTTAAGTCTTCTGGGAAAATGACGAGAGTGAGTGAGTTGGGAGTGCCGTTAATTCCTGGGTGAGATTTGGCCTCAAGTTCCTTATCTAAAGACTGGAAATGAAGAAGGAGGAGAGAAAAGTGGAATTCTTAGACTTCTTTGGTCCTTTCCAATGCTATCATTCTAAGATTCTCCATGGAATCAATATGTATATGTGTAGGGAGGCACACATATATATATATATTGCCAGGTGAGAGTAGGTCTTTATATTGTTACTTGTACATGTGTGTGATCAGAGAGCAAGAATAAAGGAATGTATATGATATATACAGACTTGGAACATTTTTTTCCTGTTATTTTTATGTAAAATATATATAAAAGATTCACATATCATAAAATACACCTATTTAAAATGTACAAGTAAATGGCTTTTTTTATATTAAAAAAAATGTGCAGCTGTCACCACTGTTCATTCTAGAACATTTTCATTACCTGATGAGGAAATCTTGTCCCCATTAGCATGCACTTCCCTTTTTCTCCTAACTTTCCAGCCCTAGGCAACCAGTAATACTTTCTATCTGCAGATATGCCTTTTCTGGACATTTCATATAGTATGTTGTCTTTTGCGATTGGCTTCTTTTACTTAGCATAATGTTTTCAAGGTTCATCCATATTTTATGTTATGTTAGTACTTCATTTCTTTTTATTGCTGAAAAGAATTCAGTATATGCATATTCCACATTTTATTTATCCATTCATCAGTTGATTAACATTTGAATTGTTTCCATTTCTTACCTGTTACAAATGATACTGCTGTGAACACTAATGTACAAGTTATTGCATTATTCTGTGTTTTCATTTCTTTTGAGTAAATACCTAGAAGTGGAGTTTCTGGGTCATATAGTAACTGTATGTTTAAAAAACTGCTAGACTGTTTTCCAAAATGACTGTACCATTTTATATTCCTTCCAGCAGTGTATAAGAGTTCTAATTTCTTCACATTCTCACCAACACTGGTTATTGCCTGTTTTTTGACTATAGCGTTCCTAGTCAGTGTGAAGTGATACCTAATTATGGTTCTGATTTGCGTTTTTTTTTTAATTGAAGTACAGTTGATTTAGTGTTGTGTTAATTTCTGCTGTACATCAAAGTGATTCAGTTATACATATATATATTCTTTTTCATATTCTTTTCCATTATGGTTTATCACACAATATTGAATATAGTGTCTTGTGCCATACAGTAGAATCTTGCTGTTTATACATCCTATATATAATAGTTTGCTTTGGCTAACCCCAGACTCTCAACCCTCCCTCTCCCACGCCCCCTTTCCCTTGGCAAACACAAGTCTGTTCTCTATGTTTGTGAGTCTGTTTCTGTTTCGTAGCTATGTTCATTTGTGTTGTATTTTATATTCTGCATATAAATGATATCATATGAAATTTGTCTTTCTCTTTCTGACTTAACTTCACTTGGTGTGATAATCTCTAGGTCCATCCATGTTGCTGCAAATGGCATTATTTCATTCTTTTCTATGGCTGAGTAGTAAGTATTTAGGTTGTTTCCAGGTCTTGGCTGTTGTGGGATGCATGTGTCTTCTTGAATTATAGTTTTGTCTGGATATATGCCCAGGAGTGGGATTGCTGGATCATATGGCAACTCTATTTTTAATTTTTTAAGGACCTTTCCGACTGTTTTCTGTAGTGGCTGCACTAGTTTACATTCCTACCAACAGCGTAAGAGGGTTCCCTTTTCTCCACCCCTCTGTCAGGATTTGTTATTTTTAGACTTTTTTTTTTTTTTAGACTTTTTGATGATGGTCATTCTGACCAGTGTGAAGTGGTACCTCGCTGTAGTTTTGATTTGCATTTTTTAAATAATTAGCGATGATGAACATCTTTTCGTGTGCCTATTGGCCATATCTATGTCTTCACTGGAGAAATGGCTCTTTAGTTCTTCTGCCCATTTTTTTAATTGTGTTGGGTTTTTTTGTTTGTTTGAGTCGTATGAGCTGTTTGTATGTTTTGGAAATTAAGTCCTTATCAGTTGCATCATTTGATTTGCATTTTCTTGATGACTGATATATTGAATATTTTTTTCATATGCTTATTGGCCATTTGTGTATCTTCTTCAGAGAAATGTATATTCAGAGTCTTTGTTCATTTTAAAAATTGGAAAAATTTTAATTATTGAGTTGTAGCAGTCTCTTTTGTTTTCTAGATACAGGCTTCTTATCTGATTTATGATTTGCAAGTTTTCTCTCCCATCTCTGTGTTGTCTTTTCACTTCGTTAGTGGTGAGCTTGGAAGCATGAAAGTTTTCATTGAGATGAGGTCCAGTTTCTATTTTTGTTGTTGTTACTGCTTGTGATTTTAGCATTATATCTAACAAGACTTTGCCTAACCCATAGTCACTAAGTATAGATTACTACTATTATTTTCTTGTAAGAATTTTGTATTTTTAGCTCTTACATTTAGATTACTGTGATCAATTTTGAGTTAATTTTTTTGTGTATGGTGTGAGGATAGAGTCCATCTTTATTCATTTGCAGGTACTGTTCAGTTGACCTGGCACATTTTGTTGAGAAGACTATTCTTTCCTCATTGAATAACCTTGGCACTCTTACTGAAAGCAATTGACCATAGACATATGGATTTATTTCTGGATTTCAGTTCTATTCCATTGATCTATGTCTCTACTTATGCTAGTACCACACTGTTTTGATCACTGTAGCTTTGTTGTAAGTTTTAAAATCAGAAAATGTGAATTCTCATCTATGGCTGTACCACCCTGACTCAGAAGCTAAGCAGGGTCGAGCCTGGTTAGTACTTGGATGAGAGAAAATGCGAACTCTCCAGCTTTGTTCTTTTTTTTTTTTAAAGATTGTTTTGGCTATTCCAGATCCCTTGAATTTTCATATTATTTTTAGGATCAGCTTGTCAGTTTCTGCTTCTGCATGGTTAGAAACAAAGTTGTAACATTAAAGATTGTTTTGGACCAAGTGAAAAGTAATCACATATGATTGCATTGTAATTATTTGACACCTACTATGTACCAAGCATGGGGAATAGAGCAGTCTGTAAGATATGGATCCTCATCTCAAATCACTCACAATCTAGCAAGGATACAGATGTGAACAGAAGTAAATACCTCTCAGCATGTGCAGTAAAACACAGGGTACAGTGAGAGTACTCATAAGTCTGTCAAGCAGGGATGGTGAAGACAGGCCTTTCCAAGGATATAGGCAGGGATTGAACTGAGGCTTGAGGGAGGCTTAAGAATGTGCCCTTTCAACCAGTGCGTGCACATGTGCATGATTGCTGTTGTGTCCAGTTCTTTGTGACACTGTAGACTGTAGTCCACCAGGCTCCTCTGTCCATGGGATTCTCCAGGCAAAAATATTTAAGTGGCTTGCCATTTTCTCCTCCAGGGGATCTTCCTGACTTAGGGATTGAACCTGTGTCTCTTGCGTCTCCTGCATTGGCAGGCAGATTCTTTACTGCTGAGCCACCTGAGAAGCCCCATTCCGGCCAGAGGGAAGAGCATATGCAAAAGCAGGCAGACGGGGATTACATGGCACATTTAAGAACTTCCGGGGGTTCAATTTGTTGCAGGGAAAGGAGTATTGATGAGTGGCAGGAGATGGATCTGAAGCAGCAGGCAGAATTTCATGAAGAGTCCCTTTTGCCAAGCCAAGGTGGTTGGACTTGTAACTAGTATATTTGGCTTACTCAATGAGTTTAATCAGAAAGATAGTAGAATTTTGTTCTTTTTAAAAGATCATACTCTGTTGGCTGACTCCCTGGAAGGAATGGGTCAAGGTGCACGAAGACCAGTTAAGAGGTGATTGTGATAAAAAGATGATAAGAACTTCCCTGGTGAACCAATGGTTAAGACTGTGCACTTCTAATGCAGGGGCATGGGTTCCTTCCCTGGTCAGGGAACTAAGATCCCACTTGCAGCATAGTGCAGCCCCCCAAAAAAAGACGCTAAGAAAAATTGAGTTAAGATGGTGGTGTGAAAGAGAGGGACTGATTTGAGAGAGTTGATAGAAGTGTGAGATGGATAGGATTTGGTGAGAGATTTAATTTAGGGAACATAGAAGAATGGGGAATTCTCTTAGAGAATTTCACAAATATGTTTCTTAGTTGCAATTATGATGTATATACTGGTTTGTATTTTTTTTTTTCACTTTATGATGTTATGTTTTCTAAATTACTGAATGGCCAGAACATTATTATTTTAATGGATATAAATTGATCTGTTAATTGGTTAGGCCAACCTTTGTTAATGCTTTCTCTACTGATAAACATTTTTGTTTTCTACTTTTTGGTATTTTTCATGAAATTACAATAAACACTTGGTATAATTTGCATTTTTCTTTTGAATCCTTTTCTTAGGATTAGTTTCTTTCTACAAGTGGTATTACTGAGTCAAAGTATGGACATTTTTTTAAATACACAAATTCATTTTGTTGTGGAATCAGATTACATAGAAATGTACAGAGCAAATGTAAAACTCTTCCTTACCTCCCCTGCAGAGTCCACAGTTTGCTGGGCATCCTCTCAGTCCTTCTCTGTCTCCATTTAAAATTGCAACAGAAACAACCAAATTGTCCTCTAAAAGTGTCACCAGTGAAGAGTGCCCATTTCTCCACATTTCAACAACTCTTGTTATCACTCCTTTTAATTTTTACCAACTTAATGGTCCAAGGAATTACCTGATTTTTATTTTATTTTTTTAGTGAAACAAGTAAAGTGATTATTAGGAAAAAAGTACAGTATGTGTGGATAGATACATGGGCAAACTCAGAGAGAGAGAGTCATACCCTTGTGTTAGTTTAAATCACTTGTGTGGGGCATTTCTTCTGGATTTCCTCTGGCCAGTCTTTTTTCTCCTGGGTTGGCAGTTTATTTTTTAAAAAACTAAAAACCCGGTTGTCTTATTTTCTTCCTTGTCCATCATTTTTCTTAATAGAACAAGTTACAAAAAACTGGGGAGGGGGGTTATATTATCTATGCAGACTGACATATTTGCGGATGACCCGTAACAATGATTCAGAAGCTCCTAGGTTTACTCCTGAATCAGGCAAAGTGCAAAGGACAACACAAGAAAGAATTTTGTTTACAAAGTCATAATATGACATTGATTATGACAGTGCAGTGGTTACGATTATGTTCACGATATTCCTTGCCCAAACACCACACAGGCTAAAATCACCAAGCTGCTTACAAACTGGAGGAAGCAGTGCAAGCAGTCATCTGAAGAGTGGGAACCTGAATGGGTAAGGTTTCTTTGGTGGTGAGACTCTGACACCAAGGGCTCCTCGCCTGGGCCACCCTCCCTCATTTGAGTCCTGGTCTTTTGTTTCATCTAAGAGGGCGGAGCAGATCTCCAGCTTTTTCAGTTCTTCTACCAGGTCCCTGTTCTGGTGCATTGTTACAGCCCCCCATGAACTCACTGTTGAGGTACACTTGCGGGATGGTGGAGTAGTCTTTAATGCCTTGCCGGAGCTGACGGTCGTCCAGAATGTTGTAGGCCAGGTAGTCATGGACGCCGTGGAGCTACAGGATCTGCACCACAGCTTTGCTGAAGCTGCCATGAGCTGCTCTGGTGTCCCCTTGAGGAAGACCACCACCTTGTCCTTCTTCACCAATGTGTCCAGGTGTTCCCAAGAGCCGCTGCCGCCCAAGCATTCTGCCCCGCATGCCCAGGACCCGCAGGCTGCTGCCTGCACTGCGCCCGCTGTGAAGCAGAGCTGCTGCCGCCCGGCCCAGAGACCTCATCCCCACACGCTGGCAGGAGCCCTCGGCCCCTGGCAACCTGGGCTGGCCCCTGGCGACCTGGGCTAGCCACTGGCCAGTCATTTTGATTTGCCTGAGTCCGTATTTGGTATATCACAGGATCCTCCCGTGTATGCTAGCGCATCTCTAAGCCAAGGTGGATTCCAGCAAAAAGGCCTATGGGTAGTTTAGCATCACTCCCTTTTTAACCTCCAAGGAGTTTTCTAGACAGGAAGGTCTCCTTGACTTAGAGAATGAGGAATATGTGGTCTCTTATCTGGGTAGGGCCTAGCCTCTCTTGATTGTCCTGCTATTAATATTTTGGAGTCTCTGACCACAGGGAATGAACTCCCAATTGTTCACCCGGTGGGGATGGGCACATCTACCTCCTGCCTCAATCTGACATTGGAAACAGAACCCTCAGGTTGAAATTTTTTTACCCTGAACCCCACCAGTCCCATTGTCTGCTAAAACAAAAATAGCAACATTCTCCATAGAATTTAAACAAGATTATGTTCAGAATCTTGTAAAATAATTCTTAAAATGTCATGATACAACCAAAATTATTCAGCATATAAGGACCACAAAAATTTCAACTTGCACAGGAAAGAATGATCAGTAGATGTCAAAATAGAATACATGTGACAGAATTGTCCGACAAAGATTTTAAGTCAGCCATTATAAAAACGCTCAATCAAGAACACTCTTAAATGCTAAAAATAATCTGTAAAGAAATAGAGAACATAAAGATGTAAATGCAAATTTTGGAATTGAAAATCACAACCACCAAAACTAGAAACTCACTGGCTAGACTCAGTAGCAGACAGAAGGAAAAATCTGAACTTTGACTTTTGTTGTTGTTTAGTCACTAAGTTGTGTCCGACTATTTTGTTTTTGTGACCCCATGGACTGTAGCCCACCAGGCTCCTCTGTCCATGGAATTCTCCAGGCAAGAATACTGAAGTGGGTTGCCATTTGCTTCTACATGATTTTTTAAATTAATTTATTTTTATTGAAGGATAATTGCTTACAGAATTTTGGTGTTTTCTGTCAAACCTCAACATGAATCAGCCATAGGTATACATATATCCCCTCCCTTTAGAAGCTCCCTCCCAGTCCTACCTGATTTTTAAAAATTATTTCTTTGGCCACCTCCAGTCTTAGTTTGAGCATGAGGACTCTAATAGTGGTGTGAGGGCTTAGTTGCTCTGCAGCATGTGGGATCTTAATTCCCTGACTGGGGATTGAACTTGCATCCCTTGCATTGGAAAGGCAGATTCTTAACCACTGAAGCACCAGGGAAGTTCCAGGAATTACCTGATTGTTTTAATTTGCTTTCTCCTGATTGCTAGTGAAGTTGAGCAATTTTCTTACAGGTTTATTGGGCACTTTCATGTATTCGCTGAGTTTCCTATTCATATCCTTCAGTTATTTTTCTTTCAAGATATTTATCTTATGATTTTTTTAAGATCTTTATACATTCTGGATAGTAAACACTTTTGCCAATTAAATACGCTATAGGTATTTTCAATCATTCTGTTACTTTCTTTTTTAAAAACTTACCTTTCATTGTACAGAAGCCTTTAATTCTTATGAAATTTATTGCTCTTGTCCTCAGGCTTTTAAGTTTTGTGTCTTTTTTTGGAAGGCCTTTGTTTCCCACTTTAAAAATGAGAAAATATTCTTCTCTGTTTTCTTTTAATACTTACTTAGGTTTTTGTTTTGTTTTAGTTTATTTACAAAAGGTCTTTAATACATCTGGACTTTATAGTGTCAGGTAACAGTCTAACGTTTTTTCCAAATGGAAATTGTCCCAGGGCCATTGACTGAGTAGGCTATTCTTTTTCCACTAATTTGAAATGAGATGTGAACTTTTTAATGGATTTGGATACCTAGTAGAAAACTGTTTCCTTCAGAAGAACGAACTAGTTTATACAAATTGATAGCAGCAGTGTGTATCTATCTCAGTTTTACTGCAGCCTTCTAAGAACTGGTATGACTGTTTTATTGATTGTGAGCTAACTTAAATTTTGTTTATATTGGTACGCAGTTATTTTCATTTCTCAGTGACATAAATGGTGGTATTAAAGGACTTTCTTGAATACAATCAACATCAAAATACCTGGTACTGTAGGAAGCCTACAGAAATGAATAGATGTCTAAAGATGGACACCTCCCAGAATTTTCTTAACATCTCCTCCCCTGTGCCTCTCATAGGATCTTTTGCAGGAGAGCTGGTCCTCGTTACGGCCAGGGTGACCACAGAAAGGACCCCAGGAACCTGTCTTTATTTTAGTGCTCCTCCACAAATCCTGCCCTCCAGCCAGCCACCGATACCCTGCTCAGAGGAGGGAGCAGGAAATGCCACCCTGAGCCCTCAAATGGCTGAGGAGTGTGTCAGTGTCTGGAGCCACGAAGGTCTTGTGCTCACCAAGTTGCTCACCTCGGTAAGAGCCTCAGTTTGTCGGGCTTTCATAAACTGCCATGCTGACTGCTGTGTCGTGAAGGCCCCTGGAGGTAGCTTTACCAAGGGGGAAAAGTGCAGGCTTTTAATCTTGCCGCAGAGGCTGTGTGACCTTGAGCAAGCATGTGGGCCTTTCAGAACCTTAGCTTCCTCATGTGTAAAATAGAAAATGTGATACTATCTCCTAGTACTAACAAATAAGGATAAATGAGAATGAATGTAAAGTGCCTGGTACAATGCCTGGTACATAATAGATTGGATAAATGTTAGCTATTACTATTAACAATTGTCTTTAGATACAATAAAACATCTTCACCTCAAAGGAGTTCAGAAGCTATAATAAAAGTCAGAATGGGCTAATTGCAATTGGAGAGATGTGAGCAAAGTGTTATTCAAACAGTTGAGGACCAATTAACTCTTAACTTGCAAGTTTATGGGGAGTGCTTCACCAAGAAGGTGGCATTTAAAAAAGGGAATTGTTTACAGTAGTTTATAATGTACAAAGTGCTTTCAGGTTCATAATCTTATTTGATCTTAAAATAGCCTTTTGAGGTAGCTGTTATTATCCCATTTTACAGATGAGGAAACAGAGGGAGTGAATTGCCCCAGGCCACACAACTGGTTAAGTTGGCAGAGCCAGGATTGGTTCAGTGTCTGACTTCCAAGTGTGAGGCTCATTCTGCTCTGTCAGGGTGATCCTTGGAGAATGAAGAAGACTTGGGCGAGGAATGCCATAGAGGGGGTTCGAGAGAGAAGAGACACATTCCAGGCAAAGGGATTAGCATGAGCACAGACCTAGGGATTGAAAAGTGTTCAGTGTTCAGGGGCACTCCACGGTGAAGGCTTAGGAATGACTTAGGGCAAGAGGCAAAGAGATGCAGGGGCCAGGTCATGAGGCACCGTGATGCCTGGCTAAGATGCTAAGATTTGATAACTGCAGGTCACTGGATTCCCTGGGTACACAAGATTGGCTCAGTGGAGGGGAGAGAGAGTTAATAGGCTGCTGAATACACTTTGCTCAGATTGTAAAGACCTTGGTGAGGAACATGACCTGGGAGCTTGGAATCCAGGGATCTTGGTTTCTGGACCTGGCCCTCCTTGCACATTTCAAAACATAGACAGTAGTGAATTTTTCTGTCTCTTGGCATCATTACAGTGTTCAATTTAATGTTTGAGCAAGAAAGTAGACAAGTGTTAGATTGTATAAAAATAGAGGGCTTTCCTGGTGGCTCAGTGGTAAAGAATCCACATGCCAATGCAGGAGACACAAGTTCGATCCCTGGTCTGGGAGGACAGATGCCATGGAGCAGCTCAGCCCATGTGCCACAACTACTGAGCCCACGTGCTGCACCTGTTGAAGCCTCATGCCCAAGAGCCCATGCTCTACAGTAAGAGAAGCCACCTCAAGGAAAAGCCCTCACGCCACAGCTAGAGTAGCCCCCACTCTCCACAACTAGAGAAAAGCCCACGCAGTCACACAGACCTAGCACAGCCAAAAACAAATAAAAATAACATTTTCCCTTTAGTTGTTCCCTGGATATGGAGAGCCTTTTCCCCCATGGAGGCGCTCTCTATAGCCCTTGGCCTGGGGCTGTCTAAGATGTCTTCTTCCCCAGGGAAGATCCTCCACAGACCCTCTCCTCATTCCTCTTCCTCTCCGTCATTCCTCTTCCTCTCCCCGTCCCCACCCCTAGGAGGAGCTGACTCTGTGTGGCTCTCGGCTGCTGGCTTTGGGCTTCTTCCTGATCCTGTTCTGTGGCCTCTGCTGTCTCACTGCTGCGTGCTTCCATCCGCGCCGGGAGTCCCACTGGTCTAGAACCCGGCTCTGAGGGCTCTGGCCTAGTTCCCGTCTCGTTCTCAGGTAAGGTTCTTTGACTCAGTCCTGTAGGAATAGGGGATGAGGTGGGGGTGGCAGTTCTGAGATAGAGCCATTCCTAAACAATACGGTTTGGTTTTACCTATTTCTATACTCTATACAGATGGAATCATACACATCCTTCTGTGACTGACTTCTTTCAGTTAATATTCTGACTTTAAGATTCATAGCTGTAGTTCATGTCCAAGCTTTTTGGCAACAGTGGTGAATTAAGAGGGTTGAAATTTGATTATGTGCCCTGGATATAAATCCTATTTGTCTTGCTTTTTTCATGAAATTCTGATGCCAGTTTTATGATGTAAATTTGGTGAAATTCATCTCGAGCTGCTCAAAAGGATTGATGATGCCCGTTTACTAGACACATACTATGTGCCCGAGTACTTCACATGCACCTTCTCTTTTACATTAGCCATCATTGCATTTAGAAAAAGTTCTGCCAGCAGGATCTTTGGAGGGACACTGCCTCCAAAGTGAGGGTGGGACATATTGGCTAGCTAGTTAGTGTGCTCTCTCATTAAGATAAAAAAATTCTGTAAAGAATCTCATCTTTTCAGGTGAGTCTCGTATATAATTTGAGAGTCATTTTATTGTGTACCCAGCTCTTAAACCGTTTTCAGCTTCGGCTGGCTGCTGTGCCCTAGGAAGCCCCTGTGGGAGAAGCGGAAACAGCCCAGGCCGAGGGAAGAGCGCTAACCAGAGGATCTGGGCCTTTACCATCAACTTTGCTTATCTTGCTTAGGGCTAGGCCTGACTACTGCAATCGCCTACTTGGGTTGGGAAAAGGTGAAACCCTCTCAGCCTTTCTTAGATCTGAGCAGATTGGAAAAGGAAGGCTTTCTGGCTCCTGGCCGGTCCTGGGGTCCTGAGGCCATCTCACTTGGAATAAGTGCCTGTGCTTATCTCTAGTTGTCATTTCCTCTGCTCCTTCGTCAATTTCTGCAGCCATCCCACAGCTTCCTCCAAGGGCCCTCTGACCTGCCCTATCTTTTTTCTTTCTTTCCAGGAGTGGATCAACTTCTTGGGCCTTGATTCTGACTTGGAAGAGATGTTACAAAAAGTGGAGAGCTGGAATATGGGAGGAAATAAAAGGCTTTTTTGCTCAGTGTTTTCCGGGGTGTTGATTGGGGGTTGGAGGTGGGAATTTTAGGGTAGGAAGGCTAGGGAGGTTTGGGGGATTTTTCCTTGTTGACTCATTAGGTTAGGGAACAGGTTTAAGGCATAGATTACTGCAGTTCTTGAGTGTGGTCGTGGAAATGGATTGACATAAATGCAGTGTGACCTTGTGCAGGTCATGGTGCTGTGGAGGGCCTCAGTCTCCTGATGGGATTTGACAGACTGAGCTTTCCTAGCAAAGATTCCTCGAACTTGGGAGCCCACGCCCATGCTGGATACTTACTAACCAGGGCAGTCCGTTTTCCCGCCTTTTCCGCGCCCAGCGGCAGTCTTCCCTTACTCCTCCCAACCTCTACCCTGCACGCAGGCGCAGATCACGGCTTCTCATTTCCTTCCACCCGCGCCCCCTCGAAGCTTCCCCTAGCAACAAGCTCAGGCTCCGCGCTAAGGCGGGGCGAACGCATGCGCCGCATCCCTTTCCACCACCAGTTGGACTGAGCGCTGGGCTCCTCCCTCTCTAAGACTAACCCTTCTCCCGCCTCCTCCCACCCAGGGTCCGCGTGGCGGGGCGCGCGCGCACTCTGGCTGGGTTGCTGCCCAGCTCTGGCAGCAGCAGTAAGGGGAGAGGGGCGGGGCTGCTTCCTTTGGGGCCCCGCCCCGCTTGGCCCGGCGTCCTTACGGCGCTTGCGCGCTCCCTCCCGGTCTCCATCTTGGAATTGGGAGGAAGAGGGAGAGGGAGACCGGGACGAGACCAGGGCTGTGGTGCGGAGAGAGGCTGAGACTGAGAAGAGGAGAGGGAGAGAGGGCACGGGGACCGCCCTTCGCTACAGTCTTTCAGCTATCCTCGGGAGAGAGAAGGGGAAAGGGAGGGGGCTGGGGCGGGAGTGGGGGCTGTCACCCTCGGACCCCGGCGTGAGAGGGGCCGTGCGGTCGGACGTCCTCGGGTAGGCCCCCTGTCGGTGGCGGAAGACCTGGGGCTCAGTCCCCTGGTCCCGAATTTCCGGGCTTGACCCCGCGCTTCTCAGATATCCGGGTATCAGCCCCTGAGATTCCAGATATCCGGGACTCGGGTCCCAACCTCTCTAAACCTGGGGCTCTGTTTCATAGGATTTCAAAAATCTGGGGTTCAGGACCCTGCGCGCACCAGTGTCCGGGGTTCATTCCCCACGAATTCAGATATCAGATTCAGCCTCCCCCTGTTCACATATCTGGGGTTCAGACCCCACAATCAGAAATCCGGGATTCAGCAACTGTCGCCCTCGAGGAGGAGGAGGACTGGACCGCGAGGTCAGATCAGGTTGTCACCCCCTCCCCTCCAGGGGAGGCTTCCCGGGCCCGCCCCTCAGGAAGGGCGAAAGCCGAGGAAGAGGTGGCGAGGGGAAAGGTCTCCTTGCCCCTCTCCCTGTTTGGCAGAGCCGCTGGAGGACCCCAGGAGGAAGCGGAAGCGCTGGGGCACCACAGTGACCCCTACCAGGTGAGACACGGGGTGCAGGGCCGCGGGTCCCTGTGTCTAGCTTGAGAAGAAAGGGTGCTGCTTTCTGGGAAGCTGGGCCTGGGTAGACACTCTCCTCGGGATGGGGAAGCCAGCTGAGCCAGTGGTCAGCCTCTGGCTAGTCTTGGCTTCTGCTGCCACCTTCTTCCCCTTTCTCTTCTCCTCCTTATATCTAGTTGATGGGGGACCTCAGATGACAGGGTCTGTCATGTCAGCCGGGGTCACGCCCTACAGTCCTTGAGCTAATCAGATGGGTTTGCACCCTTCTGGTCATCTCCCTGTTCACTTTGCCCCTCACAGCTGCCCCTTCATGATTGTGACTCTCTTTCCTTTGCGGTGTTAATTCCCAGATCTCTGCTCCCCATGGTGGGTCTGCTTATCTGTTCTTTAGGCTTGGTCTGGTTGGGTTTTTTTGTCCTTTCTAGGAAGTGTATGTGTACATTTGTGTTTGGGGGTTCTTGGCAGTATTTCCCCTCACCTATTATTACCTTCCGACCTCTTGATGTGATGGTATAAGTAATCTTATTTGTCAGAGGATTTATCATTTACAAAGTGCTCTAGGTCCATTCTCATGCTATCTCTCCTCCCATTCATCTGGTGGGAGGCTGTTTCATTGCTGTCTTCCCATTTTACAGTTGAGCATATTGAGGCTCAGAGAGGTTGCCCAAGGTCACACAGTGGCAGAATCAGGATTTGAACTCAGGTCCTTGATCAGGTCTTGACCGTGTGCCATACCTGTCTTGTCACCTCTTTTCTTCTATTCCTAGGTTTAGCCAGGGGTCCAGAGTAGAATGGGTTGGGGTGGGATTTAAGAATGGGAGGGAGGAGAACTTGCTTTCCTCAGCCTTTTTCTAAGGGTTGTTCTCAGAACCTTTCCTGATGGGAGGCTCTGGCTTCTGCCTTCTGCCTCGTGGATTTCTGTCTCTACTGTGACCTTCATCTTTACCCTGATCCCAGTCTTTGGCCTGGGTTCCTAAGAAGGCTGTGTCTCGACAAATGATAGTGATGTCTCTTAACAGTTAAAGCCAACCAAGCTGCCAGGGGGTAGAATGATCCCCAAAGTATTTAAGCCTTGTGGTGATGACTCTGGAGGCAGGGAAAGAAAAATCCATATGCTGAGTGTCTGCATAGTGTTCCTGAGTATGAGATCTCATTTAAAATTTCACAACAGCTCCACACTGTAATCCCTTTTACTGAAAAGACCACCAAGTGTTAAGGAACTTACTCAAAGCCCTGTTGCTGTCCACTGTAGATGAAATGCATTGGTAGTGTAGCTTAGAGTGGACAGGCTTGGGTTTCCTCGTCTCTCACATGGAGGTAACATTGTCCATTTTAGAAGGTAGTTATGATTTAGCACAGACTTGGTAATCACTCAGATGTTTGTAATTTGCGGTGTTTTGCAGGGATCTCTTATATGTGACCTGGGGTGCTTGGTTGGCATTCTTGGCTGGGTGCTGGTAAAGAGGTCAAGAAGATTCCTTTGGCAAGTTGTGAGCACCTGCCTTTGTGTGTGGGTGTGTGGTGGGGGTGAGGGGTGCTTGGCAGGGTTGCTGGCAGGAGAATGGAGGCCTGGGAGCTGCTTGGGGCTGGGCTGAGGGCAGTCAATCAATCTCCCAGGCTATTCTGAGCCCTCTGCACCCTGGGGGCCCACCAGAGAGTCAGGCTTACTTCTTGCCCTCCAGCTTCCAGTTGGGCTGAGGAGACAAAATTAACAACACAACAGGAAACAATGCACAACAGAATATAATTACATGCTAAATTGTTAGGTGCTTTTAAGGAGCTAGAACTCTGCCCTGGGAGTCCAGTGCCACTGAAAACTCCTTTGTACCTAAATTCCAACAAGTGCTTATCCAGGCGACTGGCCTGGAATCCCCTGGGGGGTGGGGGTCTTGACTGATGTATTGCTGGAGTTTTCAATATTTTTTTGACTGTGGACTCTAGAAGCTCTCCCCAAGAGCTGAGGTCAGGGGAGGGGACTGAGCTGGGGTGAGTTTTTGAGAGAGTAAATAAGTACATAGGCCTGACTGGAGAGAAGAGCCTGTTTGCTGGCCTTGGAGAAGTCCTTTCTTTCTGTGCCTCAGCGATCTCATCCATGAAATGGTGATAACGCTCCTTTCCTTTTTGTTGTATAGGGCTGTTAAAGTAGATAGGGGTAATAGTAACACCTCATAAGGTTGTGGTGAGGGTTGAATGAGATAATGCACAGAAGGTGCTTACTACGCATGCTCAGTACTTCTTTGTGCCGCCAGTGTCCTGTACGTGTGTGATGGGTATGCCATCGGGCTGGACAAGTAAGGCAGCCCAGATTGCAGGCCCACTGAGCCAGATGCCATTTCTCTCCGTCCTCCCGTTCTGGACCTCCTGCCTGCCACGGCATCCCTGGCCCTTTTTGAGAGTGAGCCTCCTGGCCCCTGTGGGCCAGTACCCACTTGTAACAATGGCCGGATTTCCACTGCCTCCGGCCTGGCTGTTTCCTGCTCTCTCCCAGAGTGTGAGAGGTTGAGGGAGGAGGGGGCCTCCACGCCAAGGGGAACGGGAAGGTGCCTGGAAATATTTGGGGCATGGGACTTGTGGGACAGGACACTTGGGGACATGGGGCTCTAGCTGGGAGGCAGAATCTTTATTCTTGAGGGGAGATTTAGGGGTTATGGGGAAATGAAACTTGTTGAGGGCTGAGGGTGTTGTTGAGGATGCTGAACTCCCAGTCTTCCTGCAGTTTTAGGGACTTCAGGGACCCAGCCCCCCGTACTCTGGTTGCCAGAGCAACTTCATTATTTATTTTTTTTTTTTGAGCTTTGATGTTCCTAATCTCCCCCTGCCCTTCCTTAGTAGTGCCTCCGCCTCGTCGGAACCAGGGAAGAAGGCAGAAACTTGAGGGACTGGCTCCTTTCTCTCTCTGAGGGCCTGGTCTTTGTTCTAAGGGTCCCTTCTCTTCACCAGGTCAAGCCCCACTCTCAGGGCCCCCAGGGGCCACCATGCCAGCTGGGGGCCGGGCCGGGAGCCTGAAGGACCCCGATGTGGCTGAGCTTTTCTTCAAGGATGACCCAGAAAAGCTCTTTTCTGACCTCCGTGAGATTGGCCATGGCAGCTTTGGAGCTGTGTACTTTGTGAGTTAAAGCTTGGGAGGGTGGGGTAGGGACTGTCTCCCCACTGTGGACCTCCAAACAGCCTTGTGTGCTCCTCTCCTCCACCACACCAACCTCTCCTGCCCTCTCCTACTGGGCCAGCAAGTCTTCTTGCTGCCCAGTGCTTTCTGGGGGCCTTCACTACCTGCTGGTCTGGTCCTTAGGCCCGGGATGTCCGGAATAGTGAGGTGGTGGCCATCAAGAAGATGTCCTACAGTGGAAAGCAGTCAAATGAGGTAGGCTGAGCTTGACAGACTGGGTATGACACCAAGGACCCCAGTCTTAAGATACAGGCTGAGTAAATCTCTCCTCCCCTTTCTTACCTTCTCTCAGAAATGGCAGGACATCATCAAGGAGGTGCGGTTCCTACAGAAGCTTCGGCATCCCAATACCATTCAGTACCGGGGCTGTTACCTGAGGGAGCACACAGCTTGGGTGAGCTAGGCCCCGACTCTGCCCTCATCCTCTTTGCCAGTACTCAGTGATCCTTATCCTGGTCTAGTCTCCGAGGTGGGCCCTATTCCGGGTGTGTCATGCAGATCTTGGGAGGGAGGAAATCTCTCCCAACCTCTTTAGTCCTCAGACAAACTCATAAGTCATATTGTGCATCCAGAGGGAGAGGCTGAAGAGTGTCATAGCCTGTTAGCAGTTGAAGTGGGGCACATGAGCTAGAGGAGCAGGAGATTGAATGATGGGATTCAGCTGCTGGTGTTAGTGATGTCTTGGGCTCTTTCTAAAGGAGGGCCTAACTCCAGGGACTTACCCCACCTTTTTTGTTTTCTCAGTTGTCCTTTCTCCCTGTTATCACCCCGGGGGGTTTTGCTTGAGTAGTGGCTAGGCAAGGAAGCCCTCTGTTTTGGATCTCTCCCCAAGCAAGCTAGGCCAGGGGTAGCCAGGTCTGCTGATCTCTGACCCTTGACCCTTCCATAGCTGGTGATGGAGTATTGCCTGGGTTCAGCTTCTGACCTTCTGGAAGGTAAGTGATTCTTTGGCCAACAAGTGGGAGAAGGGAGAAGAGCAGAGAAGCTGTAGGGGACGGGTAAAGGGGAAGTAGTTCCAGCCCCACCCTGGACTCCCTCGTTTGATGGTTTTCCTTTACTCCCCAGTGCACAAGAAGCCCCTTCAGGAGGTGGAGATTGCAGCTGTGACCCACGGGGCCCTTCAGGGCCTGGCTTATCTGCACTCCCACAACATGATCCATAGGTACGAGCAGCACTGGTGATGGCTGGGAGGGAGGGAGTGCTCTGTATACCACCCCTCCTTGTGCTGGGCTGTAGTCTTCTTGGCCAAAGCCCCTGCCCAGCAGCCTGCCTGAGATGCATGTCTTACCCCTGTGCTTTGCCTTCGGCAGGGATGTGAAGGCTGGAAACATCCTACTGTCAGAGCCAGGCTTGGTGAAACTGGGGGACTTCGGCTCTGCATCCATCATGGCACCTGCCAACTCCTTCGTGGGCACCCCGTACTGGTGAGCGGGAGTGGTGGCGAATGGAGAGAGCTCTTGGGGTGTTGGGAGCAGGAGTTGGCAGGGTCTGGGCGGGTGATTAGCCTCTCTCTCCTGACCATTCTCCCAGGATGGCTCCAGAAGTGATCCTGGCGATGGATGAGGGGCAGTACGATGGCAAGGTGGATGTCTGGTCCTTAGGCATAACCTGCATTGAGCTGGGTAAGGACATTCACCTCTGCTCCTTTATCCTCTTTTCTCTCCACTCCTTTCTTTTTTTCTTACTTTATCCCCACACTAGCCCATCCTCTGAGGCTTCCAGGCACCTGTCCATTTTGAGGACCCTTGATCCCCAGTACAAGCAGCTGTCAAACCCTACCATTTCTTAGACCAAAAGATTTCATAGCATTCATCTTTTGCACTATGCTAGTTCTAAATCTTTTTTTGAGTGCCCACTGTGTGCCATGCACTGTGCTAGTAGGTTCTGAGGGTATAGCAGTCAATGAGCTTCCTGCTTTCTTAGAACTTACATTCAAGTGGGGGAAGTAGATATTTTTTCTGTCTATGTGAAAAAAAGCTGAATGGAAATGATACAGGAACAGTACAACCAGAAAACAAGGGACTTGACCTAGTTAGGGGCTGAGGAAGGTCTTCTTGTAGCAGAGATGTCTAAACAGAACCACACAACAAATAATAGGTAACTGTTGGAAGACTTGTAGAGAAAAGCAGCATTACAGACAGACAATGAGGAGCAGCCCTGGGGAGCTGAGATTAGCTTTAGTTGGTGGCAAAGAGCAGTGAGTGATAAGGCCAAAGAGCTCGGTTCAGTGAGTTCATGAGGTCTTGAAGCCCTGTTGAGGTTCTCTTTTCTGCCAGCCAATGATATTGCAACAACTGTTTTAGGGAGAAAATATTTGCAAGCCCACCCCCACCCCCACCCCAATACACACACAATTACCAGGCACAAAATAGGTGCCCAAGAAAGAGATGCTTTTAGTTACTCTCAACAACAACTTCCTGTCATGCTCTTTCCCACTGCCAGTCTCTTCTTCCTTCCATTCTCTTTTACATCAGAGATGTGCTGTTGTTTTCTCTCCACCTCGGATCCTCCCTGTTGCCTTCAAGACTGAAGCCATCCCCGTTCTTACTTACACCAAGTTTAAGGCTCTTGCTTCCTAAAGGCTGGCTTTCCCCTTTACAAGCTCCACCCCTAAGTGTGCTATGAATATTTCCTCTTAATTACCTTTGTACCCTGTCCTTGGCCTGAGGTTGGAGATTTGGACTTGCCTTTCCCTCTATCTACACAGTTACCGTTTAAGGCCGTGAACAGATAGGCGATGGAAGTATGTGAAGCAGGCCAGTATAAGAAAAATCTAGAGCTATCCATTTTATTGCTAATTTTTGGTACAGAAATGTGCACAGAAAACTATATTATAGAAAAAAAAAAAACATCAATCTTGATTGTAAATGGCAACTGATAACTCAGTTGGTGTCAGAGAAGCAGTATGGAGGGAGACTAAGGCAAACTGGAGGTTGCTGTTCCCAGGAGAACAGGCAGCTCTATTGTTTAGCTCCAGCCCATTGTTATGCAGGAATGTAGGCTTCATTTTACCAGATCTAATTTTTTTTAAAAAGAAACTGGAAATTTAGGTTATTTCGTTGCTAGTGTCAGAATTTAAAAATCATTGTTGAGGCCCAAACCACAACAATACAAAACATTTGTCTGGGCCACAAGGGGCTTCTTGCTTGCAACTTCTGAACTAAGGCCTACCTCCACTATTCCTTTTTCCAAACAAGCTTCCCTGAAACCCCTGCAAATGGACCAACTTGAAGGCCTGGCTTCTCACCCATTTACTGTTTTGCTCTTAGGCCAGTTATTAGCACTTTGAACTTGATGTTATTTGTTCAGTCTCACTTAACCTTCTCTGTTAGACTGGAAATTCCTTGAAAACAGGGCCTGTCTGTTTATCTTTTCCAGTACCTACACAAGTGTTTTGCTCTCATTGGGCATCTGGTAAATACTGGGCTGGCAAGTGAATGTCTTCCCTCTGCCTTTGTTGGTGCATTTGTGTGTGTTTTCTCTGATCTCTGTTCTGCCCACGTGCAGTAGAAAGGCTGGATGTTGCATCTTAAGAGAGGAAGGAATTGATTCAGGTTATGGGAATTGCTTAGGTTCAGGGAATGAGGAAGTCGGGGAGCGGGGGTGTGGACCACAGTCTTCTGATTTCAAGTTTAGTCTCCTCTGCCCACCTGCCACCTCTCACCTTCTCTCCCTTTACCTTTTTCTGTAGCGGAACGGAAACCACCACTGTTTAACATGAATGCGATGAGTGCCTTATACCACATTGCACAGAACGAGTCCCCCGTGCTTCAGTCAGGACACTGGTGAGGACTGGGGTTTCTGGGCCCAGGGGTTAGGCCACAGGGGTAAGGCTGCCTGACTCATGCCCTCCCCACCCTACCCTTACCCTCCTGTGACTTCTAGGTCTGAGTACTTCCGGAATTTTGTCGACTCCTGCCTTCAGAAAATCCCTCAAGACAGACCAACCTCAGAGGTTCTTCTGAAGGTGAGGGCTCACTGACATAGCATTCTCCTAGAACTGAAGTTTGTTGGAATCACAGAAATCCCTCAGTGAAAGTAGAGATTCCTGGTTCTTCCTCTACCAAGAACTTCATTTATGAATTCCCTCACCCATCCCCAGTGCCCAGTGGACTCTGTTTTGCAAGAGTTTGTCTAGGAGACTGCCTTTATTAAGTGATAATTTGTTTTCACGTCTTTAATTAATCAAAGATATATATAATTGCAAGTCAGAGCTTCTCATCAGCGTGCGATAACCAGAGTTACCACACTGATCTAATATAATTTAAGCCAGAAGCCTATGTAACCTTGTCGTGGGTAAATACATGATTTCCCTAGGTATTTTTCAAGTTATCAAAAATAGAGGGGCCCCCATTCCTTCAGAGATCCATGGGGCCCTAGGACCCCTAGTTGGGAACTGTCTAGTTTGACCCACTTATTTTATAATTGTGGGATGCCTTGTGAGGCCCAGAGAAGCCTCATGACATGTCCGGGGGTACAGAGTACTTTGAAGACCTGGACTAGAATCCAAATCTCTGGCTGTTCTCACCTGGAGGAACAAGAGTGTCTGGGGAGTAGAGATTGGGTGGTAAAAATTAATGTGGGAGGAGGGCTTGGGACAAGGCCAGCATCAGCCTATGGTGGGCACTGCCCCAGGGGAGTGCCTCAGGCCAGAGGGAATGCCAGGATCCATGGGATGTTGGGGTGCGGGGGTGCTTGGCAGCAGGTCTCGGTGTTCTCTTCCCCCAGCACCGCTTTGTGCTCCGTGAGCGGCCACCCACAGTCATCATGGACCTTATCCAGAGGACCAAGGATGCTGTTCGGGAGCTGGACAACCTGCAGTACCGCAAGATGAAGAAGATACTGTTCCAGGAGGCGCCCAATGGCCCTGGCGCGGAGGCCCCAGAGGAGGAGGAGGTGACCCAGGGTGCCCTGCCACCATCTTCATCACCATGTTGTATTTGCCTCTGAGCAGCTGCTTGGTCCCGCTCCCCCACCCCTCTTCATACCCTCTGTCTCCGTGTACACTTGCCTTGCCCTTCGCCTTCCCTTCCCAACAGCCCGTGTCCTGTCCACAGGAGGCAGAGCCCTACATGCACCGGGCTGGGACGCTGACCAGTCTAGAGAGTAGCCATTCGGTGCCCAGCATGTCCATCAGCGCCTCCAGCCAGAGCAGCTCAGTCAACAGCCTGGCAGATGCCTCTGATAATGAGGAGGAGGAAGAGGAGGAGGAAGAAGAGGAGGAGGAGGAAGAAGGCCCTGAAGCCCGGGAGATGGCCATGATGCAGGAGGGGGAGCACACAGTCACCTCCCACAGCTCCATCATCCACCGGCTGCCGGTATGCAGCTTTCCCTGAGTAGGCTTGACAGCCACAGGGCCCTGCTCCAAGTGTGACTGGATCTTCAGGGAACTCTCTCTGGACCCTCTGACCTCTGAGACTTGGGCATTCCTTCCACCTTCTCTTCCTCTAGGGCTCTGATAACCTCTATGATGACCCCTACCAGCCAGAGATGACCCCAGGGCCTCTCCAGCCACCTGCAGCCCCAGCTCCCACCTCTACCACCTCTTCTGCCCGCCGACGGGCTTATTGCCGCAACAGGGACCACTTTGCCACCATCCGTACTGCCTCCCTGGTAAGCACAGCCATCCTGGGTAACCCCCTCCCCCAGACTATTTAAGTTCAGAAATGGCTTTCTTCCTGTGGGGTGTGATTAAGTCAGATTCCAGACTCTTGTCTGTTGCTATCACTTCCTTCTTACCTCGACTGTCTCACCTAAATCCTCCCCTCTCGCCTCTCTTCTCTGAGTAGACTGTTCCGGTCACGTTGCCCAGCTCCCACCCTGTCTTTGTGGCTAGACTTAGACAGCATCTCCTGGTGTGTCTTCCCAGGCTCCTGGCGAGCCAGGTGCTTCGTGTCCTGTGCTGTGATGCTCCTGAACAGCATTGTGACAGGTCTGCTGGATTCTGTGCCCCTAGAGAGCAGAGATGATGTACAGGTATCTGCCTGTACCAGTAATTGGCTTGCTGGCCCCCACACCTGCCTGTATTTAATCCTTCCAGCTTTTCTGGAAGGGTGAGGATATGATTCCATTTAAGAGATGACATAGTTGTGACTCAGAAGGGCTCCCTTTGGTAGTTCTCAAATTCTGTAACCAGTATCTTGGTCCTCTCCTAAAATAAAGGCATGGCGTTTTAGTTTTTTTTTTTTTCTCAGCTCATAGGAAAACTATGTTTTCGTCTATAATTTTAGTAGACTTTTAGATTACGTTCTTATTTAGCTGTGTCGACAGTCCTCTTGGAGGCCATTGGTTGGTCTGTTACGTTCTTTTATCCTCTGCTTACAACTGGTTGTTCTGCTAGGGTAACTCTTCAGACCCTCTGATGCTTGGTGCTTTGTGGTACTGTGCAGGAGGTCTGGGACTTGCAGCGATTTGGCCACCTGGACTAGTTTGGAGCCGTTGACATAGCCTTTGAACAATGGCATCTGAGTTCAAACTACAGATGAGGGCATCCAGGTCCAGTGTTCTTGTCATCTAGCATCCCATGGTCTGTATTCTGCCTCAATACCTGGGCTATAAATGGTCTTCAGTGTTTGCTGAAGAGGAAGGAACTATCACTTTTCTAGTTCAGAGTGTTCTAGATACTATTACATAGGTATCAAACTTAATCACCACAGCCCCGTATGAAGAGGTGTTATTGTCTCCTGTAACAGAACTGAGGCTTAGCAGCATTAACTATCTTGAAGTCACATGGTTAGGAAGTGGCAGAGCTCGAGGTCTGGGCCCAGGTCTGTCTTGATTCTTTTACTCTTTTCAGTCAATCTGAATTGTCCCTACTTTTAGGTAAAACCCTGTGTTCAATCCCTTTTCTTGTCTGATGCGGTCACACCAACCCATGAGGGAGATGATGTCTCCATTCTCCAGTAGAGGTGGCAGGCTCAGGTTAAGTGAGGAAGGTACCAAATGAGAATTAAACCCTTGCATCAAAAACTCATGTTCTTGCCCATACAGCATGAAGACTGTGTGTGTGTTAATAACACGGGCACCAGAGCTGCTCCCCACTCCTCATCCTTTCTCCCTCCCCAGGTCAGCCGTCAGATTCAGGAGCATGAGCAGGACTCAGCCCTGCGGGAGCAGCTGAGTGGCTATAAGCGGATGCGACGACAGCACCAGAAACAGCTGCTGGCGTTGGAGTCACGGCTGAGGGGTGAGCGTGAGGAGCACAGTGCGCGGCTGCAGCGAGAGCTCGAGGCACAGCGGGCTGGCTTTGGGGCTGAAGCCGAAAAGCTGTCCCGGCGGCACCAGGCCATCGGGGAGAAGGAGGCGCGAGCCGCCCAGGCCGAGGAGCGGAAGTTCCAGCAGCACATCCTTGGGCAGCAGAAGAAGGAGCTGGCCGCCCTGCTGGAGGCGCAGAAACGAACCTACAAACTGCGGAAGGAGCAGCTGAAGGAGGTGGGTTTGGGCTGCAGCTGTGGGTGGGGTTGGTGGGGGGTGAGGCAGACCCTGACCCCCTGGCTCTCCCACTGCCCTTTCTTAGGAACTCCAGGAGAACCCCAGCACCCCCAAGAGGGAGAAGGCTGAGTGGCTTTTGCGGCAGAAGGAGCAGCTACAGCAGTGCCAGGCAGAGGAGGAGGCTGGGCTGCTGCGGCGGCAGCGCCAGTACTTTGAGCTGCAGTGTCGCCAGTACAAGCGCAAGATGCTGCTGGCACGCCACAGCCTAGACCAGGACCTGCTACGAGAGGTAGGCTTCCTCCTCCCCCGGTCGCCTCCCAGGTCCCAGACTCCTGCCCTGTTTCATTTGCCTCACTTGGGACCATCTTTCCTCTCTGCTCTCATTCATGTTGTGGGTCAGCTTCTCTTCAGCATCTCTGACTTCTCATGCCCACCAGACCCTGCTCCAGCTCCAACCTGCCAGGAGCTTGGCACCCTTTCCCCTTTCATCCATCATCTCCTCACCCTCAGTTCCCTTACCAAGGAGTCCTGGGGCTCCCGTTTCCTTGACACTCACAAGGCTTCCTAACCCCTTTCTGGGCCCTGCCTCCCTTTTGCCTCAGGACTTGAACAAGAAGCAGACACAGAAGGACTTGGAGTGTGCATTGCTGCTGCGGCAGCACGAGGCCACGCGGGAGCTGGAGCTCCGGCAGCTGCAGGCTGTGCAGCGCACTCGGGCTGAGCTCACCCGCCTGCAACACCAGACGGAGCTGGGCAACCAGCTGGAGTACAATAAGCGGCGTGAGCAGGAGTTGCGGCAGAAGCACGCGGCCCAGGTTCGCCAGCAGCCCAAGAGCCTCAAAGTACGTGCAGGCCAGCGTTCCCCGGGCCTCCCGCTCCCCGTTCCTGGGGCTGTGGGACCACCTAACACAGGCGCCCTTAGAGAAGAGCAGCCCTGCTCACCTGGCCAGGAGGCGGTCCTGGACCAAAGAATGCTGGGAGAGGAGGAGGAAGCGGTTCCAGAGAGAAGGATTCTGGGGAAGGAAGGGGCTGCCTTGGAGCCAGAGGAGCAGAGGATACTTGGGGAAGAGTCAGGAACTGTTAGCCCCAGTCCACAAAACCATGAGAGTTTGGTTGATGAGGAGGTTTGGGGGCTACCTGAGGAGGAGACAGGGGAACTTAGAGTGCCATCCCCAGCACCGCAGGAGAGGAGCATTGTGGGCCAGGAGGCATCGGTGGAATGGAGGTTGTGGGGGAAGGAGGATGGCAGCCTCTTGGGTGAGGAGTTTGAGCTTGACTGGGTCCAGGGTCCAGCACTGACCCCAGTCCCTGAGGAGGAAGAGGAAGAGGAGGAGGGGGCTCCATTTAGGACCCCAAGGGATCCTGGAGATGGTTGTCCCTCACCAGACATCCCCCCAGAACCCCCTCCAACACATTTGAGGCTAGGCACTACTAGCCAGCTCCCTGGACTCCTGTCCCATGGCCTCCTGGCTGGACTCTCCTTTGCAGTGGGGTCCTCCTCGGGCCTCTTGCCCCTACTACTTCTGCTGCTGCTCCCATTGCTGGCGGCCCAGGGTGGGGGCGGCCTGCAGGCAGCCCTGCTGGCCCTTGAGGTGGGGCTGGTGGGCCTGGGGGCCTCCTACCTACTTCTTTGTACAGCTCTACACCTGCCCCCCAGTCTGTTCCTTCTCCTGGCTCAGGGCACCGCACTGGGGGCCGTCCTCAGTCTGAGCTGGCGCCGAGGCCTCCTGGGTGTCCCTCTGGGCCTTGGGGCTGCCTGGCTCCTTGCCTGGCCAGGCCTGGCTCTACCTCTGGCAGCTCTGGCAGCAGGGGGCAAATGGGTGCGACAGCAGGGCCCCCGGATGCGCCGGGGCATCTCTCGACTCTGGTTGCGGGCTCTGCTGCGCCTATCACCCATGGTCTTCCGGGCCCTGCAGGGCTGCGGGGCTGTGGGGGACCGGGGCCTATTTGCACTGTACCCCAAGACCAACAAGGATGGTTTCCGCAGCCGTATTCCTGTCCCTGGGCCCCGACGGGGTAATCCTCGCACTGCCCGACACCCACTAGCCCTTTTGGCCAGGTTTTGGGCCCTGTGCAAGGGCTGGAACTGGCGCCTGGCCCGGGCCAGCCAAAGTTTAGCCACCCGCCTGCCCCCCTGGGCTGTCCACACACTGGCCAGTTGGGGCCTGCTTCGGGGTGAGCGGCCCAGCCGTATCCCCCGGCTGCTTCCACGCAGCCAGCGCCGGCTGGGCCCTCCTGCCTCCCACCAGCCACCACCAGGGATGCTCGTTGGGAGGAGACCCCGAGCCCGCCAGTCCCGGGCCCTGCCTCCCTGGAGGTGACCAACTCCAGCTCCTCCCCAGCCCGAATCCAGAGCATTGAGCACTTTATCTCCCACTACTCAGTGAAGTTTCTCCATTCCCTGGCCTCTCCTCCCATTCACCCCACACCCCGCACCTCACCTCCAGCCCTTCAGCCTCTAGACAGGCAGCCTCCCCCGCCATGGAGTCCGGAGACGATACTTTGTGTTCTCCTGATGCTCCTCCCCACCCTAAGTTATTGCTGTTCTCCCACTGTGTGTGTGCTCATCCTCACCCTCATCGACTCAGGCCTGGGGCCAGGGGTGGCAATGGGTGGGAAGAGTCATGTTTTTTTTTTTTTTTTCTCTCTTTGATTTTGTTTTTCTGTCTCCCTTCCAACCTGTCCCCTTTCCCCCACCAAAAAAAAAAAAAAAGAAAAAGACAAACACAAATAAAATATCTGAGCGGAACTGTACCTTTGGCCCAGGCTGCCTCTGTCTGCTTTGTCCTGCCGCCTAGCCTCCCCGGTATGCCCCCAGTCTGGACCCTTGGCCCCCAGTTCCATGACCTTTTCACCCCATCTACGTTATCTCAACCCCTTTCACTCCTCAGCCTCATCTTCTCTACCTTCATAGCTTCATTGCACCATGACCACTACCAGCTGGGCAGGGCTGGGCCCCTGTTGAGCTGCTTGGTCCCACGGTTCCCCTGTATGTGGATTCCTCCCCAGGGAGTGCTCAGGTCCTGGGTCCTTTCATCCTCATTCACTGCCTTTTCTCCCAACCCACTCCCTATGTGGTTCCCATCTGTCTGGGAGCTGAGTTTCTCTTCTGGCATCAGGGCTGGGGGATGGGACTGCAAACCCTCCCCAGTAGGGGGTGGTGAATTTGGGGGCCCAAAAGTGTGGGGGCCGTGGAAATGGGATTGGTTGTGGGCTTGGAGTGGGAGCTGAGTGCACAAGGGCCAGGCTGGAATGTGGAGGTCTGGTCAGGGTGGCAGCTGCTGGCCTGTTGAACTTGTCAGGCCCTTCCTGGCCACCGCCTTTGCCCCTTTCCCTTATGTGGCCTGAAACGGGTCCACCCTTTCTTACCCATTTCTTGGCTTGGTGCTTATCCTTCTTCCTTCCCTCTGACCCTGAGGTGGTGAACCTGGGACTTCCTCTGTCTTTCCTCAGCTTTGTTGCTGTCTTCCATGGGTGTGTTGAGTGACTTGGTTTTCTCACTCATGTATATTCTGTTATCTGCTCACAGGCATCTGTCTCTAGGTCATATTTTCTTCCTCCTCTGCATGGTCAAAACTTCTTGTGTGCACTCAGTACTTGAAAGAGTCTCAGTTCCCTCTTCATGAACTCTCCTGCTGTTTCTTGTGAGTTGTCCACCCAACTCTGAACATGCTCTTGGAAGCTGTCTTGTTCTCTTTGCATCTCTTGCCCATTCAGCATCTTCTTGATCTCTCTCCACACAACCCCATCTCTCCATGTCTGTCTGTATACAGCTCCCCCGCCCCCTCTGTCTAACATGTTTTCTGTTTCTCTCCCTCTCTCCCTGTCTCTGCTGCTGTCTCCTCTCCTCCTCTCTTTATTCTCCCCTCTCCCCTGGTTGTTCCTCCTCCTCCCCCCTGCCCCCATCTCCCTTTGGTCCGTCCACTGCATAGTCTAAGGAGCTGCAGATCAAGAAGCAGTTCCAGGAGACGTGTAAGATCCAGACTCGGCAGTACAAGGCTCTGCGGGCTCACTTGCTGGAGACCACGCCCAAAGCTCAGCACAAGAGCCTCCTTAAGCGGCTCAAGGAAGAACAGACCCGCAAGCTGGCAATCCTAGCCGAGCAGTACGACCAGTCCATCTCAGAGATGCTCAGCTCACAGGCGGTGAGGCCTGGGGTCCAGGGAGGGAGCATGGTGGAGATTGGCCTATGTATTTCCTGCTTAGCTGTGAACACTGGAAGTCGGGAGTGTAGAGACAGAGAGGGCTTTTTATTCTTGGGAAGCTCAGATACTCTCCCACTGTTGGGATTCTCTGCAATGGTTTTATTATTATTTCTCTTTAAGTATTTTCTTAAGGTCTTGACAAAGCCAGCCTGCCTACTCCACCAAGAACCACCAAGGAAAGAATGGCTGTACTTTTTTCCTGGGCCTGAGTTAGTTTAATGTGTGAACAGGGAGCAAATCAAAATGAGTGTGGCCTTCAGGCCTGTTTGGAGGGTTTTGAAGGTTGCTGTTAGTGATCACATGACACTGGAATGGGTCACTTAAAATAACACAGTATAAAAAGTAAAAGTGTCCTTATTCATTTGCCATCCCCTCACTTATCCCACCTCTCAGAGGTAACTGTTAATGTATTAGACTTTTTTTCCTATGCATATTTGGAAAATTATGTTAAAAATTTAAACCAAAATGGAATCATACTTTGCAAACTGTCCTCTTAACTTTTTCCACCTAATATTTCTTGGACATCTTTCCATGTCAGTACATGTCTCATTTTTTAAGAGCATAGAATTTTCCATGGTATGGATGTACCACAATTTATTTAACCCATCCCTTATTGGTGGACATTTAGGTTGTTTCCAGTATTTTGCTATTACAACGCTTCAGTGAACATCTGCGAGCACATGTGCAAGTATACGTGGGGGATAAATTCCTGGAAGTGTAATTGCTGTGTCACAGGGTATGACGACCTTTCATTCTGATAGATGTTGAGACTGGCTGCTGCTTGAAACCTTAGGGCCCAGGCCTACTGGGGCAGGGGAGGATTTGTGGGGGTCAGGGAGGAGGCCCTTAAAACTTGTTCTTCCTGATCTCTAGCTGCGGCTTGATGAAACCCAGGAAGCAGAGTTCCAGGCCCTTCGGCAGCAGCTGCAACAAGAGCTGGAGCTGCTCAATGCTTACCAGAGCAAGATCAAGATCCGCACGGAGAGTCAGCATGAACGGGAGCTACGGGAGCTGGAGCAGAGAGTAGCCCTGAGGCGGGCCCTGCTGGAGCAGCGGGTGAGAGGGCTGGGCTTCCAGGATGGGCTGGGGAGGGCAGCCCCCACCCTGGACCGTCTAACCTCTCTTCTGGGTACCCCAGGTGGAAGAGGAGCTGCTGGCCCTGCAGACAGGGCGCTCCGAGCGAATCCGGAGTTTGCTTGAGCGGCAGGCCCGTGAGATCGAGGCTTTCGATGCGGAGAGCATGAGGCTAGGCTTCTCCAGTATGGCTCTGGGGGGCATCCCAGCTGAGGCTGCTGCCCAGGGCTATCCTGCTCCACCCCCTGCCCCCGCCTGGCCCTCCCGGCCGGTTCCCCGTTCAGGGGCGCACTGGAGCCATGGCCCTCCTCCACCGGGCATGCCGCCCCCGGCCTGGCGTCAGCCTGCTCTCTTGGCTCCCCCGGGTCCCCCAAACTGGCTGGGGCCCCCAGCACAGAGTGGCACCCCCCGTGGTGGAGCCCTGCTGCTGCTAAGAAATAGCCCTCAGCCCCTGCGGCGAGCAGCCTCGGGGGGCAGTGGCAGTGACAGTGTGGGCCCGCCTGCTGCTGCAGTGCCTGGGCCTCTGAGCCGCAGCACCAGTGTCGCTTCCCACATCCTCAATGGTTCCTCCCACTTCTATTCCTGAAGTACAAGGTGGATATGAGCAGATGAATGAGGCAGGGGTGGGTGGAGCCTGATCCTGGAGGGCTGTAAGCCTGAGGTCCACCCAAGGGTGGGGGATAGGATGTTGGCTCCAGCTCCTCCCCTCAGACCTCATCTCATGAGCTTCTTGGGCTGGCCAGCGGCCCAAGGCCAGCTTGGCGTAGGTGCCTCAAGGCTGGCCGGGAGCCCTTGCCTCCCCACCATGGTGCCAGGGTTTCTCTCCATCACGGCCTCGGGAAAGGAGGGAGATATGCGTGTCAAATATTTATCTAGTCCCCTGGGGGAGGGGGAAGGGTGGGTCTAGATATATAAAGAGAACTATACTACCCCCTGGAGTGGGGCCATGGACTGGGGACACCAGGCCCCCAGACTTGGGATGTGGCAGAGCAGGTCTGGGGCCTGGGAGGGAAGAACTGGAGGAAAAAGCCTTCCTGAAAGGAGATCGGGATGGGGTCTTGGGGTCAGGATGCCTGGGTCTCTCCATTCCCCCGTTGCTGTCTGACGTCCTGTGCCGTCTTGTCCTTTTATCTTTTTTTTTTTTTTTTTAATTGAGATCAGAGCTGGGGCAGGTAAACAAGATAAAAACCTTGGAAGGGGCTGCTCCCGGGCCTGGGGGCAGTCATGAGAGCCCCTCCCAGCTATGGGGCTGGCACAGAGCCCTACAGCAAGCTTTTAATAAACTGTTGGTTATTCTGACAGATCCCAGGACTCACCTTTTCTGTCTTAATGTGTGTAAAGGAATGCTGAGTGGCAGGTGACAGTGTCACTTGAACTCACTGGGTTGTGTGAACTAAGGATTTCAGTGACTTCATTGACTTTGGACATGACTGAATCTAGGTCTTCAGAGGAAGCCATCAGTCCCTGGACCTCTGCTTCCCTTTGCTTTGGCTTCAGATTTTCAAAAGGTTCACCTCACCCACAAGCCCCTGGCAGCTCCAGGCTTACAGCTTACTAACAACCTCAACAGTAAGAATTCCAGCAGTCCTGAAGTGACTCCATTGGTTTGATCTATAGCCAGAGGCCTCGGGTGCTCCAATTGGTCGGGTTTAGATCTTGTACCCACCCCTTTAAAGACTGAAAGAGTCAGCCCATGAACTAAGTGGCTGTTTCCAGGAGGGGGAAGAAAGACATAAACAACAGCTGTTCCCCAGTCCTTTCATTCTGTGTTTCACATTCTTCTTAAGGCCAGTTATTCAGATCCTCCTCCCAGCTAGGCGTTAGGTTATCAGACAGCTAAAAAGCAGGGTGGCCAGAGGTGCCCGCTGATCAGGCTGGAGGAAGGAGCCACACTTCTCGAGTCAAGACTGGATGGCAGGGTCTGGAGGCTGGGACTTCTTTTGGAGAATCAGAGAAATAAAGGGAATCAGACCAGGGGACAGTGGCTGCTCCTCAGCTTCCTGGACAGGGGTTACGAGTGGGGGACCAGTTTTGACAAGGTGATTCAAACACTCTTTTATTGAGTCTTTAAAAATAAATCCCTGTAAACACCTTAAATTGAGAATGTGAAGCTGAGAAGTAGAATCCCAACAGCTTGTGTCCATGGGGGCTGCGGGTTCTCTGAAGAAAGCTGCTTCTGCTCTGTAGGCAGGGCTGGGGGCTGTGGTGAGAGCAATGCTGTATATGCTTTCTACCAAAGGAAAGTCCCTCCTGGGCTTGGGGGAGCTCAGTTGCTCTCGCCATCACTGCTGATGATGCCCCGCAGATGTGACCAGTCTGGGGGTGGGGGGCGGGGCCGCTCTTCGTCTGAGTCCAGGGTCCTGCGGTACAGCTCCCCTGGTGGAGCTGCTGCTCCTGAAGGGTTCCAGGCTGTGCGTCTGCGTGGCCGGCCTACACAGCAGGAGAAAGCAGCAGAGGAGTTGCTGGACAAAGCCTGCATCCCACCCGCTCCTGGGAATGAAGGGAGCCCCTCACCTGAACTGCTGATGATGTTGGTAATGTCCAAAGAGGCCACCTCAGCTGCCTCTTCCCGCTGCTCCTTCAGGGCCCGACACTTCTCTAAGGAAGGGTTACCTGGAGCAGAAGCAGCTCATGATCCTCCCTCCCTGGCAGCCAAGTCCCTCTCTCTGCAGCCCCCAGGGCACAGCCAGCCTCACCCTTCATGCCCAGGGCTTCCAGCTCTGCCCGGAGAACACTCAGGCGTTCCTTGCGTGAGCGGCAGGAACCCAGCAGCTTCTTGTAGTTTCGATGGGCACCACAGGCCCGGATGTAGCGCTTGAGCCTCCTCACAGCGGGGTGGTCCTCACCAGAGCGACCAGAGCCAGCCTGGCAATGGAAGACAGCAGCTGAAGGCCAAGCCTTCTGGGCTGGAGTCAGGGTCTCCCTCTTCCCTGAGGGTGGCCTCCCACCCCATCTTCAACCCTCACCTTCCCGCCTTTACGTTCTGGACTGCCATCTGTGGAAGAGGAGGAAGGACTTCGTGTCCTGCCTTTCTTGGAGCTCATCTTGGAAGAGCGGTTCTTCCTCTCCTTGGGGCTCCCCACTGCCTCGCTGTCACTCACTCCCTTCTCTGAGTCACTTGCCTCGCCACTGATACTGCCCTCTTTGGCTGTCTTGCCAGTAGTTGGTTTCACCTTCCTCGGGCTGTCTTCTCCATCCTCACTGCTTCCATTCTGCCTTTTCCCACCCTCCCCCTGGGCCCTGTCTTTGCGCTGCCTGTGTACTAGGGGCTCTTCATCTTCCTCACTGCTATCACCACTGCTTGCTGCTGCTTTTTCCATCTGTTCCTCTCTGTCCCCCCGGTCTCCCAGCAATCGTGCTGCCCTGCTTTTCTGCTTACAGCTCCTCTCCTCCTGAACTGACCTTTTCCCTCCAGTGCTCTGGGCTGTGGCTTTCCAGTCCTCTTTTTCCTCTCTGTTCTCTTTCTTCTTGGTTAGGGTCTCCTCCTCCTCACTCTCCTTTTCACTTTCCTGGTGACTCTTAGCACCTTTCTTTCCCTCTGGTTTCTTCCCTGGGCCCTGGGCAGGTTCCTCCTCACTGTCCTCACTCTCCTCCCTAGCCTGCTTCCTACTACCTGAGGCCTTGCCTGGTGCCTGCTTGGTGTTTGTCCCAGGCTTCTTCCTAGTCCTGCCCTTGGACTCCTCTTCTTCCTCCTCCTCACTGCTCTCTTCTTTCCAAACCTTTCTCTTTCTGGCAGAGCCCTCTTCCTCCTCCTCACTGCTCTCCTTCACCACCTCCTTCTCTAATCTGACCTTTGCAGTCAGGTCCCTCTGCTGTTCCTCATCACTGCTCTCAGTTGCTTTCTTTGAGGTTTGATTTGGACTCTCATCCTCAGTTGGAGTGACATATGCTGCCATCCCATTCTTGGCTGAGGGGTTGAGGCGGTCTGGACTGGAGGCTGCAGAGCTGGGCTCTGAAAAGTGGAGAAAAGAGAAGGTTGGGACAGGTTCCTCCTGTCCGTTCCCCCTTCACTTGGGACAGGTTGCCTTGAATCCTACTTTGATGGATGGAAGGAAGGATAGTAGGGAAAAGCTCTCGGTTTACCATGTTTCTGGTTCTTGACTCCTGGGCCACGCGCCCTCATCTAAGTTCTTGGTACGTGAAAAAGATAGCGCCCAGTCGTGTCCAACTCTTGCGACCTATGGACTGTAGCCTGCTAGGCTCCTCTGTCCATGGGATTTTCCAAGCAAGAATACTGGAGTGGGTTGCCATTTTCTTCTCCAAGGGTTCTTTCCGACCTAGGAATTGAACCCAGGTCTCCAGCATTGCAGGCGGATTCTTTACTGACTGAGCTAGGCGGGAAACATAACATGTCCAATAAATACTTTTTTAATGAACCAACTATGCAGAAGGCACTAACCTGACTCTGAATTGAAACGGAACCTTTTTCTCTCTGGGTCACGGCAAGGGGTGGGAGACCTCTTCGCCTTTTTGCCAACGTGGAGCCTCTCTTCCTTCGCACTCGCTTCATCCACCTGTGTGTGCGTCAAGAGAGCCAAACCTATACCAAGGAAGAGTTCTGCCGCACCCCTCTTAGGCCCCTCCTCCTTGGCCACCACCCCCGCCCGCGGTGGCCCAGGGTCACCCCCACACCTGCATCTTCAGCAGCTCTTCCTCCACCAGCCGCTTCAGCGCCTGCTTCTCCTCAGGTTCCAGGTGGTCGCGGCCCGCATGAGCCAAGAATCGCCGCCGCACGATGGAGTGCGTAAGCGTGCTGCGGAAACACGTGTCAAGACGGAGTCCTTGTCCCGCCCCTGCCCTTTCCAACCCCAACTCCAACCTCCGGTGCACCTGAGGTCCGGGTGGCCTTGGAAGAAGCTACGGGTGAACTCCTGCATCTCATCCTCCCGCGCCATATTGCTCCACCTGATATTGGTGGCTCCCGCCTTTTTTCTTTCCGGCCTCCGTCCAAGCGTTTGACAGGAGGTTGCGCACGCGCAGTGCCGTGACGCCTTGAGGCAGGAGATCGTTGCGTGTCTGTCGCGCGCCGCTTGGGTCGAATTTGCCAGACAAAACTTGTTTTTGCCAGGCAGTTGGAGGGTCTCGTGGCTCCTTCCTTTTCTTAGAAGGAATCGCTTTTTAAAGTTCTCGTTAGAAACCGATTCGGAGCCGGCTACACTTTTGAGTGTAACGTAATCAAACCGCGACGCTGCCTCCGTTCGTGGTCGCGGGCAACAACTAGGCCTCTGTGACTTTGAAAGACAGACGGAAAAGGGCGTCCTCGCCTGAAAACTAGGAATCTCAGGGGAGAATGTCTTCTTGTGACTTCAAGTCGCTAAGCACATTTCGAATCAGTTAAGGGCGCCCTCCAGTGTCCTCCATCTTTGTGACATCACGCTTCGCTTCGGCGCCATCTTTCGCGAATCCCCTGGAAGCAACTTTCCTTTCCCGGTATTGCTCCGGAAAGCAGGTCGTGTGGTTAAGATCCCTGAGCGCGGGGCACGCCGGGAGTTGTAGTGCCAGCGGACCCAGCCCTGCCGAGTCCCCGGAAGTTGAGGCGGGAGAGGCCGGGCTGAACCGGCTCGGCGTAGCGGGACTCCGGACTACAGCTGAGGCGCTTCTCCCGGAGCCGGTCATGAACGGATCGGCGGACGGTGAAGTGGACTACAAGAAGAAATACCGAAATCTGAAGCGAAAACTCAAATTCCTCATCTACGTGAGTGCGGGGTGGGAAGGTGGTGGGGGGTGAGGCCTGGCGCCGGTAGGTCGTCAGTTTAACCTATGTGTAAAGGGAGCAGGGTGAGTCGTGGTCGGCTTCCAGGCCCAATTTACGACGGCGGTTGGCTCAGCGCGCATCTTGCCCGTGGTACAGGAACACGAGTGCTTCCAGGAGGAACTGAGGAAGGCGCAGAGGAAATTGCTGAAGGTGTCCCGGGACAAGAGGTGAGACACGTTGATGGGAGGAGGGAAGCCAGAGGGTGATGTGGCTCCTGTGGATCTGCATTCGGACCCCATCCTGGAATGGGCCACAAATGCATGAGGCCGGCTAGATGAGGGGAGGGCCCGGAGGACATTGCAGAGATGGGAATAACCACTCTTGTTCTCCTGGTCTCTTCCCTCAGTTTCCTCCTAGACCGACTTCTCCAGTACGAGAACGTGGATGAAGACTCTTCTGGTGAGCAAGGTCATGAAAAATTGGTGGAGGACATGCTCCTGGCACTCCAGCAAGTTTCCCGGGCCCTCCCTTTAGGCCTTGGGGGCTAGGGCAGCCTAGTTGCTGGCCCTCCTCCTCTGCTGTTCTTTCACTGAAGTATTACTGAGTATCTGCTGTGTTTCAGACACTGAGCTTTGCACACAGGATGCAGTGGTAACCAAGATAGACAAAACCTCTTGGAGTTTGTATTCTAGCTGCCAGGAATAAGTAAGCAAAGAAGCAAATTAGAATTTTAGATTGGAAAGGAATAAAATCAGGGTTAAGTGGTAGTCATTGGAATAGAGCCGGGGTTGATACGCTTTTTCTGTGAAGGGCCAAGTAATAAGTATTTTAGGCTTTGCAGAACATACCATTTTTATTGCACCTACTCAGCTCTGCGGTGGTAGTTCCAAAACAGCTATAGGTGTTGTATAAATAGGTGAACATGGCTGTGTTTCAATAAAACTTTATTTATAAGCACTGAAATTTGAATTTCATAAAATGTTCACATCATGAAATATCTTTCTTTTGATTTGTCTTTTTCCCTGACCAACAAGTTAAAAATGTAAAAGCCATGCATAGTTTATAGAGCATACAAAAGCAGATGGCAGAAAACATTTCGAAAAGAGGGTCTTTTCAGGAATTAATGTGTGCGCTGGGACCTAGATAGGAAGAAACCTATCTTGTGAAGATGAGTGAGAGATTTCCTAGCAGAGGGAGTCACAAATGCAGATTCTCTGAGGTAAGACTGTACCAGATTGTTTGAAGAGCAGAAAAGCTGAAGCCTAAAAAGCAGTGTTCTCAAACTTTTTGAGCACTGTTGACAATTAGTAATATATTTTACATCATGATGGACCTTCACATGCTTCCTTACTTATAAGACAGAATTGAATAAAACAACATTAAGATCACTATGCAGTTCTGATACTTTTTAGACTGACTTTTTTTTTTTTCCTCAAAAGTGTTAAATTTGTGATCCACTGTTAGGTTGATACCACAGTTTGAAAAAGCCCTTGGAGAAGGAAATGGCAACCCACTTCAGTATTCTTGCCTGGGAAAGTCCATGGACAGAGGAGCCTGGCGGGCTGAAGTCCATGGGATTACATGACTGAGCATGTGTGCATGAGGGTGGAGGAAGATGGGTTTGTAGCAATAAAGTGGTAGAACTAAAAAAAGAAAAAGCCCTAAGATTGGCCTTTGTGGCCAGTCTTTTATTTTTGTCATAAGCCAAGTCACATGCAGTCACGTTTCCATGGTGTCTAGTGCAGGGATCAGCAAACAGCCAGCCAGGTTGCTTTTTGTAAAATAATATCTTGCTAAAACATGCAACACCCATTTATTTACATATTTTAGGAGAACAGTAGATGAGGTCAGAGAAGTAGACTCGGGGTGGCCCATGTACCTCATGGCAAAACATTCAGCCTTTATTCTAGTTTCTCATTGCTTTCTTGTTCCTTCCTGGAGGTCTTTCAGTTAACATCCTGTCAAGGGAGACTTCAGGATAGGGAGCATGAGGGAACCCAGCATGTTCATGGTCAGAGTGGGATATATCTGAGAAGCAAGAACTAGAGATGTAAGCCACCTTTAAATCTCAGAGAAGCCCACAGTGTGGTGAGGGAGACAGCCACATATGACACTGCCTGGCACAGCAAGGAGAGCCCTGATTATTGAGAATAGAGAGTTATGGAAGAATCAGCCATCCACTGGGCCTGAGGGACTCTGGAGACTTCTCAGAGAGGTCGCATTTAATCTGCTGCTTAAGGATATCTGAGCAGAGCAAGTGGGAATAGTGTATTTCACCTTTAAGTAGTTACTTGTTAAGTGAACCATAGGCCTTCTTGATGGAGACCCAACCTGGGGAATGACTTTCGGCTTTGAGAAAACAGATTGGTGTGATGTGAATACAGTGTGGTTAGGAGACCAGAAAGGTAAGTTGAGGCCATAATAAGAAGCATTTCAAATGCTGGCAGACCTCAGTAAGGATGTGATCAGTTTTACATTTTAGGTCATGCTGGGGTTGGGGAGGACAGAATGGCAGGAGTGATGAGATTCCTGAGCAGGTGGCTTTGACATGGCAGTGGCCTGATCTCGTGTAGTTGGAATCAGAAGCAGTAGGTGAAGGTAAGATTTAAGGTGCATATTCCCAGGAGCCTGGATGTGAGGAGTGGAGTAGAGGTAAGTGCTAGACAGCTCAGAGGCAAATAAGAGCATAAAATGGTCAGGAGCCAGAGGCCTGGGTACAAGCCCCAGTCCCACACCTTAATTTCCGAGCCTCAGGGACTGCATCTGGAAAGCAGAGGTGACGCTTTCCTCTTCCTCCTGGAATACTTCTGAAGACAATGAGAGGCAGCAAATGTCAAGCACCTGTTCAGAACCTGGCACATAGGAAATGCTTGACAAATATGTAGCATGGTGGTGCCCAGCCAGGAATTAGGGTGTAAAGGGCATTTTAAGAAGCTGGGGAAGCTGTGGGCCTCTCCACAATAGCACCTGTGTACCCCTCAGGTTCACCAGAGCCCTTCTGTAGAGTTGAGATTACACCCCTCTGGGGTAGATAGGGAACCCCCCCCCCCCCAGCAACCTCCCTACTGACCAGCCCTTCCCCTTGACAGACTCTGATGCCACTGCATCTTCAGACAACAGCGAGACAGAGGGGACACCCAAGTTGTCAGACACACCTGCCCCTAAGAGGTGAGTCGTCATTCTCGAGGAGGTGGGAGGTGGGGAGGGTACAGGCCACCTCTTTGCCTCTGACCCCCTCCCCTGTCCTTTCTCCAGGAAGAGAAGCCCTCCACTGGGGGGCACTCCCTCCCCCTCCAGCCTCTCCCTGCCTCCTTCAACAGGGTTTCCCCTTCAGGCCTCGAGGGCCCCCTCCCCATACCTGAGCTCGGTGAGTTGGGGTCAAGGGTGGAAAATGGTCTGATGCCTGGGAAAAGGTGGGCATCATTTGGGCAGAGGGGCCAGGCCTCAGGGTGAAGTCAGCCCAGCACCAAGGACCTCTGTCTGGGGGTGGCCAGCAGGTGTCCCTCGGAGGGGTGTGAGTCGGGGCTGCCCACTCCTCTCTGGTGTAGGAATGGGGGACAGGCATGACTGAGGAGCACAGACTCCAGGACACAGTCCTGCTGCTGTCCCCTCCCGTCTGTTCTCAGGAGCCACACTCATCACCATCTCTTGTTTTTCCATTCTTCCTCCTATTTGCATTTCTTCCCTCCACCCCCCACCCCATCCACTCCATTTCCCATCTCCATCCCCTCACTCCTGCCTGCAGCTGGCTTCCCCCACCTACCCCCCATTCCCTTCTGACTACCTGGCCCTGCAGCTGCCCGAGCCCAGCCCCCTGAGGCCCAAGCGGGAGAAACGGCCCCGCCTGCCCCGGAAACTCAAGGTACCCTGTTTGGGGGACATTAGGGAGGGGCCAGAACGGCAGGACAACCATCTGAGGGAGGCTCAAGACGGCTCTAGGCTGGGGGCCTGGCTTAGAACTATGAAGGACTTATGTGGGACTGCTCCCAGGGGCCCAGCCCAGGGCTGGGTGCTGAGGGGTGGGTCCCAAAAGTCCTGGCTCCTGCAACACCAGTCAGGTCAAGCCCAACCTCAGGGGACGCGGAGTGAAGACTGCTGGGGGCCAAGCTCCTTTTCACAGGTGTTCTGTGATTCCAGGGAGCCTCCAAGGAGGGATGGAGTTGTGGAATCTAGAATGAAGTCAAGGTTGCACCACTTAAAAACCACGTGACCTTGACCCTCTAGGTCTCAGAATGTGTGTGTATGAAGGGAGTGATCAGACCACATGTAATCATCAAGAATTGTGGAGCGCCTCCTGTGTACCAAGCACTATTCTAGGTGCTGCAGGTAGAGTAGTGAACACAACAAAAATCCCTACCTTCTCAGAGCCCACGTTCTTGAAGGGATAGGTGGAAAATAAACAAGATAAATAGGTCACAATGTAGAAAAATGGATTCAGGTAAAGAATCCATCTTACAGTTGGGTGGTCAGAGATTTAAAAGGGAATGAGCAGCAGCCCTTTGGCTGTCTTGAAAGTGTTTCATTTAGGAAGGAAGTCAGTGTGGTCAGAGCAGAGTGAGAAAGAGTGACCAGAGTGCAAGTCAGAGCAGCACCTGAGAGCCAAGGACGTGGAGGGCCTCAGAGGTGCTGTAAAGATTTGCGCTTGTCCTGTGAGTGAAATGGGAGCCACGGGAGAAGGCGGGCCTAGTGGGTTCTCATCTGACTGACATGTTAAGAACATTCCTTGACACTGCTGTGAATAGTCTAGGGGTTAGGGGCAAGGTCAGTTTGGAAGTGGGGAGACCAGTGAGGAGGCTGCTGCAGTCATTGAAGCAGCATGGGGAAGGGTAGAAGTCGATGATGGGCCTCTTTCAGAGAACCAGCCCTGGGAAGACCCGTGTGGGCTATGAGAGAGAGGGGCGTGGACAGTGACTCCAGGTGGTTTGGCCTGAGCAGCTGAAGAAGTGGAGTGGCCCTTCTGAGTTGGGGAGGACTGGGAGGAGCAGGCTTGGGAGGGAAGGTGAGTTTGGCTTTGGACATGTTGAGATGCTGTCTGGAAATGTGGACAGGACAACTGGGTAGTGTGAGCCTGGGCCACATGGGGTGCCTATTAGGAATTCATGGGCAGGGAGGTAGATGGAGAGAAGATGTTGGCACCTTGAGTGCCAGGAGAGATAAGGAACCGGAAGGCACAGTGCCCTTCCAGCTCTGAGCCAAAGTGATAGACTGGTGTGATGGCTCTCCTTTGGGTAGACTGTAGACTCGAGACTCTGGAGCCAGAAGTGAAATGGGAACCATGCTTGTGGTAGTCAGGAGTGTGGGTTCTGGAGTTTGAACCCCAGCCCTGCCACTTACTTCTGTATGACCTTGGCCTTTGAGCCTGGAGAATGAGTGACTGCCCAGCTTGTTTCACTCTCCTCAGCAGGGTTTTTGCTTCTTGTGTGTGGGGCGGGCTGGTGGAGAGGGCTCGGGCCGCTGAAACCTGGAGCCAGAGGGTGGAGGCATGGTGCAGGCTTGGCAGTTTGAGGCTTTGAGGTTCTGGGTCCTAAAGCAGAGATGTGTCAGGAAGCTACGTTCTAGACATGCAGGGCAGAGGGGCCCAGATAGATCACTGTGCGTGGGGGAGAGGGTGTATCGGGGAACACCTCAAAGAACAGGTAACATCTGAGTCCAGGGTGAGTGAGATTTGGGTATTCAGGCAGAGGCAATGGTGAAAAGAAAGCAGGAGTATGGTCAAAGTGTTGTTTGGGCTGAAGCATGAGTGGTGAGGGGAAAGAACATTGGAAAAAAGATAGGGTGGGGTGGGTCGTAGACAGCTGGATGTTCTGCAAGGAGAGTGAGGGGTCACTAAAGTTTCTGGGTGTATGGTGTGAGGAGACAGGAGGGGCAGGTCTGAGGAGGAGAGGGAACGCTGTGAAGACTGAAGCAGGTCAGTCAGGAGCCTGGGCCTCATCCACGCATGAGCTGTGTGACTTGGGTGGATTGTTTGACTCTGGGAACCTCTGCTTGCTTCTCTGTTCAGTGGGGTCCCTGTGAGGATAAAATGAGTCAACAGAGAGAAGACACTTAGCCCAGTGCCTGGCCCCTGGCAGGCCACAGATAAACATTTGCTGCTGTGGGTCATGCTGAGGAGGCCATGGAGTGAATCCAAGCAGAGGGGACTTGGGTAGGGACTCAAGAGGCTGTGACCAGAGGAGGGGACAGCTATGTCACTGGCCTTTTCAGTTGTGGGTGTGCATCTGGTCCCGTGTGTGCACATGGGTGCCTGGTACTTCGTGGGAGGCCACTGTGCAGAGCTGGCCTCCTGCCTGTCATCAGTCCTGGCGGACTCCTGTCCCCTGAGTTACAAATACCCTCTGGCCCTCCATGCCACCCCAGGAACAGCAGTGAGTGGAGGGGGGGATGCCTTGAGAAGCAGAGAGTAGGCCCCTGGGGCCCAAATGAGTTAAAGCAATCAGAAGGGCCACCATGAAGACCACTGCCCCACCCCCACCCTGGGGCCAGACTGGACACTGCCCAGTGGGAACCCGGGGCGCGTGTGCCTTCAGACCTCCACTCCAAGCCTCCGTTTCCTCTGGCCGATGACCTCTCCTGCCTTCCAGGGTGCTCAGAATGGTCAGAGGTCATTAGCAGAAGTCACCTGGCACGTAGTAGGTGTTCAGCTTGTGCCCACGGGCAGAGCATGAGGCCCCCAGAGCTCTGGGGAGAATTCAGAAGGACCTGGGGCTGGGGGGCAGCTGGAGGGTTGAGCTGAACAGAGGCCACTTCCCAGCCTCAGCACAAAGCCGGACTTCTGACCCGTAGAAAAGGGCACTCCAGGTGGAGGGACCAGCCTATTCTTAGGCACTGCCTGTCCCCCAAGGCCCTCGAGTGGGGGAGTGACACGCTCAGGTCTGTGTTTTAGAGAGCTCACTCTGGCTGCAGTGTGGAGGAGGAGCTGGATCTGGGAGAGGCTGAAGGCAGGGATTCCAGTTAGGAGGCTGGTCCCATAGCCCAGGTGAGCTGAGAGGAGGGCCTGGCCCAGGCCAGTGGCTGCGGGGATCCCAAAGAGGGGCCCGTCCCAGACATAAGAGGTAGAAGCCTCACATGGCGGGGGGGGTGAAGACCTTGGACACCCTGCACCGCACCAGTGAGCCCCTCAAGAGGAGGAGAGAGAGGAGGCCAGTGGAGTCCAGCAGTAACCCAGGTGCCCACAGGCGGGCAGGCAGGCTCCTGACTGGCTCTGACTGCTACTGTAGGGGCAGCCACGGTGCCTTACTGGCCAGGGCCAGGCCCAGCCTTTCCTTCTTGGTTTCCTGTGAGACCCCCTCCACCACCACCCTCATCACCACCTCCATCACCACCCCTCACCCCCAGGCACTTGCTGATTTGATGCTCTGAAAGGGCTGAGGTGGGGCAGGTTCCCTGACTCCAGCCTTGGCTGGCCTGGTGTGTCCACTGCCCCTTGAACGAGCTTTTGCCCCCCTTCCCTGGCCCTTAGAACTGTCTTAAGGGGCAGTGCCAGCCCCCTGGAGCTCCCAGTGCCTCCCTGATAAGCCCTCCCTGTGTTTCTCCCCCTGCTGCAGATGGCGGTGGGACCCCCCGACTGCCCTGTGGGAGGGCCGCTGACCTTCCCAGGCCGGGGCTCTGGGGCTGGGGTGGGGGCAGCCTTGGCCCCCCTACCCCCACCCAAGATGCCCCCCCCTACGATCCTGAGCGCCGTTCCTCGGCAGATGTTCAGCGACGCGGGCAGCGGGGATGATGCCCTGGACGGGGATGATGACCTGGTGATCGACATCCCGGAGTGAGCCCCTCTTCCCAGCCCCCTGCCCAGCCCCCTCGGTGCCAGCACACATGAGCCGCCCCCAGCTTCCGCAGAGAAGTTTATTGACACCCAGTTGCCATGCTGCGGCCACGGACACAATCAGAAAAGGTGTAAACATGCACGAATGTCCCCCAGAAGGTGGGCCCTCTCCATGGAGGGCAGGGGTCCTGCCCTCACATCCCAGCCTGATCCAGAGGACAGTTACTTAAAGGAGTGGCCAGGGCCATCCGTCACCTCTCAGAGAGGCAGAGACCCTGCAGTGGCCCCCCGCTTAAAAGGGCAGCTGTACAGGGCTAGGGGTGTGTGTGTGTGTGTGTGTGTGTGTGGTTTTTTAAATGAAGATTGTGTATTAAAGAAGTGGCTCTTTGTTTTTTGTCCTTTTCTTTTTTGGAAACATTCTCCTCCAAACCCCCCCTAATCCGACCTCCTCCTGCAGGGGAGGGGAACGGGCAGCCTGGAGAGGCAGGAGAGAGAAGTGGCAGCCGGGGCCCTGGGCTCTGTGGGACCCCCCACAGGTGTGCTCAGGATGGGTGGTTTGCATATTTGCAGGTTGTAGCGAGTCAGGCAGAAGGAAGTTTGCATATGTGAATATAGATCTCCACAGTCCCTCACAAGAAGACAGACCCACGGTCACGGAGACTCTCACGAAATAAGACAGGTAGTGCGGGGCGGGGCATCCACCCCGTGTAAACGTGCAACACGCTCGTGCGAAGGTTGGGTACTGGACCCGGCCCCAAGGGGCCACCGTGCCACTCAGGCTGAGGGCAGAGCCCCGGCCGCGGGGGGCAGCTGGCTGGTCAGAGTGTGCCAGCGTTCCAGGGCTGCATCCGGCTGCTGCAGACAGTCACTCCAGTGCCTCCGGGCCTCTCCCCGGGCGCCTGGCCCCAAGGACACGCCACCTGGGGAGCAGCAGAGGCAGGCAAAATCAGGGCCAGGCTGGCTGCCAGGCTGCCCTCCATAGGGCACCACCGGGCAGGCTCCTCCCTCACCGATGAAGTCGTTGGATTTGCCGATGTCATAGTCCCAGACTGTGACTTCCAGAGTCTTAGTGGCCAGAGTGGAGAGCTCCATATCATAGAAGAACTCCTGGGACAGGGCAGGCCGCACCTTCCATGAGGTGCTGCCTGCCCCCAGCCCCAACCCCTCCCACTCAATTTCCAGTCTCAGTCCCATTCACCTCATTAAATTCCGGGTTGAGAGTCTTCTTCTTCACACATGTTTTATGCTTGGATTTCTTATCCACATCCGGCCTCAGGTACCTGTCAAGGAGCGGGGGAGAATGGGAGTCGGGGGTGGGGGGCAAGTAGGTCAGGGAGAGGCCAGACCCCAGAGGAGGATGGGGCTGGCGGCAGGTCCCTGGGGAGGGGAGGACAGGCCTCAGGACAGGGCAGAGGCTCACGTCTTGACATAGGGGTCGGAGTAGCCGTTGACGTCCATGGCAGCCAGGTGGGCACAGCGCACGATGCCCACCAGCAGCCCGCGGCGCCGAGAGCTGTAGCTGAGGCTCAGCAGGATGCGCCCACGCTCCTCCAGCAGCCCCGGCCCCTGCTCTGCCTGCTCCAGCTGCAGGCAGACACAGGGGTCAGCGGCACCCCCACCACCTCCCACCAGAAGCAGCCCCCATGGGTGGCTCACCTCCTTCAGGTAACAGGAGATGCCCCTCAGCGCCGCAGACATGGAAGAGGGTGAAGCCAGCTGAGGGGGTGGAGAGAAAGTTCTGGAAACCTGGTCTCCCCTGGGCCCCCTTGCCATGGTACCCCACCGCCCCACACAGACCGGGACCTGGCGCTCGAGGCAGATATTAAAATGCTTCTTCTGTGAAGGCTTGAGGCGGCGGAGGGGTACTCGGATCTCCCCAATGAACTCGTTGTGGCTCAGCTTGTCTTCATCACAGACGGAGATCCTGGTGGGGAACTGCAGGGTCAAGGCCCCCTGGGGTACCTGAGCCCCACTTCAAGGTGGGAGAAAGGTCCCCACCTGAATTCTGAGCACCCGAGACTGGTCCCAGCTTTGCCCTCAGTAGTCTGTTGTTAATTGCTCAGTCGTGTCCTACTCTTTGCGACCCCATGGACTGTAGCCCTCCAGGCTCCTCCGTCCATGGGATTTCCCAGGCAAGAACACTGGAGTGGGTTGTCATTTCCTCCTCCGGGGGATCTTGCCAACCTAAGGGTTGAACCCGGGTCTCCTGCATTGCAGGCAGATCCTTTACTGTCTGAGTCACCAAACCCCTCACTTGTAGAACAGCTGTCTCCAGCACCAGGCCTGGAGCTTGAGGAGGATGCTTTGATGTGCCTGTGCCTCAGCCCCTCGCTTTCCCTGCCCATCAGGACCTGCTCAGCTTGCTGAGGAAACCCTCACGAATCTTGGGAACACTGTCCCCTCCCCCCTACACACACATAACTGCCTCCATTCAGGGCCCGGGGACAGGATCCAACTGAACGTGCAAGGCTGTGCACTGGTGAATATGGGTCACGAGACCAGGACGTCAGAGCCAGAAGGGCCTGGAGGGGCCTTGCGCAGTCGGACCAGGAGCCCACCCCTCCCCCGCTAGAGCCCTTGTCCTTTACTCTGTGGAGCAGGAGCCAGCCTGGGAGATACTCATGAGCCCAGGAATTAAAAAGTACTGCTCGGGACTTCTCTGGTGGTCCAGTGGCTAAGACTCCATGCTCCCAATGCAGCGGGCCTGGGTTCCATTCCTGGTCAGGGAACTGGATCCCACAAGCTGCGACTAAGATCGACTGAAACCTGACAGAACTAAACAAATAACTTAAAAAAAAATTCTGCTTTTACTTCTATCCAGCCCCCTCCACAGCCCCCTGCCCTGCCTTCAGCTGTGATGCTCTGGAGCAGCTCTGTCCTGTAGGGATGTTCAGTTCCCAGCTCTGCCACATAGTGACCGCATGACCTTGAGCAAGTCACTTAACCTCCCTGAACCTCATTCCATTCCTGTCCCTTGAGACCTCACTCCTTAGATATGCCAGGGAGACACGGGCAGCAATGGGCTGCATAGGTCTGACTTGAGTCAAGGACTCTGAGAAGGCATCTCAGTGTCCAGGGAAAGACTGCAAGAGGAGGCAGAGCCTTGGATGATGAGTGGGGTTCAGGCCGGCAGAGAGGAGGCAGGAAGAGGCACAGCAGACAAAGGTCGGGAGTGAAGAACCCTCATGAGAGGGCAGTCCTCAGAGGAGCAGTAGGAGATATTTGGGGGAGGGGGGTGGCAGGAAAGTCAGGGGAACATTCTGGCCTGCTCCTGAAGGGGGTGGGAGCACCCCCTGAAGGGGGTTCTGGAGCATCTGAGGGCTTAATGGGAGGTGAGTCAACAAACCAAAGAAGGTTCCAATGACAGCTGTCCCCAAGGAGGTGCTGAGCTTGAATGATTGGGACTGGGGATGATGGACCCCCTCACCTGAGCACCTTGTGCGTGATGTCATCAACCGTGATCCCGCTATACGTCAGGTCCTCGTTCCACACAGGATTCAGCGTGTTCCTCTGAGTCTTAGTTTTTAGTTTATTGGCCTTAGGTGAGGGGATGAAGGATTCACAGTACGTGTCCCCCAGACCCACAAGCTGGGGGGACTAGGGGAGGGGAGAGGCCAGCCAGTACCTTGCAGGCTCCAGGCAGCAGGTGCAGCTTGACATAGGGGTCAGCCAGGCCATTGAAATCCATGGGCTTGAGGCCCTGGGGAGGACGAGAGGAAAGACAGCTGTGAGCTCCCAGAGTGCCCACTCACCTCCCCTCTTCCTCTCTGTCTGTCTACAGCGTGGACACTTAGGGGCTGGAGGGGAGGAGTAGGAATTAGGCCTGGGGAAGGGAAGGGAGTGGAGAAGGGAAAGTCTACTCTAGTATGCTGGCCTGGAGAATCCCATGGACTAGAGTCCATGGGGCACAGAGTTGGACACGAGGGAAGTGAGAATGGAAACCCACCCGTCTCAGGATAGGAGGCCAGCAGGGGGAGGCAGGGAGTACCCACCTTAGCCCTGAGGATACTACAGTGCAGAGTGCAGGAAGCCTGGTCGTAGAGAAGGTCAAACTCCAGCGTGCCGAGGGCGGCTGGAGGAAGAGAGAAGAGCTCACCTGAGAGTGCGCCGTAAAGACAAGGTGTGTGTGAGAGACGGGTTGTGCGCCAGCTGTGAAGGTGTGTGCGTGTCTGCGGCTGTCAGCCCGCGAGCCTGTGCGCGTCTGGGTCCCTGGCTGGGCTGCAACTGGGGCTGTGTGGGTGGTTGAGTGTCTCAGCAGAAATATTGAATATTGAGCCTTGCTGAAGCTGTAATCTCCACTCCGACTGCAGCTGTGGCAGCAGTGCCCGCCGCCTCCCCACCCCCAGCAGAGCCCAGGCACTTCCCACCAGCCTGGAGGCCCCCAGGAGTGCCCTGGGCCCTTCAAGCCCCCAGACTCACTGGTATCATCCGAGTCGTAGCTGTCCACCTCGGCTCCCTCCTCGGGCGTGGTGGCCCCAAGGAGGGCCGCCGGGGGGGCCAGGGCCAAGGGGGCCAGATGAGCAGGGGCCTCTCCGAAGCCCCCGCCACCCCCTTCGAGGCCGGGTCCCCGGCGGGGGAAGTAGTCGGAGATCTGGCGGATGGGCCGGATGGGCCCCGGGCACACGTTGATGGCCATGTGCTCCTGGATGTTGATGGCCATGCGGTCGCCCCTGCGGCCCCTCATGAAGCACCCCTAGCTTGGGGAGGGAGAGAGCGTGAGCCCCAGGCTGGCTGAGTCCTCAAACCTCCCATCAGCTGGCTGAGGGCCAGGCGGCAACTGCTGGGGTCTGAGGGCCCTCACTGGCCTCCCTTCCTGGGTGCTGAGGGAGAGGGCAGCCTGTGCCAGCCGACGGGCAATCAGGAGGCCTGGGCCCTCCAGACCCTGAGCTGTGCTCCCCCCGGAGGCCAGGCTGGCAGCCACCTCCAGAAGAAAGGTCCTGGCTCCAGCTCAGCCTTGCCCACCTACCTCTAGACTGTCCCCTGTCCTCGTCCCAGCTCCTGCCCCTCATTCTGGGCTTCTGTCTGCTCTGGGCCCTGCCGACCCCTCAAGCGGCCCCCCGTAAGCTCCCGCCTCTCCCTCTTTGAGGCTCTGGCCATCCTTCTGCACCAGGCACTGGTCTGGTCTGGGTGTCACCCACCCCTTAGGTTCTCACTTCCCACAGTCCCTTCATTCAACCTCAGGGTCTGCCTGCTGGCTGGTCCCCCACCCTCTGCGGCCCAAGGTGGGGACCCCCACCTCAGATGCTTCCTCCTGAGGTCGGATCTCCAGCGGAGCCAGGAATTGCAGCCTCCGGAGAGCCGAACACCCCCCGGAGGCACACACAGGCTGACACACACACGCTCACCCTCACCCTCTCGCCCCCGGCAGCCCAGCCCCCAGCACCTATCTTTGCGCCTCCAACAGGTGCCCAAGCACTGGGGGGCCAGCGGGTGCGGGCTGGGCGGTGGCGGCCGGCGATTCCCAGGGCGGCCGGAGAGAAGAGCGCCGAGTCCGGCAGTCTGAGCCGAGCGGGAGGGAGAGCCGGAGAAAGTGCGGGGAGGAGGGGGTGAGCGAGGTGGAGGCTAGGAGGCAGCAGGCGCGGGCGGCGGGGGGCGGGGAGGGGCGGCCGGAGGCTGGGGATGGGGCGGGACTCTCCCGCCGGTGCCCGCCCGGGCACACTTAAGGAACGCACCCGGGTGCACACACACTCACGGGCAGGCTGGCACACGCATCTTGCACGGACACTCCCGCGCACACGCCTGTGCCCACGTGCGCACGCTCACAGTCATGCACAAACCCAGACACGCGCTGGCACACTTACCCCGGAGAACTTCGCAGACACACGCTCGCAAACACACGGACAACCTGCGCCACCAGGAACCCTCAGCGAGAACAGCCGGGTGTTCCCCAACTCCTCCCTGGAGACCCGAGCCCCCGCGCCCAGCCCGCGGAGCCTCGCTCCGCCGCTCTCTGCTGGCTTCCCTCCCGGGTCTACAGGGCAGACCACCGGCCTCGTTGCCATGGCGACGCCGGATCATCCTACCCCCCCCCCCAACACACACCTCTCCAGTCCTCACGCCCCTCCCCCGCGGAGGAGGGGGGAGGGTGTCTAGCCTCCCCTATCGATATCCGTAGGGGCGGGTCCTGTGGGGCGGGGCTTAGAGAACCGCAATGACCCAGGAGCGGGCTGGGGAAGGGGATCTGATCCGCCTGCGGTCCCTAGTTTGCGATCTCGCGTCCCGGCCCCTCTGCTGGGAAACCTCACAGTTTGAGGCCCGAGGCTGTGGCTCACCTCACGCTTCCATCCTTTGACTGGTTAGGCTTCTTTCCTTGGACCCAACCCAGGTCATGAGGGTCCATGTCCGCTTCTTAGGGCTGGCATCTCCTTTGGGAATCCACCATCTCTCACCTTCCCACTTGCAGTCTGACCCTCAGGTGCAGCTGAGCACAAGGCTTCGTTCTATATGCCCCAGAGCCCTGCAGGCCTTCCTTCTCTTCTCCTTCTCTCACCTGAGCCCAGCACCTACCTGTCAGTCTAACTCCAGTCTTGGATCTTGGCTCTCTTCTCTCCCAAACTCGCCAGCCCCCAATGACAAAGTCCTCACAGTGACCTTCCAGGCCCTTCAGCCTAAGACTGTGACTTCTCCCATCTCATCCCCCTTACTCATCTTGCTGGCTTTCAGGAACATTACTTGCAGTTCCTAGAACATACCTGGGTCTCTCAGTCCTGCAGAACTTTGCTCACCCAAGTTCCTCAGCGTGGAAGATCTTTCCTTTTTTCGGGCACCTTGGACCCCCTCTTCCTAAGACACATCCCCCACACCCCCAGTCCAGCCCCCAGCCTCCTGAGCTCTCACAGCCTCCGCTCTGGTGACGCTGGCATGTCACGCCTGTTTACATTTCTGTCTCCACCACCACTGAGGAACAAAGGCTGTCCCAAGCTGGGCCTTGCACTATGTTGTCATCATTAAATACTGTGATTTTAGGTTGTGTAGCAATGTGAGTATACTTAGTATTGCTGAATCTGTTGCTTGAAAATGGCTAAGATATTGAGTTGGCCATAAAGTTCGTCTTTTTCTGTAACATTTTAAGGAAAAACTTGAAAGAACTTTTTGGCCAACCCAGTATAACTATTCATATATGGATTTTTACAACCCCCCCCCCTTTTTTTTTGGCTGCGCTGTGTGGCATGCAGGACCTTAGTTGCCCAACCAAACTCGTGCCCTCTGCAGTGGGACCATGAAGCCTTACCACTGGACTTCCAGGGAAGTCCCTACCCCATTTTTTTTTTAAGTAAAGGAAATGTAAAACCAAACTACCCTGAGATACCACTTGTCACTGATCACATGGTAAACATTAAAGCAAATGTTAACACACAATGTTGATGAGGCTGTGGATAAATGGATACCATCTCTGTAACCACTGTTAGACTCTTTGATCCAGAAATTCTGCTTTTAGGATTTGGCCCAGGAGCAAAATAATAGAAGTTCAAGATTATTAACTGCACCATATCTGCCATGGCAAAAGATTGGAAACAACTTAAATGTCCATCTGATTCAATCAGTTATGACACAGTTTCACACAATGAAATAGCATGCAGCCATGACAATGAGGCTCTTTATGTACTTATACAGAATCATCTTCACAATCTCATGGCAGCTGAAAAACGTAAGCTACAGAGGAGCATGAATGGAATACTGCCATTGAGTAAAAAAAGAGAGAGAACTTATATGTTTATTTGTGCATAAATTTATGGAAGGCCTCACAGAAAAAGTAGCTATGGTGACCTCTGAGGAGGCTGTCGTTGAGGCCAGAGAGGGAAGGAATAGGAAATGTGTATTTTGTACCATGTGCATATGTTACCTACTCAAAAGAATACACTAAAATAGCATCTTTTAAAAAATAATTTTATTTATTTTGGCTGTGCTGGTTCTTCACAGCTGCTTGGATTTTTCTCTAGTTTCAAGGAGCAGAGGTTACTCTCTCGTTGCAGTGCGCAGGCTTCTCCTTGCGGTGGCTTCTCTTGTGGAACACAGGCTCTAGGACGCCCAGGTTTCAGTAGTTGAGGTCTGGGCTCAGTAGTTGCGGCTCCTGGGCTCTAGAGCACAGGCTCAATAGTTGTGGTGCACAGGCTTAGTGGCTCCACGGCACGTGGGATCTTCCCAGATTGGGGATCAAACCTGTGTCTCCTGCATTGGCAGGCAAATTATTTACTACTGAGCCACCAGGGAAACCCTGAAATAATATCTTTTTAGAATAAAAGCAGCCATAAGGTTTTCTTTGAGTTTCTCCAGGATAAGAAAGGAGGCAGGACTAAGGGAGATGCTACCCATGATCAAAGCTGGCGAGTTTGAGGAAAGGCAGACCTAGGTCTGCAGTGAGAGGAGGGGAGAGCTGGGCGAGAAGCCGACAGCTGCTTCCTCCGCTACTTTCTTCTCAGGGGCTTAGTGCAGACCCACCATGGGGCATCCAGAAAGCCTTGTTGCAGGAAGGTGAGGATGAGGCTGGAGTTCCAGCTGGTTGCAGGGGGACATGCAGACAGTGCTGAGCCCTCGTACGTCTAGAGGTGGAAAGGCTTTTCATCCATCCATTAAGCCAATAAATATTTATTGAATACCTACTCTATATTGTGGTGCTACGGCTATGACCAAGATCGATGATCTCTGGCTTCACAGGCTCGTAAGGGAAATAGACAAATACACAGACACTCTAGTGCAGTGAGACTGATGTGGTGATGCGCGATGGTCAGAAAATTCAGGTTCACTTCCCAGTGGAAGTGTTGTCTCAGCTGAAACTTGGAAGATGAGGAAGAATTCCTGGGTCAAATAGGGGGCAAGAGAGTGGGAGGCAGAGGGGTATGCAGAGGCTGGGAGATGCTAAGGAACTGAAGCTGGGAAAGAACTGAAGTGGGTAGGTAGACAAGAGACTCACAGATCAGGGTAAGAAGTTCAAGGAAGCCACTGGAGGGTTTTAAGTAGTGGATCCATGTGTCCTGGTTTGTTCTCAATGGGGGAAGAGCGAATAGAGATCATGCAGTCCACAAAACGTTGCAATAAGCCAGATGAGACATGGGGTTGGCTTGAATGAGAAGAGGGAAGTAGATGAACTTGAGATTTAGATTGGAAATTGAGCCAATTTTTAAATTATATATTCTTTTTAAAATATATATATTTTTTACTTACTTATTTGGCTGTGCCGGGTCTTAGCTGAGACATGCTGAATTTTTTTTTTTTTTTTTAGTTGCTGCATGGGAACTCTTCGTTTCAGCACACAAGATCTGGTTCCCTGACCAGGGATCAGACCCAGGCCGCCTGCATTGGGAGCGCAGATCTTAGCCACCAGACCACCAGGGAAGTCCTGAAGCAACAGGCCTTGACTATGGGTTTATCAGAAGAGAAACAGGGAGGGGTTTGAGGCAATTCCTAAGTTTTTATGTTGAGCAAAACATCCAGAGCAACAGCGAGCTCCTTTGCTGCAGTGGGAAGAAGGTGCAGGTTTGGGATAGGAGAATTGAGAACTGTACTTGGGATCTACTGAGTCTGAGATGTTTTTGGACAGAGCCATGAAGCAGGAAGTTGGGTAGGGGAGTCTGGAGCTCAGAGGAGAGGGCTGGGCTGGAAATATACATCTGTGAGTCACCAGAATATAGATAGTATTTAAAGCCATGCGACTGGATGAGATCACCTAGAGAGAGAGGGTATAGATAGAAAAAAGAAGGTCCAAGCCTGAGCAGCTTAGAGGGGGAGGAGTCAAGAAAATCGGTGAGTGCCTAGAGGCAGGAATGTGCGCACTCTGCTGAGAGTCAGAACCAACAGAGAAGTAAAGGTTAGATTTGGCAAGTTACGGGGTCCTTGGTGCACCCACCAAAAGTGACTTCAGTGGAGTGGTGGGGACGAAGCCAGTCGTGAAGAGTTTGAAGGATACATTAAAGGTGAGTGAGCAATGATAGCAAGTGTAGACAGCCTCTTCGGGTTAGTCTGTCTGTACTCAAATAATGTGCACCCCTGAGTTCTCTTTCCTCTGTGGTCCCCTGGGGCAGAGACCATGCCCTTTTGATTTCTATCTAAGCCATAAATGGAGTCCAGCACATAACAGGAGCGCGATACATTTATTTAATGGTTGGATGAATAAATGAATGGATAATTCACTGCTTGTGTCCAAAGGGCCTTTTCTGGCAGGGAGGACAGCTGTGTTCCTTTGAGGCAACTCAGGAAACTGTCAAATTCCCTCCAAAGGCTAAATAAAGAGTCTGGACCCCCCTTCTCCCAGGACCCCTTCTCCCAGTTAAGCCCTGGAGGGCAACTGCCTACAGGCCTGCAGAGGGAGCCCTGGGCCAGAGCTGGGAATCAGGCTGAGTCCCTACTGCCCTTCACATGCCTGTGACACTGGGCAAGTCACTTCCTTTTTCCGAGAAGAGATACACGTAGGGTTCAATCCCTGGGTCAGGAAGATCCCTTGAGAAGGAAATGGCAACAAATCCCAGTACTTTTGCCTGGAAAATCCCATGGACAGAGAAGCCTGGTAAGCTGCAGTCCATGCGGTCACAAAGAGTGGAACACGACTAAGCATACACAGACAGAGCCAGTCCCCCAGAAGGCCCCGTAGATGTTAGTCTGTCTCCTCCTTTCCCCTCTTTTTTTCTCTCTGAGCCTTTTCCTTGTTTAGGAAGTAGAAGCTGACCCTGACAAATACCTCCCAGGGTTGCTGTGAGAATAGGTGGGCAGTCCCTGAGGGTCGGAAAGACGAGGGTGGGGATCCAGTAGAGGAAGGAGCCTCCTTCTATAGGACAGAGGACCTCACACACCACAGACACATGTCTGACATGGGGCATGTCACGGAACTTGTCAGAGGCTGCTGAACAGGCAACTGTGTAGCAAAACCAAGAAGACCCTGAAGTCTCCTTGGGCTTGGATGGGGCGGGACAGATGTTTGACAGACAGGCCTACCTGCCAATCGAAGGGGAGCTGATTATTATCCGCTGAGGGAGGCCACAAGAGTGAAAGCGGCTGTTGGAAAGTGACAAATAAGGGAAAAGAAGAAACCAGAAAGGGGAAACAGAATGGGCCGTGGGGGAGCCTACCAAGAGATGGGGAGTCTGTGAAGCCTCTAAGCATGACCAAGAGACTTGCCCCGAGATGGGTCAGGGGACTTCCTCTGACCACCCCCATGCCTGCCATTCCCCCAACGATATCTTTTCCTGAGGCAACCTGAAGGGATGAGGTGGGAGGGCTTGGAAACTTGGAGCCGTGTCTTCCTTAGGTAAGAGAGAAACAGGCAGGCAGACATAGACACTGCTGCCACCTAGCGGAGATGCCTGTTGTTTCTCTAAGTGGCTAACCCCAGCGTTGTCCTCAGCGGAGCACCAAGAAACGGAGTTTGGGGCATGGGGGAGATCCCCAGGCCCCTGCACTTGAGGACACAGGCAAGGAGGGGGCCCAGGGAGAAATATAGATGCCCTTCGGAAATGTGTGTTGCCTACATCACCTCTCTCTGTCTTGGCTCCCTCCTCTGTAAGATGAGGACATAGTACCTAACCTCAGAGGATGTTATGATGGTTAAATGAGTCAGTCCATGAAAAGTACTTGGCATCGCGGCAAGTGCTCAATAAATGCTATCTGCGGTCGATCCAAGGGGGTAACTGGAGATGTTTAGCCCTGTCCTCCATCCCCCCCACCAGTCCACTGTGCCTGCTATACAAATGCTGTTTTCCTCAGTTCTGGCTTTCAGCAAATTGTCCCACCAAGCTCCTCATTTGTAAATTCTGGGGCTTCCACTCTCACTGTTCTATCAACAGCATCAACCCGAAGGCTCTATGAGCCCCATCCTCTCCCCTCTGGATCCAGGGGCTTGCGGGGGAGGGTCCTGGATCTTAGCACTTCCTCTCTCCCGTCACCCTAGAGTTTAAAGAATGGCTCCCAGCTGTGACATCACAGAACTCTCACCTCTCACAGGAGTGGAGGGGTGATGAGGCCAAGGCAGTGGGTGTGGGTGTGGATGTGGCTGCTTGGGCTGGGGTCCCTAGAATCAGGTGGGAAGCTGAGAAGAGTGGGGAGGAGGAAGGCTGGGGATTGGGGTCAATCGCCACCCACCCCCCTAGCCCCCCAGAGGCTGGGAGGCCATGCCTGGGCTCTTTTTGTTCTCCACACTTCTCTCCCATCCTCCCTGCCCAGCATAGGCCTTCTCCTGGAGGGCTCAGCCAACCCCTAAGAAGTTCTGGGAACAAAATCAAGGTCCTCCACAGCTCCACGAAGGCTATGTGGCCTGGCAGGGCCCTGGGTCTGTCTCAGCCTCTTGGGTGGGGTGCAGGGCTCTGCTTGGCTTTTTCATACACTTCGCTCTGTGTCCCCAGCACCCAGTCTGGAACGTGCCAAGGCCTCGGGCCGGGGAGCAGAGTCTCCGCTCTTCCTAGACAGACCTGACTTCTTTGATTACCCAGACTCAGACCAAGCCAAGCTCCTGGCCGTGGCCCAGTTCATTGGAGAGAAACCTGTCATCTTTGCTAACTCAGGTATGACACAGCTTGAGAAGGGGCTGCCCTCCTGGCCAGGGCCTAGAGGACAGCTGCCCTTGGCCCTTAGGTTGGAGGCAAGTCCAGGGTCCCCTGTCTCCCTGTCACTGTCAAGCAGGTTCTGACTCCAGGCTCTTCCATCACATCCTGGTGGGTGCTCTGCTGGTGGCCTTCTTCTTCCTGCTTTTCCAGTTCTGCACTCACATGTAAGGCCTGTCCCTCACCCCCTCACCCCCCGCCCACCGGAACCTTGCTCGGGAAGAGGCTGAGGGACCCAAAGCCCAGGGAGGCAGCGTGACCTCCAACCTCTGATCTCCACACCCCACAGGAGCTGTGAGAAAGGGGCCTAAAAAGGCGGAGAAGAGCCCTGGATTCTGCCCTGGGCACCCATGCCCACTCTCCTCTCTTGATGATGAATAAGAGTCCTTGCTTCTTTCTCCCTGACTGCTCAGCTTGGGGGGCCTGCCCTGTCCCACAGTCAACCTGTTATGGCACTGTCTGCCCCCAGATGCTTGCTCCCTCCCCAACCCCAAAGAACTGGGTGACAGGGCCTTGGTGGCATTCACGCTGATGTCTTTATTAGCGGTCTGTAAAGCACCTCCCAGGGTCCCCCCGACCCCAGACTGGAGGAAGCCTTGAGAAGTCTGTAGCACCAGGGACATGCCAGGGCCCAGGGGCAAGATGTCAGCTTCACGGGGAAGGGGCTGGGTGCTCCCCCACTTGCCCCCTGGGGTTGCTCAGCACTGGGAAGGCTGGGGGGTAGCAGCCACCTCCCTCCCCCCACCCCAACAAATTTGAATAAATAAATAAAATAAATAAGATTCCTCAGGCTGGCCTCCCCTGGAGAGAAGCTGTGGAGATGACCATACCAGGGACGTTAGAGGGGGTGTTGCCTCCCTCCCAGAGGAGTTTGCAGCAGGGGGACTGGGATGGCCTTGGCAGCAGGGCCTCCCCCACAATTCTTTTATGAGTCCTGGTCCCCTCAGGCTCCCCACAGCCTCAGAAGCCCTAAGCGGATGGGAAGGGGTGCGCCTTCTTCCTCTTCCTTCGTTTCTCCAGGGCCCAGGGGACGTGATGGAGAAAGGGGTATGCAGGAGGGGGTCGACCCCTCGGCTCAGTCTCCCCTGGTCCCGGCCCCCAGCCCCTGAAGGGACGTGACCCCACCCCGTTGGAGTCCATCTGTCAGTTTCCAGGGGCACTGTCAGGGCCAGAGGCCCCTGGCTCCCACTGCTAGCCCAGCGGCCCCAGAGCCCTGTTCCCACGCAGTGGGGATGGGGGTGGGGTGGGGAGCTCGGCCCCACTCTCAGTCCTGGGTCTGACAGGGAGAGGGCGGCCGGGAGCCCCGGGGCCGGAAGAGGCGGCAGGCTCCGCGGCAGATGAGGAAGAACCAGTAGAGCTGCGGGGCGAGGAGCAGCGCGGCGCCAAGGTTGACGTGGACCGGGAGGGCAAGGGGCACGGCGAGCAAGGGCAGGCCCGCGTGCCGCCCGTAGGCCCAGTACAAGTAGGGGAAGAGCAGCACCCGGCAGCAGAGGAAGCTGAGCAGCATCAGGGCCCCGTTCACCTTGTGCAGCAGCGTGTGCTGCTGTTTGTACTGCGGGCGGGGCGGGCAGACGGGCGGGATGAGGGGCGGGGCGGGCAGACAGGGGCGGGGCATGCACATGGAGGCGGGGCGAGGGGCGGGACGGACAGACAGGGGCGGGGCGAGGAGTCAGGGGCGGGGCAGACTCCTCCTCGTGGCCTCCGGCCACGCCCCCGACTCAGCCCCCTGGGCCACCTTCCCCTCCGCCCACCTCCCGGCCTTCCCTCCTTGGGACTGGGGCCAGGTTAGGGGCTCTCCCCAGGACCCGCCCCCTCTTCCCCTCCCCCTCTGCCCTGACAGCTCCCCTATACCCTACCTGATAGCCCCTCCCAGACCTGACCTGTCCTTTAAAAAAATCCCAGTTGTTTTTTAGTTGCTAGGTTGCATCCCACTCTTTTGAGACCTCATGGACTGTGGCCCGCCAGGCTCTTCTGTCCATGGAATTCTCCAGGCAAGAATACTGGAGTGGGTTGCCTTTTCCTCCTCCAGGGGCTCTTCCCGACCCAGGGATCGAACCCGTGTCTCCTGCATTGGCAGGTGGATTCTTTATCACTCAGCCACCAGGGGATAAGCCCGGATTGGTTCCTAAAAGTGCCCAACCCTTCCCTTGTCCTCCCGTCAAGCTCGAAAACCCGCAGCGCCCTCTCACCTGGATAAGAATCTTGCCAAGGCAGACGAAGGGGGTGCTGACCTCTGCCATCAGCAAGCAGCCTAGAAAGAAGTCTCCCTTCCCTTGACGCCACACCTGAGAGGAGAAGAAGGAAACAGCCTGGCCTGAGCCTGGATTCCTGGCAGCACCTGTCCTCCCTCCCTGTCTCCTCTCTGTCCCTTTTGGAGATGCTTCACCCTGAAAGTCTGAGGACAGGTGAACAGTAGCAAATCTGAGAGCACTTAACCCCCCGTATCCCTCCAACCTTCCTGCAGGTGAGATGATATCCATGATACTACAGATGAGGATACTGAGTCTCAGAGGCATGTGTGTGTGCTCAGTCATTCAGTTGTGTCCAACTCTTGGTGATCCCATGGGCTGTAGCCCACCAGTCTTCTCTGTCTATGGAATTTTCCAGGCAAGAATACTGGAGTGGGTTGCCATTTTCTCCCCCAGAGGCTCTGCCCAACCCAGGGATCGAACCCACATCACTTGTGTCTCCTGCATTGGCAGGCAGATTCTTTATCACTGTGCCACCTGGGAAGCCCTGAGTCTCAGAGGCAGTGGTTTGTGTGTGTGTGTGTGTGAAAGTCGCTCAGTCATGTTCGACTCTTCGACCCCACAGACTGCAGCCTGCCAGATTTCTCCATCCATGGAATTCTCCAGGCAAGAATACTGGAGTGGGTTGCCTTTTCCTTCTCCAGGGGATCTTCCCAACCCAGGGATCAAACCCAGGTCTCCCACATTGCAGGCGGATTCTTTACCATCTGAGCCACCAGGGAAGCCTGCAAACCAGCTCCAAAACAGCACAGCTGGGCTTGATCCAACCTCTTGCTGTTTGGGGCTGGGCTGGAGCTCAGGAAACCCTCCCTGGGGCACTTCATCCTGCTGGGACCTGGACCCAGGGCTTTCTAGGCTCCTGGAGTACTAGCATGAGCGGGACACAGGGCCCTAGTTCCCAGCAGTCCCCACTCACCACCGACAGCGGGAAACACACGAGCACCATGACGGCGTGGTGGAGCACCATGAGGAACTCCTTGTGCAGGTAACCACGTGCCACCGCCCAGGTGCTGCCCGGGGCTCTGGTGCTGCCTTCGTCCCCTCCGTGCCCCTTGACCTGGTGCTTGTGCCAGTGACACAGGAACATGGCATAGATGTCATAGATGAAGTAGGGCACTGCAAACTGCGTGTAGGCGGAGGACAGCCAGTGTCTGTCGGGCAGAGAGAGGGGTGGGGTCAATGAGGGAAGGAGATGGACAGGGCAGCTGCCAAGTGCCAGGGACTATGTTAGATGCATCCCAGGAGTCAGATCTCCAGTGATACTTGCAAGAACCCTGAGACAGAAATAGACTCTCAAATTACATGATGGAATCCCAAGGTGGAGGGCAAGAAACTTGCCCAAGTGATCACAGGATCACTCAGCTGGTAAGCAGTAGGGCTGGGGTTCAAACCCAGACTGAGCTCAGAACGCACATATTTTTCTTTTTCTTTATGGCCACGCATGCGGCAAGTGGAACCTTAGTTCCCTGACCAGGGATCAAACCCGTGCCCCCTGCAGTGGAAGCAAGCAGTCTTAACCACTGGACTGCCAGGGAAGTCTCTCACTCATTTTTCATATTAATTCATTCATATTCTCTCTCTCTGCAATGTGCTAAAGGAAGACAGACCAAAAGACAGTCACAGAACTGAGGGCTGAGACAGAGTGAGAAAACAGGCCAGACCAGCTCTTAGAGACAGCGGAGATCAGGACAAATTACAGCAGAAGTGGTAGGATGGTGGGGAGAGATCATATTGGCTGACATTAAAAGTGAAAGCATTAGTGGCTCAGTCATGTGTCTGACTCTTTGCAACCCCATGGACTATAGTCTGCCAGGCTCCTCTGTCCGTGGAATTCTCCAGGCAAGAATACTGAGGTGGGTTGCCATTTCCTCCTCCAGGGGATCTTCTCGATCCAGGGATCAAACCTGCATCTACATTGCAGGCGGATTCTTTACTGTCTGAGTCACCAGGGAAACCTTGACTGACATTAATTGACTACTTATTAAGGAGGGCCCTATTCCAATACTCTAAACCTTTTACAAGCACAAACTTATTTACTTCCCACAAAAAGCCTATGAAAAGTAAGTATGACTGTCACCCCATTTTACAGGTGAGAGAGGCTAGGTCACCAGACCAAGGGATAAACATGAGAAGTCTGGCTCCACAGGCCTCACTCTCAGCCCTACTGTCCTCTAGAAGATTTGAGATGGGGAATTGGTGATGCTGTCAGTGCTGCTTGTTCTGCCTCAGTGTGGCCCCACCTCCTGTTTTTTCAGGTACAGCTCAGCATTAAGAAGAAAGCGCTGAGCAAAAGGAGCCAAGAGCAGAGAAAGTTCCATGTGCTTTGAGAGTAAACAAAAATGAAAAGTGCATGAATACGCAACATTGCATTTTTCTTCTTGAGTCAGCACATGAAGTACATCCTCAGAAGTCTGTAGTCCTGTGACAGGTTCGAGGTGGGGGCGGGAGGTCTAAGAGGCAAACCCAGCGGTACTCCCCAGGCTTGGTAGAGAGATGCAAACAAAGGCAGCTGGAAGGGACACAAATACGAGGTCCGAATAAGAGGGGCTGCTGAAGGGAGAAGCGGGGTGAGACCTGGGGGTGGCCCAGCTAAGGACCAGGGGTGACATGGAAGGAGACAGTGAACCCTGGGGAAGGTTGGCCTGGAAGGGATGATTTTTGGGAAAAACGAAGCGGAGAGCCATGCTGGAGTGTGTGACCAGGAGGGAGGGAGAGAGAGAGGAGAGGAAGCAGCAGCCCAGGTTAGAGATGAAGGGCAGGAAGGTGGAAAGGGGTCCAACTGGCCTGAGAAGTTAGAGCAGAGTGGCCTAGGGAGTCAGCCACAGCAGACATGGTGACGCCACTGGCCTGTGGGGGTCCAGACCCTGGGCTTTGGTGTGAAGGGTTAAGGCCATCCCCACCCTCTTCAGCAATTAGGTGCTCAGAGGTAGGAACAGCTGTTGCTCCTGGATTAACCCAGATCCTCCCACCTACCTGAGGATTAAGGGGGGAGGGACAAGAACGAGACTCGGGGACAGGGAGGAGAACATGTAAGAGCTGGAAGGTGACCTCTGTGAGGAGGTGAGAGAAGGGAATGTGGGGGTGGGGGAGGATCCAGGCTCCTGTTGGACCGAGGAGGGGGAATGGGGGAATAGGGCAGGAGGAAGCCAAGTCCCTGGGGCGGGGTCTGAAGAATGAGTTTAGCATCCACTCTGTATGGCCAGGACTCCTGTAGGCATCTGACACACACAAGTCAGTTCCTCCTTGCAGCAGCCCTTCCAGATAGGGGTGGACCTCACTCCGCAGATGAAGGAACTCAAGGGAAAGAGGAGATGCCTCTTGGTCGGGTCATCCAGACCATGTCCCCAGGGCTCAGCAGCCACCAGAGAGGAAGAACAGGATCAGAAGTTAAGCATGGGGCATCATCAGCACCCTCCCAGGCAGCTCACAGCAATGACAGCCTGGGTCCACCTTGAGCTGGCCCGTCAGCACCACGGACAGGGCCCCCTTCCTCCCTCCTCTGCCCCACCTCTCGGCCTGGGCTCTTTTGGCAAGCACCAGGGTACTGCATCAGCTCCCAGTGCCAAAATCTGGCCTCTTCACCCTTCACTCCCCACCCCACTGTCTAACCATTGGTGGCCTTGTTCTATGTCGTCTGTCCCTCTCACACATGGAGCTGGGGCTGAACACCTGGATTCTGGGGGGAGATGAGGGGTAAGTCTGGCACGAACAAGTAGGGAAGCACCCCAGTTGGGTGCTGGCTGGAAATGGGGTCTGAGGGGGAGAAAGAGTGAGAGGAGGGCAGGGAGGAAATGACACTCAGAACCTACTATGATCCAAGAGGCTGGGAAACCTAGGAGCTGCCTTGAGAATCCTTTTGGCTCCCCGCTTCTCCTCCTGGTGTTGACCTTTAAGGACAGGATGTAGATAAATTTGTCTTGGGGTGTTGAGCTGCAGCTATTGTAGTTAACTTGCTCAAGCCCAAGTTTAAGGGCTTGGGGTTCACTGAGGTAGTCCCCCGGGTGATCTGGGGTACTAAAGGTCACATGCACACAGGCTGCTGGAATGGGGGGAAGTGGTGGTCTCATGGCACTTACTGGTCATCTATGATGTGCTTGCAGGAGGTGGAGACGATGTAGCCAGCAGTGGAGGCCATTACGGCTTGGACAGAGGACACTAGCCTAGGAGGAAGAGGGAGTAACTGTAAAGGAGGGTTCCTCCTCTTTACTCTCCAGCTTCTGTGCTTCTTGGCTGCTCCCTGCCCATATTTTCCCCAGGCTGCCTCGCCTGGGACTCAGCCCCACAGCTTCAGCCTCCAGGACTGCTCCGGAGTCGCCTTCCTCTCAGGAGGACACCTGGGAGGTCATCGTGAGGTGAGACGATGCCGAGATCCAGTGGCAGATAACAAGGTCCCTTCCAGGGAAGGGACAGGGGTTGGGGGGGGTGACAGCACAGGATGGTAGGGGAAGCCCTGGGCCTGTTCTTACACCTCTCGGCTGCCTAGTCATCGTGGGTCATTCCCCGGCCCCTCAGTTGCCCCTGATTCCCCTCCCAGCTACTTTCCCGCTCTCTGCTTGCCAGCCACCACACTCCCCTCCCCAGCTCTGGCCTGCACGCATTTCAGGGCTGTGCAGAGTTCCACCGTTCACTTATCTATCCCTCATTCCCCCAGACGCAGCTCCCCCCCACACACACAATGATACATGGCCCCTTGCCCTGTTCCCTAGTATCCTAAAGGAATGTTTTGGTCACATGCCGGCCCTGTTTTGGAGGGTAGGAGGGTGAATGGGAAAGGGAAGCAGAGCAGACTGAATCCTAGTAGACCAGATGGCTGGGTTTGGATGCGGTCTCCTGGGACAGCAAGTAAGGCAGCATGGAGAGAAGGAAGCTGGAGGTGAAGCCCACTGACCACTTCAGGAGCCCCTAGTCCCTATCCGGCCAAGGGTCCCTTCCACCCCATGCAGCCTAGGAAGGGGAGGGGGCGGAGGGAAGGCAGGCAGTTTACCTGGCTGAGACAATGACCGCGTCGGCCTCCTCCCAGCGCAGCTGGGGCAGCCGCTGGAGCGTGTTCTTGGAGAGGAGGAAGAGTCCGGGGAACACCACCCCCCCGGCCACCATGGGGGTCAGCATGGTGGCTCAGGCCTCCGGCAGGGAGCCCAAGAGCAGCCGGGAAAGGGCTGGGAGGCCGAGCTGAAGGGAGTTACGGGGGTGGAGAAGGGACGCCAGGCCGGGGAAGGAGAACGAAGAAGAGAAAGGGGCACAAAGGGGACAGACAGGGTGGGGAGGGGAGGGGACTGGAGAGCCCGACCCCCACCCAGGACCGGAGGAAGGGAGTCAGATGGAGACTGGGGAGATGGGAGAGACTGGGGGAAAGGGAGGATCCGAGCAAGGGAGCCGGAGAGAGCCAGCCAGAGGGTTGGGAGCGCGCCGAGGAGGAGAGGGCTGGGTGAGAGGACAGAGGGAGAGGGGACAGGACGCGGAGGCTGCGGTGGGGGAGGGGAGGGAGCGAGGCAGGTGGGGGGGGGGGCTTACGTGGAGAGGCTGGGAGGGCCCGAGGGGGCGGGGTGGGGGTGGGGGTGGGACTGTGGTGCCAGCTCCGAAGGGGAGGCAGGACAGGGAGGGAGACCGAGGAGCGGCCGGGCAGGCGGTCAGCGGTCAGCACCGCTCTCCCGCCTCTCGCTGCCACCAGAGTGCCCGCGGCCCGGCCCAGAGGCAGCCCCGGGGCATTATGGAGAGTTCGGGCCCAGCCCCCTGCCCCCTCGGCGGGGAGGGGGCCGGGGGAGGGGCAATCACCAACTTGGGGAGGGCGGGGGGAGGAGGAGGGAGTTGATGGCACCGACCAGACACCCAGAAACCGGACCTGCAGCGGCGTCTCCCCATGCAGCTCTGAGCCACAGCAGTGGCTGCGACAGAGATGGGGGGAGCAGAGAAAGAGGGAGGGGGAGGCCCTTAAAGAGACAGCCGCTGCGGCAGGCACAGGGGGCTGCTGAGGGCAAGGGCCAAGGGCGGGACCGCGCTCCTCTGGGGCTCCTTGTCCAGCTGGGAGGGGGGCCCTGGCCCCCAGATGGGCCTGAGCCTGTTTCCCGCCAGCAGTTTGCAAATGCCTGCCATCTCCTCCTCCGCCAAGGCCTCTCAATACTTATTCCTCAGCCACCTTGGGGTCCCAGCTTAGGGGCACCCATTCCCACAGAGAGTAAGAGGATTCCCTGGGACGGGAGCAGAAGTTAGTGCAGCTTGCTGTCTCGGGAGGTTGAGTTTAGGGAATGGATGGGAATAAAAATACACGTTAACACAGTATCAGATTCAGAGACCTCCAGAACTCTGAGGTATAAGACCCTTATGGCTCAGATGGTAAAGAACATGCCTGCCAATGCAGGAGACGCTGATTCGATCCCTGGGTTGGGAAGATCCCCTGGAGGAGGAAATGACAACCCACTCCAGTATTCTTGCCTGGAGAATCCCCATGGACAGAGGAGCTTGGTGGGGCTACCATCCATGGGGTCTCAGGGTCAGACATGACTTAGCGACTAAAAACAAAACAACACATACTTTTACATGAGGTGCCTCTGGACCGCAACTCCACTGCGAGACTTTCCTGTGACCTCCTCTATTGTAACAGCACTGAGGTAACTGCATGTATCCCTTTTTTACAGGTCAAGCAATAGTCCTGAGGCTTTCAGTGACTCTCCCTAAGACCAGGTAGCTAAGAAGACAGGAGCCCTCTCATACTGGGTGGCATGCTTTGAAGAGGAAGCACAGTGTCTCTGAAAACTCACTTCAAGCCCGAGGATGCCCCTGCCTGTGTCCTTCAGGCTGCCTGGGCTCCCCAAGGCCCTGGTCTCTCTCTTCCTCGTCAGATTTATGATGGTCCCAGCTCCCCTTCCTCTGCAACTTCAGAGCCGTTTCCATGGGGGAAAGGCCCCTGATTTGAGCCCCTCAGTCCACTGCAAGAAAACTGAGGCCCAGTGACTTGGCCAGGGTCTTGCTGCAGGTCAGAGACCCAGCCAGAACTACACTGGCCTCTGAGCAGCTTCTCACACTTTCATCCTCCCTAGAATTCAGCCTTCTCATCCTGAACCCAACCTCCCCGTAGACTTCTGCATGACGTGGGGTCCTGCTACCAAAACCGTACTTTGGTTTCCAAGTCTGCCCTAAGATGTGCTTCCATAGCAACTGTACAATTTACCTATCCCCGTCCAAAGCCTACCCAAAGGACTGGGATTTGCTATTTTGTGCTGCCCTCTAGTGGCGTGCTGTGGGAACAGGCCCTGGGAGGTCTCTGACCTCAGGCAGCAGGAGTTAAGAGGCAATAGTGGACCTAGCTTCCTGGCTTCAGGGCTTCACTTAAAAGAAAAAGGGACCCAACTTCCCGAGTGTTTACTATGTACTGGGCACGGGGTGAAGTGGTTTATGTTTATTCTTATTTAACCTTACCAGATTGTAGCATCTTTGTCTATATTGTAAACAAGAAACTGAGGTTTAGACATTTAAGAAAAAAAGGAAGAAGACAAAAAAGTTGCTCAAGATAATACAGCTATGAGAATTGGCAAAGCTGACTTTCAAACCCATGTTTGCATAGGTCCAGAGTCAAAGATGGGCAAAGCTTCAGGATGGTGCTGCATTGAGGCGAGGACGGGTGACAGCAAGCCACCCTGACTACTGGGTTGAGGACCACAGACCTGGTGAAGGGGCTGTGGCTTCACTTTGGATAGCAGAGATTAAAACAGGTAGGGATTTTTTTTGGGGGGGGCGGTCTTTCAGACACCTAGGTATTATAAGTTCTGCCTTCTGCCAGCTCCTCCTCCTCCCTAAGGTTTGGGGATAGTTCACCTGTCTATTACTAATCTTTGTCAGACCATAAATTTGCAGTGCGCATGCGTACTAGGTCTTCAGTAATGTCCAACTCTTTGCAACCCTATGGACCTTAGCCTGCCAGGCTCCTCTGTCCATGGGATTCTCCAGGCAAGAATATTGGAGTAAGTTGCTATGCTCTCCCCCAGGGGATCTTCCTAACCCAGGAATAATAAAAAAATTTAAAAATTATAAAAATAAGATTTCACATAGAAGTTCAACTTTTAAGAGAAAATGAGAAGATCAGACAACACTGGGGTCACACTCTAATTCCATGATGCTTGGCTGGAGCTGCCCCCATTGGGATAAACGTAGTCCTCTGGCTCAGGCAGTCCGCACAGAGCCTATATCTCTTGTGTCACTTGAAGGAGTTTGCAACAACTATTTTTATTTTAATTTGGCCATGCAGGGCTTCCCAGGTGGTTCAGCTTATGAAATTTCAGTTCCCTGACTGGGGATGGAACCCAGGCCCCTGGTAATGAGAGCAGTGAATCCTAATCACAGGGAATTCCCTGGCCCTATTCTATAGATGTGAATTCACTTTACCCTCACACAACATTCCATGAAGAATGGATGGTGAGTATTCTTGTTAAATCCATTTACTAATGGGGACTCTGAAATTCAGAGAGGTTAAGTGGCTTGCAAGAGATCCCATTGTTATTGCTATTTAGTGAATAAGTTGCGTCAGACTCCTTTGTGACCCCTTGGACCGTAGCCCGCCAGGCTCCTCTGTCCATGGGATTATCCTGGGAAGAATACTGGAGTGGGATACCATTCCCTTCTCCAGGAGATTTCCTGACCCAAGGTTGGAACCCGAGTCTCCTGCATCTCCTGAATTGGCAGGCAGATTCTTTACCACTGAACCACCTGGGAAACCAGAGATCCCATAGAGAGTGTCTTTCGATTCTATACCCCCACCCAGCCACCCTCACATGCACACACAGTCTGCTTCTGCTGTCATCACTAACTCTTCCTAGAAGTAGGAGACCAGCTTCCCCAGCCCTGGCCCCAGGAAGGATGTCCTCGCCCTGTCCTCTTACTTGGATGCCACCAAAACAGCCTCTTGTTTCTCCATCCGCAGGTTGGAATGGTTCTGCAGACCCCAGCAGAGGACAGCAAAGCTCAGCGGGAAGAAGATACAGCCCAGTACAAAGAGCAGAGGCATGCCTGTCTGGGGTAGAGAAGGTAAGATGGCTGGGAGAACACAGCACATTGTCTCTCAGGCTCAGACCAACCCCCCCTCCCCGCCAATCCCTCTAACTCAATGGCCTATAGGATGCATTTTTCTGTAACCATCAAAAGCCACCTGTCATAGCTCTTTCCTGATCTGAGATCCTTATTGCACTTTAAATATGCGTCATCCTTGAGCAACTGGACATCCTAATTTTGTCTTATCAATCCAATTCCATTAATTTAATTAATATTCCTTGTAATCAAAGAAGCTGGTCTATACCTCCCAGCCCATCTCACACCTTAAAATTCCTTCTCTTTCAATTCTAAGTACATGCCTGCGATTTCTTAATTCACCCCATCCAAGCTCTGTCCTCCCACCCTAAACTCTTTGTGTCTCTTCTCCCCTCTCCTAGGTCCTCACCTGGGAGGGGCAAGGTGGAGGCTAGAGAGGGAGGCTGGTGACTCTCATCTGCACTCAGAAGTTGGGAAAAAAAAAGGAGGGGGCAGGTGTTTAGACTGTAAAGATAACTGAAATTAGGGGGAAAAAAAATAGTTCTTTTAAAAGGAAAACTCTTAAGTATTATCCCATTTAAAAACCAACCAAACAAGAGGAAAACCTTTGAAAACATTTACATATATGTTATTTTTCTCTGGAAAAGTCTCTCCTCCCATCCACTCCAGGGAAGAGAGGGGTGGGAAAGGCCCAGGAGGGATGAAGCGAGTCAGGGCCTGCCATCCTGCACCCCTTAAGCAGCCTTGAGGGGACCCTTTCAGGATACAAGGAAGGCGTCAAACTGCAAGGGCACGATGTGGAGGCAGTTCTACAGAGGCAGTTGGAGGGGGCGGGAACATCACCTTCCTATTGGAGGACTGGTGGATGGTTTGGAAAATACCATCTTCCTATTGGCCCACTTCTTGACACGTGTGCCCTATCATATGCTTCATGGCGAGGGGCCTGCTTGGGGGCGGGGCAGAGGGAGCAAAACCGTCTAACGGAGAAGAGATCAATTAGAATTCGTTGATGGCTTGAAGGACAGCTAGCATTTAGGGGCAGAGCTGAAAGAGGGGACAGGAAGAGGAGTTGGGGGAAATGAGAGCAGCCCAAGCAGTCAATGCTTTAACAGGCAGTATAGGATAACAGTTAAGATGGCAGGTCCTAGGGTGGGACCATCTGAATTTCAAATTCAGAGTCCATGGATAATAAAAGAAACATACCATATGGCTCCATTTGGACGAAGTTGCAAATGGGCAAAATAACTTCTGAAAAATCTGAACAGCGTTTAACTTGGTGGGAGGTACTGACTGGGAGGACACCTCAGGGAGCCTTCTGAGGGGTTGGGAATGATCGTGGGTGACTGGAAATGCACGTCCTATGTGCATTTTAAAGACAACTGGATTTTTTTTTTTTTTTTATGGTGCCCAGAGACGTGTGGAATCTTAGTTTCCCACCAGGGGTGGAACCCTTACCCCTTGCAATGGAAGAACAGAGTCTTAACCACGGGACTGCCAGGGAAATTCCCAGAATTTTTAAGACATTAAACAAATTTAGGCTCTTCCATTCCCTGAGTGATAGTTGGCTAATCTCTGTGGGCCTCAATTCTTTCATCTGTGAAGTTAGGATAATAATAATACCAGGTCATTAAATGCTAATTATACAGACACTGATCTGAGTGTTTAGCAATATTAAGTCATTTTTTCAAAACAACTTTGCAGATGGGGAGTATTGTTGTACCCATTTTACAGATGAGGAAACAGAGGCATGGAGAGAACTGGTATCTTTTCCAAGGTTATGCAATATGGTTTTTCCAACCATATTTTCTGAATGTACTGGCCTCTCTCATGTTAAATGGATATAAAAAACTCATAACTCATTTTCCTAAAGAAACAGAAAGGTTTAGAGAAAAAAAGGACCAAAACATCACTGAATACAATTTAGATGTGTCATCCACATTTTCAGAGCTTATCTCTGCTAACAGTTCTTACTTGTTTACTCCATATTTCCTCCTCTGGATGGGTCTTTGAAAATTAAAGGTTAAATCAAGAGCGAGATAAAACTGTTGAAGATGAGACTGTGGTTGCCTAACCGGTATCCATCTTTAACATCTTATTTTGCTGGAGACTGAAGTGTGCTTATTTAAAAAACTATATTTCCCAGCCTTCCTGGTAGTTAGAAGCCTGGCCAATGTAATAATGTAAACTGAAATCATTATGTGGGGTTATGAGGAAAGCACCTTTTTAAAAAGGGACACACTGCAGTCACAAAGAAAGAAATATGTGAAAAGATACAGAACTGAGGTTTGAAACCAGATAGCCTGATGCAAGTCTGCTCTGTCACCTTCCTTGCTCCTGTGTAAGCTCATTTCAAGGATTAAATAGAGATAACATGGATAACCAGGGTTCAGAGCCTGTTAGCTACATGGGCACTCACTGAACACAAGGCACTAAAATACTAATATACTTTATCCCATTTAAGCATCACTACAGTCTTTTGAATAATTTCCCCCATTTTATAGCTGAGAAGACTGAGGCTCGGAGAAGTTAGATGACTTGGTCTGGGATTGCACAGTAAATGGCAGTGCTGGGACTCAGACTCGTGTCAACAGGACTGCTGCCCTCCAAGGGGGAGCAGAGAGGAAAGGAGGCAGAGGGAGGAACATTAGGGGAGGCAGTGAAGAGGCGCGGAGGGCCAGTCATTGTCCTCGGCAGCCAGGGGCTTACCCTGGAATAGAGACTGAGGGAGGGGGAGAGTTCTGGGCCATGAGCTGGTAAAGGTCGGGCCCTAGTTTCACTGGAATCTGGGCATTCTCTTCCACGTTTCTTTCCTCATCAGGTTCTTCCTGTTCAGAGTAAAACAGTCCAAGGCTGCATGGGCTTGCCTGAGACAGATAAGTAAGGAGGGGAGAAAAAGAAAAACCGTGGTTTAGAGCTATGGCTTTCACCATTTTTTTTTACAGAGAGACCCATTTCATAACTCAGCACATGCACACACATGCCAAACTTTCTCACAATACTTTTGGATTCTGATTATGTGCAGGGCACACTGTATTGTATCATTTTTCCCTTTCTATCATTTTTTTATCTCCCAGAATGCTTATCATGACCCATTAAGCCTATTTCACAACCCACTTATGAGTAGCAACCCGAGTTGCTGGCTAAGGGCAGTATTTCTCAACTTCTTTTCACTATTGCTCCCCTAGCCTTTTTTAGACATTCTTTGTTTGCTAATGACCATTTTTCATGAACTTCTGATAACAGATATACTGTATTTGTTGTTGTTCAGTTGCTCAGTCGTGTCCAACTCTTTGTGAACCCATGGACTGCAACATGCCAGGCCTTACTATCCATCACCAACTCCCAGAGCTTGCTCAAACTCTTGTCCATGGAGTCGGTGATGCCATCCAACCATCTCATCCTCTCTTGACCCCTTCTCCTCCTACCTTCAACCCTTCCCAGCATCAGGGTCTTTTCCAATGAGTCGATTCTTCTTATCATGGCCAAAGTATTGGAGCTTCAGCTTCAACATCAGTCCTTCCAATGAATATTCAGGGTTGATTTCCCTTAGGACCAACTGGCTGGCTGTCCAAGGGACTCTCAAGAGTCTTCTCCAGCACCACAGTTCAAGGCATCAATTCTTCAGCACTCAGTCTTTTTTATTATCCAGCTCTCATATCTGTACATGACTACTGGAAACACCATAGCTTTGACTATGTGGACCTTTGTAGGCACCTATATATCTGTGCTTTATATAGGGCTGCCCTGGTGGCTCAGATGGAAAAGAACACGCCTGCAATGCAGGAGACCTCAGTTTGATCCCTGGGTCAGGAACATCCCCTGGAGAAAGGAATGGCTACCCACTCCAGAATATCAATTTTTAAAAGATCCACCCCTGAATCAATTTCTGCCCTCTTAGGGGGGCACTTATCTCTGTTGAGAATGCACAGGAGACATCATCAGTTCAGTTGCTCAGTCACGTTTGACTCTTTGCGACCCTGTGGACTGCAGCACGCCAGGCCTCCCTGTCCATCACCAACTCCCAGAGCTTGCTCAAACTCATGTCCATCCAACCATCTTGTCCTTTGTTGTCCATTTGTCATCCTTTGTTGTCCTGCCTTCAATCTTTCCCAGCATCAGGGTCTTTTCCAATGAGTCAGTTCTTCTCATCAGGTGGCCAAATAGTGGAGCTTCAGCTTCAGCATCAGTCCTTCCAGTGAATATTCAGGACTGATTTCCTTTAAGGTTGACTGGTTTGACCTCTTTGCAGTCCAAGGGACTCTCAAGGAGATATCACAGCAACTCATTTTCTGAACCATCTTTACACACAGCATCACAACAGCCAGTGAAATAGTACTAGTCCCACTCTGCCCATGAATAAGCTGAGGCTGCAAGGTGATGTTAATTATTGATGATTGAGATGGCCGGTAAATGGATTAGGAATCCAGAGACCAACCCAGATCCTTGCTCAACTGCTTAGTCATCTTCTCCAAGGCTTCACTTCTTCAGGTGGAAAATGGTGGGATTTCCAAAGAAGTGTTCATTAAACCTCGGGTCCTCCCCCACATATAAGCTAATAATAGCAAACATTTATACTGGCTACCTACTCCAGTATTGTTGCCTGGAGAATTACATGGACAGAGGAGCCTGGCGGGCTACAGTCCATGGGGTTGCAAAGAGTTGGACACGACTGAGTGACTAACACACATATAGTATATACCAGATGTCAGGCACTAATCTATGCCCTTCGCATATTTTAACTAATATAATCCTTACAATAACCCAAGAGAGAGATACTATTATTTTTTTATTTTTTATATGGACCATTTTTAAGTGTTTATTGAATTTGTGACAATGTTGTTTCTGTCTTACATTTTGCTTTTTTTTGGCCACAAGACATGTGGAATCTTAGCTCCCCAACCAGGGATCCAACCCTCACCCCCTGCATTGGAAGGTGAAGTCTTAACCACTAGACCACCAGGGAAGTCCCATGGGAGATGTCATTATTAATTTCCTTTTCCAGATGAGGGAATCAAGGCACAGAGAGGTCATGTGTCCTGCCCAAGGTCACACAGGTCAGAAGTGGCAATGCTGGGATTTGAACCTATAGTCTGGGTTCCAGGGTACCTGCTTTTAACCATGTCTGTTGAAAGGAAACGTTTTATCAGTACTGAAAACACTGAAAACCAATATCACTTGTTGTAAATAAGGTAAACAAAATAAAATGAAAAAACTTGTTCTTACATTCTCTCTGGATATCATCCCACGCTCAGAATTCTGAGCCGGAGGCCTTCTCTCTCTTTGTTAAAGACAAGACAAGACAAGACAAGCAAGGATAGAGAAGTGTTAAAGGGCTTTTGGCAGCAAAAGGAGACTTTGTCCTGGAATAATCAGATGTGTTGAAAGAGAACTGGAAAGAGAATGGCTTTCAGATGTGTGTGTGTGTGTGTGTGTGTGTGTGTGTGCCTGTGCACACACGCTTTCTTTCTGACGGGTGTGCCATCTAAAACAGCAGTCCCCAAGATTTTTGGCATCAGGGACCGGTTTGGTCGAAGATAATTATTCCACGGACCAGGGGGTTGGAGGTGGGGTGGGGAGGGTGGGTTGGGGGTGGGAGGATAGGGTGGGTTAGAGGGGTTCGGGGTGGTTTCAGGATGATTCAAGCTCATTATATTTTTGTCCACAATATTTCTAATCTAATGCCATCACTGATTTGACAGGAAGTACCTGGTCGGTAGCCCAGGGGTTGGGGACCCTTGATTTAAAATAAACCCAAGATGGGACGCATTTCACACACCGTGGTCCGCTGTCTGGGCGTTCCAGGAGTGTCTGAACATCCCGAGGAGGAAGGCCGACACACCAGCCAGTCCTGGCTAGGGGTGCAGTCCCAAGCTACCAGCGCCTCCGGAAGGCAGCCGGCAGCGCCCGCAGGGAGTGGGGCAGTGAGGGGTGGCGCTGCCGTCGTGCCCATCAAGGCTCTGAAGACTTCCGCCGCAGCTTTCCCGCCCTAGCCTGGCCCCTCAGGTGAGTCTCTCACCCCACAAGGGGACCTCACACACCTGTCACACAATTCACCCTGGACCTGGAGTTTACCGTTTCCCCGCTCTTTCAGCCTCCTTTAAGTCCAAATGCTGACTTGCATATCTTCTTTGCCTGGGTGCTGTGCCGCTTCGGCCCTGCGGAGGTGGGCAGGTGCGATTATCATCAAAGCCTGTGAATAAGTAAATGATAAGTGGCCAGAAGTGGCCTGTTTCCCACATGATACCCAGGAAAGGGTTCAATTCCCCCTCCCTGTGCTCTGGGGTGTGTCCTGGCCAGCATCCCAGATCATTTATTATTTAGTGCTTTTTTTTGGTATCTGTCCCAAGTTAGTTTCAGGCAAGTTCAGTCCCAGTCTTCATCTGTACAACAGAAAAGGGCGCAACAGATGAGTTGAAGTGAGAAAACCAAGCATCCAGACCCTTTTTTTCTCCCATGGGTTGGCTGTGTGACCTTCGTCAAGTGTCAGAACCTCTCTGAGCTTCAGTTGAATACACAGAGTCCCATTGCCTGGGTTCAAATCTTAGTTCTGTCACTCACTAACCAGGAGAACTTATGTGAGTGATTGAACTCCTCTGAGCGTCAGACTTCTTATCTATAAAATGAGGACAAGAGCAGTACCTCTATATAGGGCTCTGGGATGACTGAATGAGATGTATGTAAACACAGTTCCAATGTGGCATTGTAAATATTCACTGTGACAGTCATTAATGGTTCTTGTTGTTCACTTATTTATGTATTTATGGGCGCACCTTGCAGCATGCAGGATCTTAGTTCCCTGACCAGGTATCGAACTTGTGCCCCTAGCAGTGGAAGTGTGGAGTCTTAACTGCTGGACTGCCAGGGGAGTCCCCCTGTTGTTTTGTTTTTTGAGCCCTCTTCTGTACCACTTGCTCTACATACTTGTCTTCTAATCATCACAATGAACCCTGTCAGTTTCTTACATAATCCCTATTTGCCAGGGGAAGACTGAGGTTTGGGGAAGTCAACTGACTGGCCCAAGGTCACCTAGACACATGGCGGCATAACTAGAATTCAAACCTATATCTTGCCTGGTTCTAAAATTCCTTTTCAACTGAGTCCTAATTTGTTTCTATCTGTAACATTAGAAACTTTAGAAATGATAGTTTCTTCCACTTTCATTTTACTGTTAGTATGAAGGAAGACCAAGTCTGTGAAGAGGCCTCTAACTGATGCTCTAACTCAGCTCAGCTTCTTATTCCCTCAGTGATAAGAAGTAATTATGTAAGCATAGATCTTTCATTTTCATAATGAGGAGGTTGATGAACCCCTTCTTCATCTCTGGGAGGCAATATTATCTGATGTCCAGAGGAGGGAATTGAAAGTATTAGATAAAAATCGGAACTGCCAGGTTCCCTTCCCACATCTAAGCCCAGGTCTGCAGATGTGTCTTTCATCGTCTGGGTTTTCTCTGCATCTCAGGTCCCCCATCCACCCCACGGTGAATGGAAGGACACAATCTTTTACTCTCTTTTCCAGGGCCACTGTAAAACTACAGGTGAGACTATCTGACATTGCCAGCTTTGAACTTAAGGTAAAGGGAGGTCTTATGGCTATTTGGCTATTGTGAAGTCAGTTTCTCCCTGCTTCCAGTGAATGGTGTGATGTGGGTAGAAGTGGGGCCCTGGCAAAGGGGTGCATTCATCCCCCTCCTCCTAGCTTGCCTTGCAAAGAGCAGATCTGGTGCCATGTCCACCCTCCTGCATAATGTATGCACCTGTGGTAGGAACAGAATACCATCCATGGCAAGTTTGGCCACTGCAGCCCATGGACGTGTCCAGAGGTCTTGCCAAGGCTGACGTCTCTCTGTTGGCAGGAGGTGAAGGGAGGGTGGGGCCCTGTGTCATCTGAAGCCTTTTCCTGTTCTGAGTTGGGAACTGGTTTCATCTTGGGTCTCAGGATTCTGCAAAGATAAGGGCAGATGAGAAGACAGCCCTAAGCAGGCAGTCTGACCCAGACTTAGATTCAACAGAGGTGACACTGGGAACAGCTAGACTCCGGTTTTCTGGGCTTGCAGCTCCCTCTGAGAGGGCTGGAGTGGCAGAGCCAGTGGGAACTTCTCAGTGTGGTTGAGGAGTAAGGGGAGACCTGGAAACCAGGGACGCAGACCCTGGTGATTTCACACACCCCCTGTATTGGAAGGCAAAGTCCCAGCCCCTAGACTGCCAGGGAAGTCTCTCTCTTTTTAAAATATTTGTTTATTTGGCTGCTGGGTCTTAGTTGTGGCATGCGAGATCTTTAGTTACAGCATGTGGAATCTAGTTCCCTGGGCTGGGCTCGAACCCAACCCCCTGTATTGGCTCAGAGTCTTAGCCACTAGGCCACCAGGGAGATCTCTCCACTGGCAATTTCCTTTCCTTTTTTTTTTTTTTTTTAATTTTTTGGATGTGGGCCATTTTTTAAAAAGTCATTATTGAATTTGTTGCAATATTGTTTCAGTTTCTGCAATATTGTTTCTGTTTTGGAACTTTGACCAACAGGCATGTGGGATCTTAGCTCCCTGACCAGGGATCCAACCAGTGCACTCTGCATGGGAAGGCAAAGTCCCAATCGCTGGACTGCCAGAGAAGTTCCTTTAAAAAAATATATTTATTTATTTGGCTGCACTAGGTCTCAGTTGTGGCATGTGGGATCTTCAATCTTAGTTGCAGCATTCAGGATCTTTAGTTGTGATATATGAACTCTTCCTTGCTGCATGTGGGATCTATTTCCCTTGACCAGGGGTCAAACCCAGGCTCCCTGCTTTGGGAGCTCAGAGTCTTAGCCACTGGACCACTAGGGAAGTCCCGGCCCTGGCCATTTCTGTGGCTGCCTCCTGATGCGGGAAACTCCTCGGGCAGCAGCCATGATGAGGTATATTGGGGCAGAGAATGTGCACAGAAGTAGGTGTACTGGGTTGCTTTCAGGGGAACATGCTAGGATGCAGTAACCAAGGGTGAGGTCTGAGGCTTCTTTGAGGGAGGTGTGCTTACATGAGTGTGCATGTGTGTGTGCATACCCACAGCATATGTGTGTGGAGAATCCAAAGGTCAGCAAGAAAGTGGGAGGTCAAAGTGCCTGAAGAGCTGAGGGAACAGGGCATCTGGATAACATTACCTGAGTGGTTGGATTCTATTCATTCATAGAATCAGTAAGTACTCAGTGGAGGCCCCCCAAAGCCAAACTAAATGCTAGGGCTTGGGATATGAAGATGAATCAGACCTAGGCACTTGCAAGTCTTAACTGAGGAGCCAGGCAGTAAAATGAAGAATTTCAATACCTTGTGATAAGTGCTAGAGCAGCTGTCTGTATATGGTACCCAAAGCAGTCACCTTTGCTTAAGGCAGGCAGGAAGACCACCCTGAGGCAAAACTGAGCAGTGGTTCAAAGGATGAGGGTGTTGGTGGTGGGGGAAGGGGGTGGGGGAGACAAGGGAAGGGTGTTCTATGCAGAGGGAATAGCAGAGATGAAACCCTATACACTGGTTCAGGAACCTTGAGCAGATCCTATGACGGAAACATGAATGAGCTGATAGGGCACAAAACACTTTTGTTTACAAATGATCTGATCAGTGGAAATAAGCAACACCAGGGCTGGAAATTTGTCTGCCTTAGTCTCTGCTAGGGTCCCAAAGCCTAGAGCAGTGCTTGGGACCCTGTTGGATACATCGTGAATGAATAAACCAAGGTGGTTCAGTGGTTAAGAATCCACCTGCCAAGCAGGAGATGCTGGTTAGATCCCTGAGTCAGGAAGATCCCCTGGAGAAGGAAATGGCAACCCACTCCAGTATTCTTGTCTGGAAAATCCCACGAAGAGAGGAGCCTGGTGAGCTATAGTCCATGGGGTGGCAAAAGAGTTGGATACAACTTAGGGACTAAACAATAACAACAGGGGACTTCTCTGGTGGTCTGGTGGCTAAGACTCCTGTACTTCCGATACAGGTGGCCCAGGTTCCGTCCCTGGCCAGGGAACTAGATCTCACGGTGCAGCTGTCCAACTAAGACCTCGTGGAGCCAAATAAATAAATTATAAATAAGTAAATAAACCGAAGGTAGATGGTACCCAGAGTGGATGGTGTGGACAGTCGGCTAAAGCATTTGGGCTTTACCCTAGAGTCAGTGGGGAGCCCTTTGGGGGGTTAAAAATTGAAAAGGCACAAGATCTGACCTGGATGAGAGGAAATCATTCTGATAGCGATATGAAGGGTGAAGAAATCAGATGATGAATCTTAAATTTGGGCACTGTCAATAAAGATGGGGGTCAGGTTGAAAAAATATTGAGAATAAGCCTATGCCATTATAGCTCTGATTTTAACAATACCCCTGGGAAGCAGGCATTTCCTCGTTATACAGAGAAGAAAATGGACTCAGAGAAGCGCGGTGACTCGGCCGAAGTCACACAGCCAGTTGGCGGCATAGCCCGGGGGTTCAGTCTGGCCTTTGTGGCGCCGCAGGACCCAGCACACAATGTGGATCTGAGCCAGGCGTGTAGCGGCGGGAACTCGCCCCTTCTACTCAGTAAGTGCGAGAAAGTCCAGCGGATCGCTACTAAAAAGAACTGGTGCTCACAAACAGGAAGAGGGAAGAGAGGCGCGGAGAAGGAATGTTGGGTCTGGGCGGCCGCCGTAGGAGCGGTGCTCTCATCTCCATGGCAACAGCGAGAAGCGGCGGGAGGCCTCTGGGCGGTGCAGCCGCCAAGGCGGATTGGAGCGGGAAAGGCGCGGAATCCGTGAACTGCCTGTGGCTCCGAGGGCGCAGGTGATGGGGTTAGGTCGGTGGAGGGAGCCCGGGGTTTAGGGAAAAACAGAGGGTCGGGCTGGGGCCTTCGAAGAAGGCGCTGCCCCGTACCCCCATCCTCACTGTTCGGACCAGAGACCATCGTTGGGCCTCAGTTTACCCAAACGGGAAATGGGAGGAGGAGAACAGGCACCCGAGCCCAATGGCCCCTCTCAGTCACTGAGGCCCAGGACTTTCTCTCCTCTGCAGCTCCTGGACTGACCGGTGGTGTCCTGCCCCATGGACGTGAGTCTTAGACTCCCCCCCGCGTACCCCTCTCTGGCGCGGCCCCCTCGGCACCCCTAACTTACCCTGACTTTGCCTTTCTTGGCTCCTGGACTGGAACTCTTTACCCAACGTAGACCCTTCCAGTTCAGGACAAGAGCTGTGAGACAGAAAGAGAGTGCAGGGGTGGCCTTGCCAAGGCAGGGCACACCGCACTCTGGCAAGATGAGGAGTTAGTCAGGAAATCAAGGAGGAAAAGCATCCCAGGAAGAAGGAACAGCGTGGGCAGAGACGTGGATGTGAAAGAGAGGCCAGGGAACAGCCAGGACTTCAGTATGGCTGGAGTATAATGGAGGACAGAGGGAGAGGCGGGCAGGGCTAGACTAGAGCCTTTGTCACTGAGAGAAGTTTGGACCGAGTCAGCGGGAGCCACTGATGGACTGTCGGGGAGGGATGAATACTCAAGGACAGCTGGTATGGAAAGGGGCACAACTGCAGATTGCAAGACAGAGGCCAGTACTGTGGGCTGAGGGGTGGCAGAGTAGTGCAATGGAAACACAGACAAAAGGTCTGTTTGGAGAGGCATTCTGAAAGGAAGAGAGAGAAGTCTTGGAAAAGTCTAGAATGACCAACAGGTCTCTGATGGCGCTGAAATGGGGATGACAAGAGAAAAGGGGACAAGACGAAGATGAAGATGTTAGTTGCTATCGTGTCTGACTCTTTGTGACCCCATGAACTGTAGCCCGCCAGGCTCTTCTGTCCATAGGATTTCCCAGGCAATACTGGAGTGGGTTGCTCTAGCCTTCTCCAGGGGATCTTCCCGACCCAGACAGTGTAGCCCTATTACTGTCTCCCCACCACATGATGGCTGTTTCTCCCCGTTTCCCAGCTACCTCCTGCGTCCCTCCTGGTGTTTCTGTGTCCCCGCAGCCCCTCCACATCTCCGCTACACCCTTTCTTCCTGTGCTGTCCAGGCCTCCTCTAGCCCGTGGACTCCAACCCCGGCTCCCGTCAGCGGCCCCTCCCTGCTGCTCCCCATCCCAGCCATCGTCGTGCTCTCCGTGGGCATCTATCTGTTGCTGTTGGGCCTTGTGCTGCTGACCAGGCACTGCCTGCTGGTGAGGGGCCCGGTGGGGGCTGGAGGGTGGGGACAGGGGAAGAGGTTGGCCTGTCCCCCCATTTGCAGGCCCTTACCCTGAGGTATTTAGTCCCTTACCCTTTGCCATTTAGTCTCCACATCGGGCCCTCACCTGGGGCCAGGAGACCCTCTTCTATCCCCAGCTTAACCTTCTGCAGCCCCTCTCCCCAAAACCGGGACTCAGCTGTCCCTCCCAACCTGCCACCTGGCCCAGACCTGAGCGCTGCCCTCTCCTAGGCCCAGGGCTGCTGCACAGACTGCAGCTCCCCCTGCAGGAAGCAAGGCGCCTCCAGGCCCCAAGACTGTTGCCAGACCTGTGCCGAAGCCTGTGACTTCCCCCTGCCCAGCCCAGCCCGCTACTTGGATGCCTGCTGCCCCCAGCCCGCCGAAGCTGTGAGTTCTCGTCCTGGCTCCTGGCCCCTGGCCCCTGAGTCCTCATCCTGGTATTCGCAGTGCATTCATTTTTTTTTCGGTTCAACAAAAGTTATTACGGAGCACCTATTCTAGGCCAGGCCTAGTTCCAGGTACTGGGTCAGGTGGAGACAGGCGAAAACAACATAAACAACCTATCAGATATTTTCTGGGAATGAAAGCTACTTGGAGAAAGAAGAACAGGGCAGTAGCTGGAGAAGGGTGACCTATGTAACATGCAGGGCATACTTCGACCTCTGAATATGGTAGTTAAAAGAAGACAGAGCTCCTTCTGTTCCTGGAGTGAGTACAATGTTCTAGATACTGTATGACTTCATTAACAACCTCCAGAGCTGGGTATTTTTAAAACCCTATTTACATATGTTTTCTGATTACACAGTATACATAAAGAAATACATAGAAAGTACAAGTCACTTTATAAGCCAGCCCGCTAACCAAGGTTACTATGTTTGGTGTATGTCCCTTATATACTAATACACATACAGTGTTATCACTGTTGTATTTCACTGTTGGTAAAAATGTATGCCACAGGGACTTCCTTGGTGGTCCAGTGGCTAAGACTGCACTCCCAATGCAGGAGGCCCGGGTTCGATCCCTGGTCAGAGAACTAGATCTCACATGTCACAACTAAGACCTGGTGCAACCAAATAAATATTTTTTACAAAATGTACACCACACCTACTATTTCCTCCCAACTGCCACTTTCCCTTTTTAACTTGACATCACAACTTGGCTACCCATCCATGCTTCTTTTATCCTCCTTTTGCAGGGGTATAACTTGGTTCAGGGACATTTAGTTGCTTCCCCAGTGTTCCACAGGACAGTCTTGCACAGCAAATTGCTCCATCATGTGTTGAAACAGAACCTTCAGGGAGAAGCCTGGCTCACAGAGGACAGGCTGTTTTTGCATTTGTGGCTTTAAAGATGTTAAGTGTCATTGACCACCTTCCTAGGCCATGCTTATTTTGGGCTCAGAGATTTAGACAGCAAAGCTCCTGCCCTTGAAATCGGGACCTTCCCTAGGCAGGTAAGAGTGAGGGGAAAAGATCAAGCAAATGCAAAACTTGGCAGACTGCAGTTGCAAATCCCTGCAAGAAGTTTTGAGTTTCAAAATCAATTGCGGGGCAAGGAGTTCTCCTCTTTCAGATATAATCTGCTTCTGATTTCTCAGGAGTAGCGCAGAGATGAGGCCCAGGGCTTGGGCTCCAGGGATCAAGGGGAAAAAGAAGACCCTGTGTCCTCCAACCTCCTATTTTATAGGAAATGCTTACTTACAAAATGATTTCTTGTTCTCTGCCCTGGGGACCCCACTGCCTCCGCCTTCTGTCTGCAGGAAGGGATTGGTCAGGGGCTTCTCCTCCTCCCTGAGAATGAGGTGTGCTGTCTGGAGGGACTGATTCCGCTCACTGTCCCCTCCAGGGCTGCGGGGCATCCAAGCCAGGATACCTGCAGGGCCTGATCCTACCCAGCTTCTGCCAGAGCCAGGACAGGTTCTAGAATGATGAATGGTGGGGCGGGGTCATTCCGTCCTTGGGCTGTCTTTCCACAAAGCACAGTAGGCCTCTGTATTCTTCAGTTTCCTTATAGTAACAAAAGCAACCGCAAATATTCACAGCTGTAGAAACTGGGGCACACAGAGGCCTCAAGCCTGGGCCGAGACACAAACCCAGGTTTCTCTTTCTCTCTATGGGAGAAGCTCACCTGTGCTACATCTTTCACAGGTGTGTCATGAGGACTTAATTCATTCATTCATTTATTTATCCACTTACCAAAGAGCTGAGACTTCCCTAGTGGCTCAGACGATAAAGAATCCACTTGCAATGTAGGAGACGCAGGTTCAATCCCTGGGTTGGGAAGATCCCCTGGAGAAGGGAATGGCTACCCACTTCAGTCTTCTTGCTTGGAGAATTCCATGGACAGAGGAGCCTGGCAGAGGGTCACAAAGAGTCAGACATAACTGAGAGATTAACACTTCACACTACCAAAGACTTACGAAGTTACTGTTGAGGAACTGTGCTGGGCCCTGGGGGTGCATTGGAAACAAGGCAGATGTGGCCCCAACCTTCATGGGGCTTACATTCCTGCAAAGGACAGAGAGAAATAACTAAGCAGTGACATTCAAGTGTGAGAAATGATGCAATCCGGGACAGTTCTGGTTCTTAAGCACCAGTATGATCAGAAGCAGGGATGAGGCTTAAACAGAAGGCCAGGCATCCAGGCCCCATGCCCAGTAGATTTGGAATGAGATTGGAATTTGCGAATCTTTAGCAAGTTCTTACATAGCAGACACATACACCAGGGTTAGAGCTACTGTTCAAGGGTAAGAGCTATGACCAGAAGAGCTCCCCTTGGTGAGAACTCACTGTGTACCAGGCACCATGCTTCGTGCCTTCCACTGATTCCCCAAGTGACCTGGGAAGGAAGTGTTCTACTTCCTAAATCCACTTCAGAGATGAGAAAAGTGTGTGTGTGTGTGTTAATTGCTCAGTCGTGTCCAACTCTGCGACCCCATGGACTGTAGCCTGCCAGGTTCCTCTGTCCATGGAATTCTCCAGACAGGAATATTGGAGTGGGTTGCCATTTCCTTCCCTAACAGATGAGAAAACTGAGGCTCAAATCACAAATTGGCCAAACCTGGGCCTGAATTAGATTCAAACCCCGAGCTCCAAACCGTAATGATGGCTGGCCTTTACAACCTCAGAGTAAAAGAAGTCAGAGTGAAAAACTCCAGGGCCTAGGGAAATAGAGGGTTAACGGTCACGCGGAGCCCTTGTTTAATGTACTTAAAAAGCAGGTTCCTTCCAGAAGCCACAGGGCTGCCGGGGAGATATCCATTAGCTACTTCTTAATGACCAGAGCCAAACCCTGCCAGGGGGAGAGAGCCAAGAAATGCTTTTAATACCCTCTTCTCTGAGGTGAGGGCAATGTGGCCTCTCTCAGCCCCTAGTTCTGCACACAGAATGACGGTGCAGTCCTCCAAAAACCCACAGAGCTGACTTCAGCCCAGAGCAGACTCCCCAGAGACGCCCCCAGACCACACCCCCATCACAAACAAGGAAGCCGCCTCGCTTCTCCCCTACGCCATGATATACTTCTGCCTCCTCCTAGAGAGACAGTTCTTTTGGCAGGGGCCAATGCGCCCTCCCCTCACCAGAGCCCCTAGTGATATCTGATACCAGTCATCCGACACCGCACCCCGAAACCTCAGCTCTTCTAAAGGTCATTCCCCTATTCCTGGCTTGGCCCGGAGTCTGATTGAGCTGTGCAACTGTGCCTGTCACTAGCTCTGCCTCAGGCCTCAAGGAGCCAATCTTCTGTCACCCATCCTGGGTGTGACCCACTCCAGCCACTTGGCCTGACTTCAGTCCATGCCTGGAGCAGTGGCAGATCATCCGTGTCCCACTGCAGGAGAGGAGTGCATTGGAGTGGACTGGTTCTCCCTTCCTGTCTCTAAGGACATGCTGTTCCTATTCCATGAGAGGCAGACCTTCTGCCCCGTTTCTTCTTTGCCTGAAGGGGGAAAAATAATATGCTTTGATTGATTCACTCATTCAGCGTTCATTTGTATCTCAGGCACCTGCTGAGCCTGAGTCCCCTGGTAGCTCAGTGGGGACAGGAGGTGAACTGTCCCTGCCTTAGCAGCGCTTGAAAGAAGTTGGTATTCATAGCCCTGGGAAGCAGTGGGATCAAAGGGGGATCTCAGGGCTGGAAGCAGGCAGGCCCAGCCCCATCCCTGCCCCCTTCCCTAGTTGTATTCCTTTGCATGATCACTCCCTCTCTGAATTTTCATTTCCTTTTTCATAAGGAGGCCCTCTACTCAAGGTTCTGATAGAGAAAGAAATGTGACTCTCTTTGAACAGTAAAAAAATAAACATGAAAATTATCATTTTCAAGGAAAACTAAAAAGACTTTTAAAAATCATTCATGAACACAGTCTGTGCCTGGCACAGAGTAGGTGCTCAGAAATGGAGGGTGAATGAGATCCAGCTTGGCCTCAGGCCAAGAAAGAAATCCACAAAACCAGCAGGTTGTTTTCATAATAGTGTGTGTGTGTGCTTTCTCTGTCTTAATGACTTGCAACTGTATGAGGTTGTAAGGATATAGTAGAACCATCTCTGAGCTGAACATTGGCACGTAAGTGTGGGGCCAGGGCTAACTGATCTCTGGTCCTCAGTCTCGTAAGATAGGAAGAAAGAAAGGATGTGAGTCCTTGCTAAGTTGCTTTAGTCGTGTCTGACTTTTTGCTACCCCATGGACTACAGCCTGCCAAGTTCCTCTGTCCATGGGATTCTCCAGGCAAGAATACTGAAGTGGATTGCCATGACCCCCTCCATGGGCTCTTCCCAACCCAGGGATCGAACTCAAGTTTCTGGAATCTCCTGAGTCTCCTGCACTGTCAGGCAGATTCTTTACCACTAGTGCCTGCTTCTAGGGAAGCCTAGAAGAAATGACCCCCGCTAAATGATTTCTTCCAGCTCCTTCCAGTTGTTAGGAACATTGCCTCCTGGCTGATTTCTCAACATCACAAGGAGGTGATTTGTTCCCATGAGTGGTGGATGGTACCCTCTGATCCACTGGGCAAGTGGGACTTTCCAGGCCTCTCTGTTCCCTTCTCCCTTGAAAAGGAAACAGCTTCAGCCTCTGGTCCCCCTTCCCTCGCTCACCTCCCTTACCCCATCCTCCTCTCCCGCAGGACTGGGCCCCTCGCTGCCCTCGCTGCTGCCCGCTCTGCGACTGTGCCTGTGCGTGCCAACTTCCTGACTGCCAGAGCCTCAACTGCCTCTGCTTTGAGATCAAGCTCCGATGACGACCCCTCAGGGTCCCTGCTCTTTGGGGAGTGGCCAGCCCCCAGGGCCCACAGGCCCTGTTCCCTGAGGGGACTCAGGACAACTTTCTCCAGGCCATTGGAACCACAAATGGCCTGCCCAGCTCACCCGCCTGGGAACCGGCAGTGGAGAGCCTGGCTCCCTGCAGAGCGGGACTCACAGAGCCCTTGGCCAGCAGGCTGGCAGCCCCTTAGCAGGGCCAGGAGAGAGAGGGGCTGGTGCTCCGGCAGGTCCCCCTGCCCTTGTCTTTCCCTCCCCAAGTAACTGATCATATTTGAAGGTGAGGATGGGGGACACTGCTCACCATCCAGAGCATGGGACAGACTTGAGCCTTGACTATCAGGATGTAGGTTTACCCCAGGCACACCCTGTCCATGGACTCTTGGTTATTTTGAGGTGTGAGTGTAGTGCCTGCCTGTGCTCTGCCTCTGAAGAATCAGGACAGCCCGTGTGAGGCCCAGAGTCAGGGGAGGCGGGATCTGAGGAGGAGGCAGGGAAGGCCAGAAGTCTGAGTCCCCTTACCCCTCCTTCCTTCCTCACAGATGGCTGTCCAGAGATTTATTTCTCTTGACAGCCTGTTGAGGGCCTCAGTCTGGATTTCCAAGGAAGAAATCTCTGAAGTACCCGGTGAGTGGGCAGGGGGCCTTCCCCCCCACCCCGAATATAGGCAGGCCCACAAGCTTCTTCCCCATCCTTCACTTTAGGCCCCACGCTGGCGTGAATGTCAGGGGCTTCAGGTTTCCCTAAATATAGGTCCCTGCCAGGGGATCTGTGGTGAGCAAAGGGCAGGGGTCACCGGAGAAGGTCGGGAACATCGGCTGGGGGGAGGGCGGGAGCTGCCTTATAACCCAGCCCGGGCGGGGCCTGGCTCACTCTCTGCTGACCAGGCTCGCCCGCGCCTTTGGCTTCCTCCTCACAGGTGGGCTCCAGTTGGACGGAGCGGGGTTGGGGTTGGGCTGAAGGCTCCGAGATTTAGGAGGGGAGACCTGGCCGGTAGGATGGGGAGACTAGGAAAGGATCTGGGAGGCCGACAGCCGGAGGACGGATTTGATTTTGGAGAGGGAAGTCGGCGCCAGGGAGTTTTCCAAGGACTCTTGGCCCCACATCCCCAGACTTGCTCGGCCCGAGCGGCGGCCCGAGCGGGTTCCCGCCTGGTCCCTCTTCCGCGGGCGGGCGGCGGGCGCGTGCGCATTCGCCGGCCACGTTGCCTCTCCGGGTCCCAGGAGCCGGACCTGCCGGGATGGAGCGCGGACGCGGCGGGGATACCCGCCGGCCGGGACACCCGGAACCGCTGCCGGCTCGCGCTCCGGGAGCCTGCCCGCGCCGCCCTCTCCTGCGCCCGGGCGGGTAGTCGCCGAGCCCCTGGATTCGGTTACAATGTGACACTCGCTGCCTCACCGCCACCGGAAGCTGGGGCTGCCCCGGGCCGCCCGATGGGCCTGCGGGAGGGAAGCAGAACGTCGCTGTTTTCGGGCTCTGCCACCCGCTTTTCCTCCGACCCCACCCCATTCCCATCTCCTCCGGGGCCCAAAAATCGGCTGAGTCACGGCGCCCCGAAGCACGCCAGGCCGAGGGGAGGGGGGTCGGGGGAGGAGAGGAGGGAGGGGAGGGCGCCGGCGACCCGCGGGATGTGGCCCCAGTCACGTCCGAGGGGGAACGAGGGGGAAGGACTCGGGTTCTCGCTGCACAGTCCCCGCCCATGCACCGCCTCCTGGCTTCGCCTTTCGGGGGCGGCCTTTCGCACATTTCCTCGCCTGCCATTGGAAGCCAGGGCGCCTCCGGCCCCCTGGAAAGGGAAAAACCCGGCGGGGGGCGGAGCGGTGCCTTTATAAGGCCGGGCACCACCTCCTGCCCGCCCGCCTCCGCGCCCCACCTCAGGAGTAGAATAGGCTGCGTTCCTCTCGGAACGCGCCGCGGAACCAGAGTCCTGGTGACGAGTGCCGCGTTCGCTCCCTCAGTCCACTCCGCCAGCCCTCCACCGCTGCGCCCCGCCAGCCCGCCCCTCTCCTGTGCCAGGTGAGCGCCCCTCGCCACGTGCGAAGGTCAGGGAAGGGGTCGTGGAGAAGGATCCCGGGGGCAGGGGCGGGTCGGGCGTCCGCAAGGAGCGCCCCCCAACCCGGCCCCAGCATCTTCCTCCTCCGCCACCACCCACACGTTTGCTCCCAGCCCGGACTCCCCAACTCTTCCAGCGTGAGCTCCCAGGGTTTGCTGCGCAACGCAGCGACCGCTCCGCGCGCTGAGTCACACCGGGGAGGAAGGAAGCCGGGCGAGATGAAGGGCCGTTCCCCGCTCCCCTTTCCTTGTTAAGACTCCGGGTGCAAAGATGATGGCCCCCCCTCTGCAGGGATCCTAGGAGGCATCGAGGGGTGGGAGCCAGCTCATTTACTGCCTCAGGGTTCCCGAAAGCGGGTGGTTGGTCCCTGTCCTGGGAGACGGGTGCCCCTGGCCAGGAGGGGAAACCCCTTGGCAGCGCATGATGCCCGGTTAACACTTTCCCTATCTTTCCTTATCGGGTGACCTTGATTATGAGCCTGGAACAGCTGCAGCCGCGGAGCAGACAGGAGCATTTTCAGGGAAGGGGTGGGGCGCTTGCCTCTCCTCCACGTTCTCTTACCCTGTATGAGCAGTGAAGACAAACCTCACTCCTTTCCTCCACCCCGGGCTAGGCTTCCTCCCCCGCCCTTTTCTGGGCTTCTGAGGACCACCCCCTTCACCACCACCTTTTTCCTAACACCCTCCCCCCACCTTGGGGGGAGCAGCCTGACCTTGGGTGTCCTTGAGGCAATGGAGCCTGGGCCAGCCCTGGGACCTCCGGTGGATTGGAAGGAACACTCCTATCGCAGCCAGAGATCTGAGTTCTAATCTCAGATCAGGCCCTTGGGTTGCTGTGTGGCGTGAAACACAGCTTTTTTCCCTTCTCTGGCTTCTTTCAGATGAGGACGTTGGGCCTTCTGCCTTCCGCACAACTTCTCATTCCAAAATACTCCGTTTGGTTTTGCTTCCAGGCAAGGTGACCCCCATGGCACAGCGCAAGCCAGAAGGGTCCGGCTTCCACATGACCTGCCTGTCCATGGCTCTGGCCTATTCCTTTAGGCCAAATGCCAATATACAGCCCCACCCTCAGCTGGGTAACACCCAGAAACAAACAGAGTTAGGAAAGGTACAGGAGGCAGGCCTAGTACAGCGAAGCTGGGTGTAAGGGAGAGCCTGGGGCAGCAAGTGCCCCGAGACCTGCCGGGAGTGGGGCGGGGGAGGTAGGGAGCCTTTCCCCTGACCTCCAGACAAGGGGCCCTGCTGGTTGAGAGACCAGGGGAAGACTCCACTAACTAGCCCTCCCCCATGTGTCTTCTCCGCCCAGGAACTGACAGGCACCATGCCCCACCAATACCCAGCACTCACCCCGGAGCAGAAGAAGGAGCTCTGTGACATCGCTCACCGGATTGTGGCTCCGGGCAAGGGCATCCTGGCTGCAGATGAGTCCACCGGTGCGGGCAGGGCACAAGGGGAGGAGGGTCCAGGGGTGGGGTTGAGGGGCTGACTGACCCCCTTAGTCCCCATGTGATGCTTTCCTCCAGGGAGCATCGCCAAGAGACTGCAGTCCATTGGTACCGAGAACACGGAGGAGAACCGGCGCTTCTACCGCCAACTGCTGCTGACCGCCGACGACCGCGTGAATCCCTGCATCGGGGGCGTCATCCTCTTCCATGAGACGCTCTACCAGAAGGCCGATGATGGGCGTCCCTTCCCCCAAGTTATCAAAGCCAAGGGCGGCGTCGTGGGCATCAAGGTGAGGGGGTCAGGCCTTGGGGTGGGAAATGTGAGAAGGATGTGTGTGTGCTAAGTTGCTTCAGTCATGTCCGACTCTTTGCAATCCTATGGACCACAGCCCACAGCCGCCTCTGTCCATGGAATTCTCCAGGCGAGAATACTGAAGTGGGTTATCATGTCCTCCTCCAGGCGATCTTTCCAACCCAGGGATCGAACCTGCTGCGCCTCTTATGTCTCCTGCGTTGGCAGGAGGGTTCTTTACCACTGGCACCACCTGGGAAGCCCAGTGAGATGGATGAGGGGCAAGGAAATCCAGGATAACAGGCAGGGGTCGGGGTGGGGATGAACTGGGTAGAGAGATTTGGGTGGAGTCTGCCCCGATCACCTCCAAATTGTGTGTAAGAAGCCAGTAACTTGTGGGACTTGCTTGGCATTTTAATCCTTGTGATTTTAAAAGCCACATGTTATACCATTGAAAAACCAGAAGCTAAAGGCCATGAAGTGTTTTGCTCACACTTTGTAAATGGTAGAGTTCAAGCTGTCTGTGTGTATCTTGTCTCTTGGGACCAGATACCATGGCTAAGTGAAACACTGGCAAACCAGGAAGGATACTTGAGAGATGAAGTAAAGCTGGGACAGGGTGGGGCTACAGAGGAGAAAAAGACTCTAGAGCAAGAGTTTTTGTTGTTGTTGTTTAAATACTATTTATCTGGCTGCACTGGGTCTTAGTTGCTACACACAGAATCTTCGCTCCTCATTGCGGAACATGGGTTCTTTAGTTGCGGCAAGCAAACACTTGGTTGTGGCGTGTGAGATCTAGTTCCCTGATCAAAGATTGAGAAAAGGGCACCAGAGACTACTTCCCATCCTATCTTGTTGCTCTCCACTCCCGCAGGTAGACAAAGGTGTGGTACCCCTGGCAGGAACAAATGGCGAGACAACCACCCAAGGTGAGAACCACTTAGCTCCTGGCCCTACTGACCAGCCCACCCTGGTCAGGACCCCTCTGGGTGCCCGGGCCATGTGGGAGCCACCCGCCACCTCCGCTGGTAGGCTCTGACCCCTCCATCCCCTCTTCAGGGCTGGATGGGCTGTCGGAGCGCTGTGCCCAGTATAAGAAGGACGGAGCTGACTTTGCCAAGTGGCGTTGTGTGCTGAAGATCGGGGAACACACCCCTTCCTCCCTCGCCATCATGGAAAACGCCAACGTCCTGGCCCGTTATGCCAGCATCTGCCAGCAGGTGGGCCTGTAGGTTCCCAGCAGGCCACGTCCCACCTAATTCCATTCCAGTCTGTCAGCTGGCCTGCCACCCATCTGCCAGCTTACCCCACTCCGAATCCTCACCAAGCTCCAGGCTTGGGTTCATCAAGGGCTCTGCGAGCAGAAGGGCAGAATAGGGATTATGTGGGTGGATCTGTGGAGAAGGCTAATCTCCTCCAATCTGTTTTGAATCGGGAGGGCTGTGTAGCCAGGAGTTGTGGTGATAAGATCTTGGCAAATAGCTGTGGAGGGCTGGAAGTGGGGCTCTGGGTTAGGAGGCCTCATTGCTACCCTGTCCCTCACCCCACAGAATGGCATTGTGCCCATCGTGGAGCCGGAGATCCTTCCTGATGGGGACCATGACTTGAAACGCTGTCAGTATGTAACTGAGAAGGTAGGTGGCGTGCCTGCCTGGGCAGTGAGGTGGGCTAGGGAGCTGGGTCGGGGCCCCTGGGGATGACCCTCGTCCCCCCAACTCCACCTCACCCCACTTTGGTCCACCCTGCCGTAGGTGCTGGCTGCTGTCTACAAGGCTCTGAGTGACCATCACATCTACCTGGAAGGCACCTTGCTGAAGCCCAATATGGTAACCCCAGGCCACGCCTGCACCCAGAAATATTCTCACGAGGAGATTGCCATGGCAACTGTCACGGCGCTGCGCCGCACAGTGCCCCCTGCTGTCCCTGGTGAGACCCATTCCTCATCTTGACCTCTGGGAGGTAGATGAACTTACCCGTGATCCTTGTGCCCCTGTGGTCTTGATTTCCAGATCAGCTTCTAGGGCCTCCTTCCAATCCCCTGGGTTGCTTGACTACAACCCCTCCCCCCATGTCACCCCCTCATTCTACAGGGATCACCTTCCTATCCGGAGGCCAGAGTGAGGAGGAGGCGTCCATCAACCTCAACGCCATCAACAAGTGCCCCCTGCTGAAGCCGTGGGCCCTGACCTTCTCTTATGGCCGAGCCCTGCAGGCCTCTGCCCTGAAGGCCTGGGGTGGAAAGAAGGAGAACCTGAAGGCTGCCCAGGAAGAATATGTCAAGCGAGCCCTGGTAAGGATGGGGCAGGAGGTGGGCAGGGTGCTGGGGTGTACGGGATTCTGAGAAGGGACCTTCTCACTCTGGCTTCTCTCCCCTCTTAGGCCAACAGCCTTGCCTGCCAAGGAAAGTACACCCCAAGTGGTAAGGCAGGGGCTGCAGCCAGCGAGTCCCTCTTCATCTCTAACCACGCCTACTAAGCCGACGTGTTCTAAGGCTGCCCCCTCAACACTCCAGGCCCCGTCCCCTCCCACGCTCACTCTTGAAGAGAGGGGGCTTCATCTGGGGCTCCAGGCTGCTCTTTCCCGTCACTCTTGCCTCCTTGTGACATTGGTGCCTGGTGTTGTCTCTGTACGCTAACTCCACCGTTTCCAGCCTACTGCCAATAAACAGCTATTTAAGGGGGAATCTGGTGCCCATGTCTGGTCTCTAGGGCAGGGAAGGCCTGGGGGAGGTGGCAGAGCCCAGAGAAGAAAGAGCGCTTGCTTTATGCTCTTCTTTCTGGAGCAGAAAAGTAGGTAAAGGAGATGGACTCCTTTAGTACTCTGTTTGATGCTTACCCGGGGCTTCATGAGAAAAGCTTGTGGATTTTCTTCCAACCACACAGTGCTCTGCTCCTTCCACTGGCAGCATCTGATAAGGCCTTTACAGTTAGGAAGTGTGTGTGTAACTGCCATTCTTAGGAGGTTGCAGCCTTAGCCTCAGTTTTAGGCCCAGAACTCATAGGTATAGAAGGCCCCTGTGACATACACACACAAAAAAATAGCCACTGACAAAAAGTAAGCTATAAACTGGGCAACATGATAAGTATTCTATAGCAGTAGGCTATTATTCCCAATTCATCCTTAAGACATCTTGCTGGGAAATTTATTGATTTAAACAAGATTATGAATGCATATCCTTAATCTATACTGTTGAGCTCATCAGTCTTCCCATCTTTAAAAGGAGAAGGGATTAGGCTGACTTCTGAGCTGTGGAACCCCTTGAAGAACCTGAGATCCCAACACCCACATCAACAACACAGACACACAAATGTGTACAAACAGAACTGTGGAGCTCAGGTTCCAGTTTAAGAACTGAACCTCTGTGGCTTCTGCATTCAGTGTAGCCAGAATGTGGGTCCTGAACTTACCCTATGTTATGCCTGGAACGCGTCCCCATTCACCCAGGCTGTGGAGTACAGTAACGACACCAGATCTTTTCAGGTATTAAAGATTCTAATCATAGCCAGGGACTGCATTAGTCCTGCCACTGCCCAAATTTCCTGATGTGAACCCTTTCCTGTCTGAGCTCCACTTTAGAGGAAGAAAAAAAATTTTCATCTTTCCAATCTCTGGATCTACTGAATCCCTATAGTCATCTGCATAGAAGCCTAGCACCTCCTTGGAGTTAAGAACTTTATCCTTTCCCTTTCTCTGAACATTTGGATCTGTTGCCTACATCCAAAACCGAACTGTATCTAGTGTTCCTTCAAATTGGCCGGCCTCACTACTGTACCTAGCCTCACTCAGCTCTCTGTGAAACAGCCTGAAGTAAAGCAAATAAAAATTGAGGGTCCATAGAAGATAGCAAAAAGGACATTCCAAAAGGCCTCTGGCACCAAGAAGTTCGTTTAAAGACCAGTCACTTCCTCTGCCTGCAGCAAGAAACTAGGGAAGCAGAGGACTTCAAATGCCAGTTTAGGGTGTTTATTTTATAAAGTTTATAACAACTGTGAACTCCAGAAAGAATAAGTGGCAGAAGGAGAAGAAATTAGAACTCAGGTCACAGCTTCCTGGGTTCAAACCAACTTTGATTCAAACTCAAAGTTCTTAGCTATGCAACTGTAAACAAGTTACTTAACCTCTTTTAGCCAGTTTCCCTCTCAAAAAAACAATACAACTGCAGACAATAAGCAGCTGAGTTCAAGGGACCATTCTGGAATCGGGGAGGTCCTGCTGACTGAGGTATATGCTTGGTGTGGGGAAGGTGAAGTCCTTTTGGCTTCTAATTTCAGAGGTCCCCAGGGCAGAGATTTCTCTGGGACCCTGGAAAGAGACTGGAATTCCTTCACCCACTGAACAAATACTTATGTATGCCAACTGGGTCCAGCCTTGTTCAAAGTAAGCACTGGGCTCCAAGTGTGAAAAGTGAAAGTGAAGTTGCTCAGTCGTGTCTGACTCCATGGACTGTATAGCCTACCAGGCTCCTCCGTCCATAGGAATTTTCGGGCAAGAATACTGGAGTGGGTTGCCATTTCCTTCTCCACGAGATCTTCCCCACCCAGGATTGAACCCAGGTCTCCCGCATTGTAGACAGACGCTTTACCGCTTTACCGTCTGACTGCGAACAGGACCAAGTTCCATCCCTCACGGGTTGTAATGGGGGAAAGTGAAAGTGTTAGTAGCTCAGTCGTGTCCAACTCTGCGACCCCATACACTGTAGCCCACCAGGCTCCTCCATAAGATTTCTCGGGCAAGAATACTGGAGTTGGGATTCCCCAGGGGATCTTCCCAACCCAGGGATCGAACCAGGGTCTCCTGCATTGCAAGCAGATTCTTTACCACTTAGCCACTAGGGGTCAGTACTGGGGGAGGTCCATTAAAACAGGTAAACAAAATCTTGTAACCTAAAGCTACAAGGCGGTGCCCCGGCTTACTGAGTTTGAGGTCCTTATCAGCCTTCCCGGTGCCAATCGGCTTAGCCTACAATCACTTCCGCCCGCTGGTTGCCGACATCCGGTTCCTTGGGCTAATTTCCCTTCTTAGGCTTGAGGGGGTGGGGTAAGGGCGCGGCGCGGGAGCGGGGAGTGCGTGTATGACGCCACATCCGGCTCGGGGCGGAACTGGTCTCCCGCTGCTTCCGCGGCGGGGCCGGAAGTAGAAGCGGTGGTGGCGGCGGCCCAAAGCGAAGGGAAGGAGGAAGAGAGGGAGCCCGAGAGCCAGAGCCGGAGTCGCCGCGGCGGTAATCGTCGGAGAACCCTCTAGGCCACCGTCCCCAGCGCGGGCCCGTGGAGTTCGACGGGAGTTAGCCGGGGGCGGCCCGGGCTGCGGGACGCTGGGGACGCTGGGGGCCCCGGGGCCGATGTGAGGGGAGGCGGGAGTTGGGGGGGGGGGGCGGGCCAGCTCCAGAATCCAGTTGCCCCCGCCGACCCGGCGCCCCCTAGGGACACTCTGATCCACGGGTTCATCTTCGCCTTTCCCAGGAGACCCCTGTGCGGTGCGGAGGGGGCGGCGGCCCCGGCTCTGACCCGCGCCGGGGGGGTGGGCCATGGCGGAGATCAGCGACCTGGACCGGCAGATCGAGCAGCTACGGCGCTGCGAGCTCATCAAGGAGAGTGAAGTCAAAGCCCTGTGCGCTAAAGCCAGGTGAGCCCGGTGGCTCCGTGGAAGAGAGACTTGGGGTTTCGGCCTGGGGTAAACCCATCTGAAAACTTTGGGCCTGGCTCATCCTGGAAGCTTTCCAAAGAGGAGCAGAATAGGGCCTCTTCCCTCGAGGAGCTACCAGCCTGTTGGGTGAAGACAGACCTGGATAAAAACACTTGAAGTATTAGATGATGTGCTTTCAGTGGAGTGAAGTATAGAAAATATTTAAGAAGATCAGGGGAACAACCCTGTCTGAGGGGCAATAGGGAATGTCTCTTGGAGGAACTGAACTTGGGGATAGACCTCGAAGAATAAGATGATAAAAGGAGGTGTCAGCAAGAACAGGAGTTCAAGGCAGGAAAGCTAAAGCCTCTGTGGTTTGTAGTAGTCTTTTAATTCCAGTAACAACCCTAAAAGGTGGGTGGAATTGATCCCATCTTACCGGTGAGGACTCTTATATTCAACAGTTAAAGGATGGATCCTAAAGCCAGTTTTCCGTGTCCTGTCCCTTTTCGGGCCATAATGCAAGAAAGTGGAATTGGATTACTCATATTGATTGTGGAAGCCTAAGAAATAGTAGTAAATAAGCCAGAGGAGAAATAAGCAAGGTGTGAATGGAGGCCCAACTAAGGGTTCTGTGGGAAGTAGGATGAGGTAGTGGTTGAGAGCCAGGCTTTGGAATGTGACGGCACTGGGTTGGAAGCAGCTTTACCACCTCCTAGCCTTGTTGGTGATCTTGAGGTCTCTGAGATTGTTTTTTCCTCTGGAGATAATAAAGCAAGATAATAGTACTTACTAAGATGATTGTGAAGAGCAAGTAAGTTGGTGCTTGGAATGTGCTTAAGCTTTGGTTAAATGTCAGTGCTAGACAAACATTAGGTGTTATTGTTCCTACTTTGTGGGAAGAGTGCAGTGCTGATAAGGGCAGAAGTTACTAGAAAAGGTGGCCTTGAAAGCTGAAAGTAATTTGGAGAGCTAATGGGGGCAGGCCCACTGAGGAAGGGCATTCACAGCAGGAGGAGAATGGGGATAGATCTCTGAGGGATGTGGGCAGCTGTGAAGAGACCAGTTACCTGCCTCCTGAGGAACTGTCTGTGGCTTCTACACACTGGAGAACTGTGCAGAAAGGGTCAGCAGAATTACCTCACATTTTTTTTTTTTTTGAACAGACCCGTTGTTCACCTGGGCTTATACTGGCAAAGACCTTATGTCCATTTCTTTCCCACAGCAGTCTTACAAAGTTGAAATAATTTTCCCCATTTACAGAATAGGAAGCCGTGACTCCTTGAAGCCTAGTGACTTGACTGAGGCCACTGATAAAGAGGCCATTGGGCTCTTTGTTTGACTTTGCCCCACAAAGACCTGTCACCGTCAGGCAGGGCCTGTAGGTTTGGTGAACATGCAGGGCCCCCTTTTAAATGCTCGTGTGTGATCCTTCATGTTTGGCCAGCTCAAGATTTCCCTGACCACACCAGCCCCTAGATGTTTTCAGATATCCCTGTTCCCTCAGTCTTCATTGGCATTTTTTTTGGAACTTAAACCTGTTGTTGCCTGGCACTATTCTTCCTGTAAGTTTCGTGCCCCTCACAAGGCCTGGATCAGTGTGGCAGTGATGATAGCTAATGCTTGGATAGTGTTGGATTTTCAGAACAACAGAAGTTGTGTTCAGTCTTCATTGCTCTTTGCAGCCCTGTGCAGTGGGCAGGGCAGAGGTGAGTATTTCACAAAAGAGGAAACTGAGCCTCTTACCCCTGGTCTCACAGCTGATCAGAGGGGAAGCTGGTTTTGGATCCAGGTCTTTGTCCTCCACGCTCACTGACAGCCCAGCCGACATTTAGACTCTGTGAATGGCAGCAGGGGGCTACTGAGGAGTGGGAGGTCTCTGTCCAGCTCATGAGATGGAGCTTGGAGGAACTCGGCTCGGGCCTGAGGTGGCCACTGTTATCCCAGGCCCAGTCTGGAAGAGACCCAATTCAAGCATCTGGCCATGGCTTCCTGGAGACCCACCAGGGCCCCAGGCTGAGGCTGGTGGTGTCAAGAACTTTCGCTTGCCCAGTGGATACCGAGACTCGATACCTTGAAAGTGCAAAGGCCTGGGAGCTGCATTTGCTCCTGTTAAAAACATCAGCAGTTGAGAACAGCAGAGGGTTTTGAATGAGGTGGTTTTCAGGATGAAGTATAGCTTTGTCACCTGTAAATGGTATGGCCCTGGTCCAGTCACTCTTATGTCTCCACGTCTTTGAAATTCTTGCAGAGCTCAGATGAGATTCTGCATATCCAGAGACAACATCTCTAATTCTTTGGTCAGTGGTCAGCAGTGAAGGTGAGCAAGTGTGAGCCCTCAGAGGGCTGGTGCCAGGGCCTTGCTGGCACTGAGGCAGGTTTTGACCAAGTCTGTGGAAGGGGCTGGTGTAAAGTCTCAGGAGATTGGTTCTCTGAGTTCCCAGCCACCCTCCAGCTTTGTGACCTGGATCCTGCCCCTTTTCTCTCTCAACCTCGGTTTCTTTGTCAGATGAGGATGGAAAGAACCTCCCAAGTCAATTGGAAAAGTATTGTAAGCAGTGGAGTGAGGATGTTCGGTACAAGATGGAGGACAGGTGGGAGAGCCTGGCTGCTCTCTGGCCCCTTGGATCACCACCAGCGGCTCTTCCCATTCCTAGAAACCAGGGCACACCTCCCTGGAGCCGCCTTAATTACGCAGCGCACCCTGAGCCCCGGGAGCTCCTGGTATGGTGGGAAGGCACTGGCCGAGAGAGTGAGGGCTGAGCAGGCGCCTCCCACGTCAGACTCGCTTGATAAGAGCCAGACCCCAGAGCAGGCAGCCTTGGTTCAGTTCCTGTCTGTGTGACCACAGCCAGTTTCTTCATCTGAGCCATGGGAATCATCATAGCACCTGCCTTTGAGGGTGGTAGTTTGAGTGCCCACATCATCCATGCAGAACTCTTTAACTACCGACCTGGCACATGGTGTGAACTGCAATGTCCTTGGCTCCTGTGAGCGTCAAGGATGAAATCTAGAAGCACAGCACTACTTAACGTTGGGTGTCCTTAACAGACAGTGATTTCCATGTCACACTTGTTCAGATAGAAGTAGATCACACTGCAAGGAGAGAGGGAGCACAGAGTCCTCGCTTCCTCTGAATGACAGAAGAGTGGCAACAGCATATCGCTTTGAAGGTAGATCTGATGGCTGGCCTGCCCAGGGCACCACCCTTGTGCCTGAGAACATTCCAGGGGAAGAAGGCCCCTGGGGTGGGGAGAGAGGGGCTGTAAGAGCCCAGCCAAGGCACTGTGTGGACAGGAGGAGGAGCTCTGTCTTCTGGGAGTAAGTTCCAGATGTGTGAAAGGGAGCAGCCAGGAGGGTCAAGGCCAGGAAAGTCCCAGACTCCTTGGGAAGGCCTTAGATGCTGAACAAGAGCTGGGGCTTCGGCCTGTTGACTGCAGGGACCCACAGAAGGGTCTCGAACTGGAGGACTGTGGTCAACCTCTCCTGGGGTAATTGTATACTTCCAACTTGCCCCGTGGAGGTTCAAGCCTCATCCTCTCTTCCCCTGCAGAAAAGGTCAGAAATTGGGTTGGGCTGGTCCGGCTCTGGTAACTTTGATCTTCTGTCTCCAGAGAGATCTTGGTGGAGGAGAGCAACGTGCAGAGGGTGGACTCTCCAGTCACAGTGAGTACCCACCGTCCCTCCACAGCCTAGCTTGGTCTTTTAGGCCCATGGACATTCTCCTTAGTCTTGCGGGCTCCAGGGTCTACCCCTCATCCCTGGGAGCCCCATCTTGAAGAGAGCCTTGCTAGAAGAAATGGCGGTTGTGGGCATGGTCTTTGGAGTCACTGGAGGGATGCTCTTGGCCTGGGCAGAAGGACTCTTTAATTTGGTGAGTGAGTGAACTCCACGTGCTCCTGTGTGTTACTAGTGACTTTATTCTGGGTGCCTGGAGGGGAGTAGGCAGAGGAGGGGGTCAGGTCCTCTGGGAACTGCAGGTCTAGCTGGAAAGAATTGCTCTAGCTCTTGCCTACAGAATAGTTGGCACTCAGAGTGTGATGGGGGCATTGGGGTGGGAGAGTAGATTTTCGACTCCGGGAAGCTGAGGCTTTCAATCAAAGGAAGATCTCCTGGAAGAGGAAATGACAACCAGCTCCAGTATTCTTACCTGGAAAATTCCGCAGACAGAGGAACCTGGTGTGCTGTAGTCCACAGGGTTGCAAAGAGTCGGGCATGACTGAGCACGTGCACACACGTGCATGCATGTACACACACACTTTCTCTCTTGGCTTAGCCGAGACTGATAGGGATCTTCTAAAGCAGGGACTTCCAGGCGGCTCTTGCCCTCTGAGATGGCCCACATTCTGTCTGTGGAGTGTATTTCTCTAAATAAATCCATTTCTTACCCATAAATAAATGAAGCCAAGGCTTCCCTGGCGGTCCAGTAGTTAAGACTCTGTGCTTCCACTGCAGGAGTTGTGGGCTTCTGGGTTTAATCCTTGGTGGGAACTAAGATCCCATGTGCCATGCAATGAGGCCAAAATTTTAAAAAAGCAGTAGGGTGTTTTTGAAGGACAGCCCCTGGCAGCACAGGCTTTCAGACTGAGTTCTGACTTGTCTTCTCACTTCCAGGTATGTGGTGACATCCATGGACAATTCTATGACCTCAAGGAGCTGTTCAGAGTGAGTGTGGGGAAATGCCAGGAAAGGTGACCCAGGGGATGGCTGCAAGACCCCTTTAGTTGAGAGTGGAAACTTTGGTGAGTGGGTTGAGGATCAGAGGCCTCTAGTTAGGTAGGCTCATTGTGAAAGAAGGGTCTCGACTTGACTGAAGATGGGCCACTACAGTGAGTTGGGGAGAGTTTAGGACCAAGCTAAATCTTCTTTCTCCCTCCCCAGGTGGGTGGCGATGTCCCTGAGACTAACTACCTCTTCATGGGGGACTTTGTGGATCGTGGTTTCTACAGCGTCGAAACGTTTCTCCTGCTGCTGGCACTTAAGGTGGGACCCCCTGGCTTCTGGAGCCAAGACCTCGGTCACCTCTGGCCTGACCTGCCTGCATCCTTTCTGCCCTCATCTCCTGCCCCACCCGCCCCCAACTCTTGAGCTGCGCTGTTGTTGATGGACTGTTTTGGCTTGGGTGGTCAGGCAGCTTTCCTTGACTTGGGGGCATCTGATGAAATCAAGGTGGGGGCGGCATCGTAGCCGGAGGGAAGAGAGGCTCACTCTGTTCAGAAAGTGGCACGGAGTATCCACTGGTGGGAGAGAGGTTGTAAGGGGCCAGATGACAAGGTGCGCTAAATATTTTGTAAGGGCTTGGTCCGTACCTGGTGGATGAAGGAGGGACCGTTAGGTTTGTAGTTGAAGTGGGGGGATGGGAGGGAGTGTGAGAGGATTCAGCTTTGCATCCTTTGGAGGAGGGACGGGGAACCTGTGAGGTGAGTGTGACACGATTTGTGCAGAGATGATCAGAATCTGGACTGGAGCAGTGTTGATGAGGGTGGAGTGGGGCTGGCAGACATGAGGATATCGAGGAGGGAGGGACAGGCCCTGCATGGTGATTGCCTCCAGGTTCGCTATCCTGACCGCATCACCCTGATCCGGGGCAACCATGAGAGCCGTCAGATTACCCAGGTCTATGGCTTCTATGACGAGTGTCTGCGCAAGTATGGCTCGGTGACCGTGTGGCGCTACTGCACTGAGATCTTTGACTACCTCAGCCTGTCGGCCATCATCGATGGCAAGGTAGGCCCGCCGCGCGGCTCCCTGGGGACGAGAGGGGCCGGAGGGACGGGAGGGCTGGGAACGGCGCCAGGCCTCAGCCGGTCTTGCTCTCCCCGAAGATCTTCTGTGTGCACGGGGGGCTCTCCCCCTCCATCCAGACGCTGGACCAGATCCGGACAATTGACCGAAAGCAAGAGGTGCCCCACGACGGGCCCATGTGTGACCTGCTCTGGTCCGACCCTGAAGGTGAGGGCAGGAGCTCTGCTCTTAGTTTGGTGAGTGACCGAGGGGGTCCTGTGGTTAGAGCAGGTGCCTGGAAGGGATGGCCCCGGGCAGGTGAGTTTGGGGCAGAGCTGGGCTGGTCTTCACTGGTATTGGTGCTTGATGGCCAGTGGGGTGGCATCCTCTATGAGGAGCGGGGATGGGGGTAGCTTGGTGCTTTGAGCTGGGGGGGTGGGGGGAGGTGTACGTCATACCTCAGGAGCTTGTTGAAAGTGAGTCATCGACTTCCTGAATGTGAAGGGACTGCTGGAAGGATCAGGCTCCCAGAATGATAGCCCCCAGAACTTGCCTGCCAATGCAGGAGATGTAAGAGATGCGGGTTCAATCCCTGGGTCGGGAACATCCCCTGGAGGAGGCCGTGGCAACCCACTCCAGTATTTTTGCCTGGAGAATCCCAAGGACAGGGGAGCCTGGTGGGCTACAGTCCGTGGGGTCACAAAGTCAGACATAACTGAAGTGACTTAGCACGCACACACAAGGACCCCTCATGTTGTGGGCATCAGCTGGTATGGAGCATCGCTGAGATGAGAGCCAAGCCTCCCAGTACCAGTCTGGGGCTCTTGTGCTGTGACACCAGCCTCCACTCCCTCTCTGCCCTGTCCCTACCTCCCCGCCGGCTGGGCTGCCCTGAGTCACAGGTGCCGTCCCAGCATGCTTACTGTCAGCACCTCCTTTCACTCTTGTGTGGACCTGTTGGTACAGTAAATTAGACGGTCACTGATGATCAGGTGGCTCCAACTATCAGGAGATTCTTTCTTCTTTGGAGCATATCCACTTGCGCATTTGCTGTCCTGTCCTGAGGCTTCCTCAGAATACCTTTGGGCCCTGTGCTGTTGCTGCACAGGCCTCCCTGGGGGAGGGAGGCAGGCTACTCTGTGAAGGGCAGCGGGCAGCCCTGAGAACACCCTCACCACCCCTTCCCTCGTTTGCCTCAGACACCACAGGCTGGGGCGTGAGCCCCCGAGGGGCTGGCTACCTGTTTGGCAGTGACGTGGTGGCCCAGTTCAACGCAGCCAACGACATTGACATGATCTGCCGTGCCCACCAACTGGTGATGGAAGGTTACAAGTGGCACTTCAACGAGACTGTACTCACTGTGTGGTCAGCACCCAACTACTGCTACCGGTGAGCTGCCTGGGCTGGGGAGGTTGAGGTAGGGATCCAGGCTGAGCCATTCTGTTAACACTGCTGCCCCCGCCTTCCCCCCCGACTTCCAGCTGTGGGAATGTGGCAGCCATCTTGGAGCTGGACGAGCATCTCCAGAAAGATTTCATCATCTTCGAGGCTGCTCCCCAAGAGACACGGGGCATCCCCTCCAAAAAGCCCGTGGCCGACTACTTCCTGTGACCCCTTCGGCCCTGCCCCTCTCCGGCCCCCGGACCACTGTGACTCTGCCCTCTTCAGACGGAGGCTGGGCATGGGGGGGGCTGTCCCCGGCTTTGCTCTCCCTGCAAAAGAGGGCACTTCAAGGGTGAGGACTTTTCTGGAGAGGCTGGGAGCCTCAGTTCCATGCTCCTCCTCCCATCTCCCCACTTGAACCATGAAGTTTCCAATAATTTTTGGTTTTCTTTTTTTCCTTTTTTTTTTTTTTTTTGTTTTTAGATAAAAATTTTGAGAAAAACAAAAAAAAAAAGAAAAAAATTCTAATAAAAGAAGAAAAATGGTCTTTGGGTTGGTGTCAGAATTAACTGGGGATGAGCAGTGGTACCAGCCTGGGACCTGGGATTCATGTCAGGACTTTGATGCCCCAGAACCCTAATCCTGCCAGCAAGGTGAGGCTCAGGCCAGTCAGCTTGCCCAGAGACTCCTGGTCCCCATCCAGTGACAGTGATTGCTCCTGGGGGCTTCGTGAGTGCCAGGGAGAGCGCTGGGTTCTCGGGCAGCCCCATTTAATTCTCAGAATGGCATGTCAAGACAGATTCCTCCATCTTCCTGAAGAGGAAGCAGACCCCAAGCATTGACTTAGATGCACAAGGTCAAGCAGCTGGAAATGACAAGTCTCAATTGGGGCCTGCGTCTCCTCACAAAACCTCTGCTCACCCAGCCCCACTCAGGGCCAAAGACCATTAGCCCAGTGTTCCCAGAGCACTGATGTCTTTTGAGTTTTATTAACAAAAATACTCTGGACCTGAGAACAGACCCGTGTGGCTCGCCCTGGGGAGGGGTAGGACTTGCAGAGCCCAAGGCTGAGGGTGAGGGTGGGAGTGCTGGTCCCAGGCCCCATTTGGCCGGCAGAGCCCCCTCCATTCACACCGAGGTGAGAGCCTGGAAGGGGAAGCTGGCCCCAGCTGGACTCCCAGCAGCTTAGCCAGAGCTTTGAAGCCAGAGGGGGGTGGGAGCGAAATCAAAGTGTGAAGTGGGGTGGGGGAGGCCCAAGGCAGCCATTTGGTGTGGGGGAGGGGGTAGTGGAAGTGAGGGGGCAACAGACCTGGGGGAAGGGAACTGGAAGATGGGGAGGGAGGCAGGGGGCTTAGCAAAGGCTCAGTACATTGGTTTGGAGCCCACATCCAGGTAAGGCCCAGGCCCAGGGTAGGGCAGGGGGAAGGGGCCCCCTTGGAGGAAGTGCGAGGCAAAGGATGCTGGGGGTGCTGCTGCTGGATATCCTGAGCCTGCTGGTCCAGGCTGCAGCTCCAGGAAGGCGGCTGAATAGGGGGCTGGGCGCCCAGAGTCTGGAGCCTCCGGGAAGCTGGGATTCCTGAAGAGCGGAGAGGTATCAGAACAGGGGAGAGGGGATTCCCCACCCCCCGGCCCAGCCTGGAATAGCCCAGCCCTGTGCCCTTGACCCATCACCTGGTTGGAAGGTGACTGGGGGCTCCGTGGAAAGCGGCAGGGTGCAGCAGGTAGGCCTCAGCACTGGGGCCACCACAGGGAGGAGCTGGGGCACGGGCAGCTTCCCCAGGTACTGGGGCCTGCTCGGGATCTGACTCCCGAACATCCCCACCCAGTGTGGAATCACAGGGACCACCTGGAGCATCTGGGGAGACAGAAGGGCCAGAGCAGGTTAAGGAGGATCGGCATCTCGGGCCTGGTCCCATCACCTCCGGAACGACGCTCACCTCCACTCCCATAGGCCGCTGTGGCTGCTGGCTCTGGGCCCCGCAGTTTCCTCTTCACACGGGCGTCTCGTTCCCTGGGGGACAGTGATGATGATGGTGATGATGATAATGGTGATGATTATGGTAATAATGGCACTTACCAGGTGCCAGGCACTTCACCCAGGGACCCTATCAGGTAGGTGCCATTATTATACCCATTTTACAGAAGAAGGAATGGAAGGCCAGAGAATTAAATGATTAGAAAACAGCAGCTGTTTAGTTACTAAGTCGTGTTGGACTCTTGTGACCCCATGGACTGTAGCCCGCCAGGCTCCTCTGTCCATGGGATTGCCCAGGCAAGAATACTGAAGTGTGTTGCCATGTCCTTCTCCAGGGGAATCTTCCCAATCCAGGGATCAAATTCATGTCTCCTGCGTTAGCAGGCAGGTTCTTTCCACCGGGCTACCCTGATAACTTGTCAAGAGTGATACTGTTATGTTCATCAGGGTGATCCTTGAGTTAATATCTATCTCTTCTGGCTGATTTTAAGTGTCTTGAGGGCAAGGGCCAGCTCTGAGGGGGTAGGGTTAGTTAGAAGAAGCTAATGTCCTAACCAAACCTTTACAGCCCACCATAATCTGGCTCCCTATTACCCCTCTCACTCCACACCAGCCATACTGTAGTATGCTCCTACCTCAGGCCCCTGGCATGTTCCCAGATATTCACATGGTTCCCTTTCGTGCTTCCTCCAAGTCTTCTCAAACGTCCTCTTAGTGAGGCCTTGCCAGGATTCACCTCTCCAGTCCTGATCTTCCTTGCTTTCTTCTCTCTATAGAGCTTATCCCTAACATATTTATTTCTCTTGTTTACTTGTCTGTTCTGCCCACTAGAGTATCAGTTCCACGAGGGCAGAGGCTTTGGTTTGTTCTGTTCACTGCTGCATCTTCACTCCCTAGAACTGTGCCCGGCACATAAACAGGCGCTAAATAAGTATTTGTCAGATCAGTGAGTGACAACAGGTGTTTACTTACATTGGGTTCCAGGAGTCCAGTACAGTGCCCGGCACACAATCAGTAAACATTTGATGACAGTGATTGAATGAGTGAATGATGCCCACCTCTTACAGTTTCGGCCGTTCTCCCGGAAGCCCTTGGCAAAGGGGTTGGCTGCAATCTTCAGTTGTGTGATCTGGGTGGGCGGGGGAGGGGATGCCGCACACCCAGAGTCAAGACTCCTGCAGCCAGAGCAGGGCGATGCCACCCGCTCCAGCAGGATCACTCACCCGTGGGTTCTGGTAGGCTGTCACGGAGATGAACGTGGTCTCCGGGAAGCGGAAGGAGGCAACGCCCCCCCAGTGCTGGCTGCAGAGCTGGGCGGCCCGCACCAGGTGTATGCGGGGCTGATACTTATGCATGGAGTGCAAGATCAGCTGGGAGGGAAGAAAGAGGAGTGACTCCCTACCCCGGTCCCAGCCCAACCCGCATCGGGGGATCCCAGTCTGGGCCTCACGTGGCCATGGGGGTCCAGCGTGCTGTTGGTGAGCTTGACTCGGTGGAAAGACACAGGCTGCCGCATCCAGTGGGCTCCAGTGGCAGGGGAGTCCGGGTGAATGTAAACACGGTCAGGCAGGCGGGGCTCTGCCTTGCCGCTGGGCTCCCAGCGCCGGCCCTGCCAGCGGTAGCGAGCCCCATCCACCGGAACCACGTCCAGAAGAAACAGGTAGCGGGCCTCGGGGTCCAGGCCAGTTACTGATACTCGGCAAGCAGGGAACATGCGCCTGGATGGGGGAAGGGACCAGAGCGTCCTGGAGCCACCCACTAGTCGGGGGTGAGCACAGCAGCAGTGAGGCGGCATAGCCACTGGCTCATCCAGTCAGAGACTCGAGGAATGTGGAATCAGAACTCAGAAGGCAGGATCTTAGCTGTAAACCTGTCTCATCCCATTTTACAGATGAGAAACAGGACAGACAGTTCAGGTGATGTGACCAGAGTCACACAGCAGGGTAGGAGCAGAGTCTGGAGCCCTAACCCCTCAAACTCCACTTGCAGAAGCAGGAGTGACATACTTCTCCCCCAGAAATCTTGCCAGGAGCCTTCTGCTCCCTACCCTGCTCTTGCTTCATCTTCAGCACCAGAATCTACAGCTGCTGGACAAACTTGCTTCAAAGAAAATAAAAAGAGGACTCGCGTGCTAGTGCCTGAGCCCCTAGGCTACAGAAAGACCCACTGACCATACTGACCATATCCCTGCCTCCAAGGTGACCCCAGAACTAGTCACATACTGACCCCTGATCCTGGCCAGACTTCCCTGATGCTGGTCAGTGGCTGACCCTTGACCCCCATTATAGTCTGAATCCTGAATCTAGGTGCAGACTGACCCCTCATCTAGGCCACATACTAACTTATAGCCCAGTCAGACTTTCTGTCCCTAGCCCAGAAAGACCTAGGACACTTGCCATAGATTAGTCCCTAAACCAGCCAGACTCCACAGACTGACCCTTGACCCTTGCCACAGAATGACCCCTGACCCAGGCCACAGTCACACTCTGAACTCAGGCAGAGCTCTAGCCCCCTTAGAAATCCTCACACCAGCCCCATCACCAGGAACTCTGCCCTTCCCGCACCAGGAACACACTGGGTTCTCTGACCCTGGCCCAGCCCCCTCACCTCCCAGCTTTGGTGATGATCATCTCTGTTCCCACGGAGTTGAACTCTTTCCACAGCTCCCGGTTCTCCAGGCTCAGGCTGACTCCAGGGAGTGAATGAAGGCCCTCTGGGGCTGAAGGGGGTGGCGGCTCAGTGCCCAGGGCTGGGGGCAGCGGGGGTAGAGGTGGGGGAGCAGCCAGAGTTCGGGGAGCAGCCTCAATCCCAGAGAGGAAGCAATCCAGTTTGGGAGTGTCCAGATCTGGAGATGGGAGGAGAATGAGGGGCCAGCTGAGGGCCACAGCCCCCACCCCAATTCCTACACCGAGCTCAGTTCTCTCTGCTCACCAGGGTAGCGGTAGCCCTCTGCCAGGGCAGGCGGGAAGCTGGAATCTGCCCCAGGCTGGGGGGGTCCGAGGCGGTAGCCAGTCCCCAAGGAGGGGTACAACTCTCGTGGGTGGTACATGGAGTAGTCCTGTCTGGCCTCGGGACACGCTGCCTACAGTGCCCCAGTGCTGAGAGATGCCCCCTTTATAGCTCACAGCTCAGCCCCTTCCAGACCCAGGATCACAGCCCCTCCCCTCTTTGGGGCCCTGGAGTTAGGCTGGGGTGGAGACCCCTGGGGCCTGGAAGGGGTCCAAGAGGGGGCCGGATACCTGGGTACCCTCCCCTCCTCCCCTCCCCCCCAGGCTTCATTAGCCCCGACCCCCTGCCCCCTCATTACATAATTAACTCCTCGGCCTGATTGATCCCCGGGGCTCGACAGGGACGCAGTTTGGCGCTTCCGGCCAGCTGGTCCCCGTTCCCACGGGGGGAGCCCCAGCTAGGGATAAGCTACTGAGGGGCGGGGCCTGGACCCTGTGATGGAGCCTGGAGTCCTGGGGCAGACCTTGGCGCTCCAAACTTCTCTGGCAGGTGACCCCCCCACCCCACCTTTACTTGGAGGACGAGACTTGGAGGGAGGAAGCATGACAGGAGGGAAGGAGCAGGGCTGGAGGCACGCGGCCTGAGCTTATTGTTACGCGGGGCACTGGAGACCCCGAGGAGTCCGCAGCCGAGGCCTGAAGGCTGGAGTCCTTCCTGGCTCCCATTCTCTAAAACCTCCAGCCTCGGCCAAGTCTCAAAAGTTTAGAGACGCTCACAGCTCGACGGTCTCTGACAGCGGACTCCCGAGTTTCCCAGAAGGTCCCGCGTTGGGGAACCCTCGGAACTACACTTCCCAGCAAGCCGAGCGCCGACGTTCGGCGCGAAGGGCACAGGCGGATGCCGCTGGGGCCGCTGGAAGCTGTAGTTGAGACGAGGTGGGCGGTGAAACCCGCGGCGAGGTTGCCTCCCAGGAGAGCTGCCCCTAGGCGGCGTCAAAACTCTTAGGCTGAGGAGATGCCCATCAGCTGAGGTCAAGGCCTAACGAGCTAGAAAGGGCTCGGGAATCTCTGCCGGCAGCGAGATCCGCCGCGGGTGCTAGAGAAGACAGCTGAGTCCCAGGAGCGAAGGCTCCCAGCTTTGACCGCCGTGCCTACCCCATGCCTCCAGGACTCAAAGGGGAACAGGTTTATAGAGGCAGGAATCCGCATCTGAGTACCCCCTTCCCGGATTCCACATGAGCCTGGGGCTGTCTCCACTCCATTGTTTTATTATGTACAAACGCTACAGAACAAGGGGAGCAGACACGCGTGGGGTAAGAGGGGCCCGGTGGGAGGAGAACGTCACAGGGCAGATGGTGCACTGGGGCCAAGAGAGCAGCACACAGGCCATATCTAGAGGGCAGGCGGGGTAGGAAGGGGTTTAAAAACGAGATCCAAGCCAGCCAGATCGCAGGGAGGTGCGGGGGTGTCGTCCACTTTGTCCACCTTCCGATCTCCCCCCAAAGTCACAGTGCATGCAATAAAATATATATACAGGAGCTGGATCCTTCCTCTGTAGGGGGCCTGAGGGTCCAGAGCTCCGTTCGGGTGAAGGGAAGCCAGTGGCGCCCCCTGGCGGCCAGGCCGGGCTGGCGCCACATGCGTCAGGAGCAGGGGTCAGTCCCAGCCGTTGTCTTTGATCATGTGGTTGAGTTCAATGATGTACTTCCCCTCTTTGTACTTCTGGCTGCTCTCGAAGGCCTGTTCCTGAAAGGAGGGAAGAGGCTGTTATGCTTGGAGGTAGGGCAGGGCCTAACCAAAAGGGTAGGGGTTGGGGAGTGGATATGATGGGCCCCATTTTACATATGAGGAAACTATCACCCAAGAAACCAAGCCACCTGCCCACAGACACAGAGCTGATAAATGGCAGGGCCAGGTATCTAATAGGAGATAGACAGAACTCTCTTGAGTGACAGGTATTTTTCAAGTATTAATGCTAATGTTGGCTCCAATAGAGAGGATATGAAAGCTTCTCCAAAGTTCCAGGGAATACAAACTGGTAGCCTCAGGACCAGTTTTGGCCTATGCATATGTTTTGTTCAACCAACAGAGAATTTAATAAAAATAACTTTCAAATACTAAAACACGGGGAAGGCCGTGCTCATTCCATTTGGCCATAATGTCCCCCTCTGGAGATCTACATTGCCCCTTTTGCAGATCCACAGAATCTGCTTGGCCCTGCAAGCACTTGAATTTTTGACCTCTGGATTAGGCCACTTCTTTATTTTATAGAGGTCCAGAGGGGGCAAACCACCTGTCCAGGAACACAGAGCAAATCTGTGGCAGGGCCAGGGACTAACTCAGGGCAAGGTTCTGTCTCTGCCTGGGGCATTCACCTTCCAGAGGCACTACAGCTCCAAGAGATGCCCGAGGATTCCTGTCTCTTGCAATTTCCCAAGAGCATCTCCTTTTCCTGCATCTAATCTGATCCCCATAACAACCTTGGGTGCCAGGGGATCCCTTTATCCTCTACTACCGATAAGGAAATGAGAGGATAGTGAAATCAGACCCCGAACAACAGCAGTGGCAATGAGGGCAGTGAAAAAGGAGGCTCATGGACCCAAACTCTATGTCGTTGTAGGGTCTTGGGCAACTTCTCTGATCCTCTGAATGGCAATAGGAAGCTGGGGGTCAAGGGTTTGGAGTTAAAAAAAAGAGAGAGACAGAAAATGAGGATTCTGGTCCCTGTTCTGTTACTTACCAGCTGTGTGACCTTGGGGAAGTTACCTAACATCTCTGGGCCTTCCTTTCTTCTTCTGTAAAGTGGAGATAATAACAGACTACCTACAGGATTGCTGTAATGAGTGAATGAGATAAAATATGCCAAGCACATAACAGTGTCTGGCACATAAGTATTCAATAAACAGTCATTCTGATTATATCCTCATCTCAAAAATGGGAATGCTTGTGCCTGCGAGGAGAAGGATGAGTTAAGAGAAAAACCTTAAAAGCCCTTGTAGGATGTGAGAGAAGAGACCATGGTCAAGGGATGAAAAGATAAATTTGATTTGGATGACTTGGGCCTGTACACCCTGAAAGATTACCAGATGACTGCTTGTGAGGAGGAGGTGATGTGAGGTCAGGTCAAAGATTAGCCTGAGGTCAGAGGTCACTGACTCACATATTTCCAGCCCAAAGTGGTCTTGCAGTTTTCACAATGGATATCAGCGACAGCATGGAGGCCTGTCAGCAGCACCCGCTCCTCGGCTGGCCCGCAGCCCACGTTCACCCTGTGGGGACATGGGAGCAGTCCCAGGGAGGGTCCCTCCATCACAAAGTCTCCCTCTAGCTTGGATCCAACTGTATCTGTCCTTAGCATTCAAGAGAAGGGGGAGCACAGCTTCCTACCCAAACCAGGAGACTCTTGAGAGTCTCAGTATGATGGCAGGGGTCACAAGTCACAACAGAGGTCAGAGAAAGGGAGATGGGAGAGTGGATACTCACACAGAGTTGAAGAGGTAGGCGCGCCCCTGACTGCCCTGGAAGGACTAAAGGGTGGGAGGGAGAGAGGAAGGTGTCAGGGCTACTGGTGGGGAGCTGCCAGGCAGTCCCTCTAGTCTCCCATTCCAGCCCCAGCTGTGACCTGGTTACCTTGGAGATGAGGTCGTCGTGGTTGGCCAGGTGAGCGCGGCAGTGGGCACAGCTATACCTCCGGTGACAATCATCCAGGTAGGCCTGAAACGTCTTGGGCTTTGAAATCCGCACCATGGCGGGGGCCGGGGGCAGTGGCCCCACGCGGGGAGCGGCCCACGGGGAGCAGAGGGAGCCCAGTGCCTGCAGGGGACGGAGTGGGCTGTCAGGACCCCGGCTACACACACGCAGGCACGCCCTGGGCCACGGGGACTCTCTCTGTCACACTTGGCTGCTGTCTTCTCTCCCCAGAGCCAGCAGCCTCTCCAGGGGCCAGAGCTCTCAGTTTTGACTCACGGAGGAGGCCTCAAGTTGCATCAACGGGGAAACTGAGGCTAGGAGGAGTCCCAAATGAGTCACCCACCTGCTTTCGGCCTCACCCCTGCTGACCTGGCAATTGAAACTGGAGGAAGGGGCTCCAGAATAGATGACTGTCAGTTCTCTGTTTAGGGGGAGCTTGCAAGGGGTTGGGGATTGTATGGTCCTTACGACCTCATCTGAACTGCAGGGGTTGGGGGCGACTTCCTTTGAGGTCCAGAGAATTCACCTGGGGAGAGGATCCCTCACCTGGAGAAAGCAGGAGGCCTCACTGAGGGTGGAGTGTCATCTAGGAGGGGAGGGGCTCTTACCCGGGGGCGCGGAGGCCTTGCCTATGCCGAGGGGATCTTACCTGCATCGCGGAGCCTTACCTGAGACCCCGGGGCTCACCTGGGGAGCGGGGGTGGGGGGCGGGCGCCGAGGGAAGGGGCAGTCCTCGCCGCCGGGGCGGGGGCGCGGGGCGACGCGCAGCCCTGACGATGCGGTCCTCACCTCGCCTGGGCGCGCGGGGGTCCGGTCCGCCGGGGTGGCCTGGCCTGGGAGAGGGGGGCGCTCCTGGTGGGCGCCGTCCCCCCCGGCCCGGGTTCGCAGCCGCCGCGACTTGTTTACACCGAGACCAGCTGCTGCCGCCGCTGCGGCGGGAGGGGGAGGGGGCCGGCCTCTGGTCCCGGCGGCCGCCGTGACCAATCGGCGTGCAGCATGCAAATGAGGGGGCGCGTCACACAGCGGCCAGCGCAGGCCTGGGCTGCCCTTCCCCCTGCTCCCGGCCCAGGCCGGCCCGGAAATGCGGCTGCGGCCCGAAACCCAGCCGGCCAGCCCCACTGCCCGGGCCTGGCCGCCCACCTGGCCCCCCGCAGTCCTCGAAGGGGCGAGGATCTGAGATACCTGACCTGACCTAGGATTAGGAGGAAGTTGCTGTCTGGACTGGACACACGGCCCCGGGAAACAATAGTCAAAATATCTGCGTTTACCCACCGATCATGCCCTCTCCCTTAAACCCCACAGCAATCGGAGGAGGTAGCTTCTGCTATTGTTCCCATTTTCCAGGGGAGCTGAGATCCACAGAGGTCCAGCAGCTCCCCAAAGCTTATCCAGTTGATAAAGAGGTAAAGTTGAGATTCTCACTTTGGTCCATGGTTCTTGTGATAGCACTAGGGACAGACTCTCGGATGGGAAAAGCTAAAGGTATCCATTCGTGTTAGAACCCTGAGAGCCAGAGCCTCAGAACAAGCCCATTCCTACTGTTGTGCGTCCCCTGTTCCAGGCAGCCTCCTCAGATGCCCTGCAGGGTTATCAGGCTGGGTTAACTGTCTTCCCCTTTTTCACCTCTGAACTGGGTTTAAAATGAAAATATTTAAACATGTGTCTGCCATATTAGACTTGCCTTGTTCCTTGCATTGGTCCCAGTACCCTGTCTAGCCTACTTGATAATTTTTGTGAACTATGTGATTCATTAAATGAATAGGGTAGTAGGGCTCCAGGGGGTGCAGGAATTGGAGAAGCTTCTGGAGTGGGAGACCAGGGAATGGAACACTGGAATGGCTAAGGTATCAGATGCCCATCCTCTGAAACCAGGTGAGGTGGCTCCCTGGAGCAAGTCAAGCCCTTTGCTGTGTGCTTGGGGCCCTTAGTGTCCTCAGGAGAATGGACCCATTGTCTGTGGCTCTGAAGGTGCAGGGGGCCTTGCAAGGGACATTCCTGAGTGCAGTGGAGGCCAGGTTGGCACAGGGTGTGGCATTACTCTCAAACTGGAATGTAGTGGAACCAGTGGCTCAGGGTGGTTGAGGGCCTCAGACTGTGGCCCTCAGCTGGCCTCTTCCGTCACAAGCTGCCATCTTTATAGTCTTCTAGAATCTACTCCCCCACCCCCATCCCCCCAAGCACAGAGACGTGACTGAGAAGAATATATTTATTGGGGAAGAGAAACAGAGGAGAGGGTGAGGAACCTCTAGGTTAGGAAGCCAGGGCAGGTGGTCCACGGCTGTCCAGGTAGCACCTCAGGGCTGTTGGGTAATCAGTTATGACGCCAGTGGCCCCCAGGTTGAAGGCTACTTCGAAGTCTGACTCTTCATTAAGGCACCAAAATACCACCTGGAGGGAGGGAGGAGCTTGAAGTTTCCCAACAACTTTACCAGGCACTCCCCCTTGTATCCGGATGCTGGAGCTGATCCTTACATTTTCAGGAATTTTGTAAACTGGTTATTAAACACAGCCTTTGTTTTTTTTTTTTTTTTGCAGGGAGTTGGGGCATCTGCAGTTCCTCAACCAGGAACTGAACCCATACCCCCTGCAGTGGAAGTACTGAGTCTTAACCACTGGACCACCAGGGAAGTCCAAACACAGTCATTATTAAGTATTATATAAACTTACAAGTCAATAAATTATATTCAAAACAAAGATAATAAACACTCAAAACTCATCGCTTCCTGATTACTACATTTGATTCCATGTTCTGGAAGTCATCTACCTCTATTGAATGTGTAAGATGGAAATGCTATATAATGTATCATGCTACCACATGATATATCTCTTCCCAACTCCATTCAGTGAATTCATGTTGGTAGCCTGAAATCCACCAAGGAAATTACCTATTGTTCAAATCAAGGCTTCCCTCCCCCCACCCCCCCCAAGTAGGTAGTGGAACATTTACCAGCCTGCCCATATCTCCCAACCTGCCCCTATCTGCTGCTGCTCAGACTGCATCTTCCCTGCCTCCTGAGTCCTCTCCTGTGGCCACTGAAGCAGGTGGAGATGGTATTTGTAGCCTGGGCTAAGTTACTGGCTGAACCTCTCAGTTTCTTATTTTGACAAATCAGAGTGACAGTTCAACCATCCAGAGTTACAGTGAAGATGGCAGAGCAGTAGCCTAATCTGAAAGAGCTATGTCATCCCCAGGCCGCACTCACCCCCACATCCAATCAGTGGCCGAGTCTGGGCCTGTGACTTAACCCTTCCATCCATCCTCGCTGCTGCCACCTAAGCCCCAGTCCTGTCAGTGGCAGCATCAACTACCCAGTGACTGCCTCCACACTGGCCCTCACAATCCCTCCTCCACGTAGTGGCCAGAGTGACCCTCACTCGACAAGGCTCCATTGAGTCAGGTCTCTCCCCTGCTTAAGGCTCTCAAAAACGTCCCTTCCTTTTGGGTTGAAGTCTGAATTCCTCACTGAGGTTCCCGGGCCACTTTATCCAGACTGCAGGCTGGTGGGGCCCCTCAGTTCCTCTGCTGGCCTCTTGCTTCTCCTGACCTTCCCACACACTGAGCCTCCTGCCAAGACACTCTCCCTTTCCCCTCCCTGTGAGCTGGCTCCTCACTTCTTCCAGAAGGCCTTCTCTGGCCCCACAGACGACAGCACTCTGTTCCCTTTCTGTCCACGGGCTGCCCCTGTAAATGCCTGCTTTTCCTCCCCTGCCCCTGATGGTACTCTCTCTGCTCCTTCCCCAGGACCACAGTGCCTGTGGTCTCAACACAGTCAGTTCTCAACCAAGGTTTGCTAATTAAATGACCTGGTCAGAGCTGATGCTCGGGGACAGGAGTGGGGGGCTGATCTGATCTTTCCTGGACCCCCTCATCAGGGATCAGGACAGTTCCATACACCATCATCATCACAATGACTATCCTTTATCATGCACTTACTAAGTATCACCTACATATCCACAGGAGTTTAAAACATCATTATCCCCATTTTACAGATGAAGAAACTGAGACTCAGACAGTGACCTGCCAAGTGACCCAGCCAGTCAGAAGCAGAGCCAGCAGGCCCACGCTGTGAACAACCACTTGCTCACCTGCACCCCTCGCTGCTGCAGATGTTGGATCAGACTCTTCCTCATGATGAGCCTGGAGGGGAGCAGGGTCACAGAGGTCATGATGAGAGGGGAAGGGCGGTGACGGGTCTCTGTGGGGCCACCCCACCCAGCCTTCTTGCCCACCTCACCATTTGGCAACCACAGCCGCCAGCTGATTCAGCCTTGAGCGGGAAAACGGGAAGTAGGTCCTGTGGAGAAGTGGTGGTGTGGTCAGCCCCTGGGGTCTCTCTCTGTCACGGGGGTGGGGTGGGGTGGGGTGGTAGTGACCCTTCGAGCAGTCTCACCCCACTCCTTCTGAAAGAACCTCTGGTTGCGCAGAGGAATAAGTCACCCACTGCTCACTGATCCTGACTCCATGCTTTGAGGGTATGCCTCCGCCCTCACTGTTTTACAGAAGAACAGAGACTTAAGAGAACGACAGTTGACTTGCCTGACGTCACACAGCCCATCCATGGTGGGGCTGGGGCCACGACCCAGCAAGATTCCCAAACTGGATAGGCAGTCTGAAGTTCCTCATGGTTAGACCTGACCAATTGCAAGGCCAGAAAGCACTTCACAGGTCAGCTGTTGGTCCCTAATTGCCCCACTCTAGGGGTGACTTTAGAGGCTGTTACAGTGCTCTGGAGCAGGGTCTGTGTGCTGTGTGACCTTGGACAAATTACAGAACCTCTCTGAGCCTCAGATTCTCCATGGGTCCTGTGGGAGTCATGATTCCTCTATCTCCTGGGGGTGGTACGAGGTAAGGGTCAAATAAACCAAAGGATGTGAAAACACCTTACAAACCTTGGTGATATACACCAAGTTCTGCAGTAAAATGATCTCTGTGGGTTGGGGGCGGGGGGGGGGGGGGTTGGCTGGGAGCTTCCCTCCAGACAACAGGAGAGTAGAAAGCACTGGGACAGCTACAGAGAGGGCAAAGGAAGGGTCCCAGAGGGAGAGCTGGCAAAGTATCCAAATTCCTGCTACTTTGCTCAGCTGTTACTTTGTTAATCCTTGTCTCCCTGCAGGAAAATGCCTTTCTGTTTGAAAATCAGAGAGTGATGCTATAATTAATAACTGTCTCCCCAAGCAGACTGTAAGCTCCTGGAGGGCCCTACCCCACTCACATTGGTCTTATTTACTAGTGCAAGTGCATGTGAAACAGAGGAGGCATTCAAGATATATTTGTTGGATGACTGGATGAATAAATGCACCCTTGTCCTAAAACTCCATCCACATTATCACACATTTACATAGAAGTTTTTTTGGGGGGTTAGTATTCATGAATGCTTGGTGAGAACCATTATCTTCAAAAGCCCCTATGGGTGATCTTTGAGGGTAGTCAGGGAGCTGGGGACATTGGGATCTCCTGCTCTAAATGGGATCCTGCACAATCGAGTTTGAGGTGGGGGGTATTTCTCTTTTTTTGAAACTTTTTTATATCGCAGTAGAGTTGATTAGCAATGTGTTAATTTTGGGTTTCTGGGGCCAGAAGCCTGGGGGAGGATTTGGAAGATAGATGGAGACCTAGTAGGTACCTGTTGATGATGGTAGGCAGAAAGCAGATGAAGAACTTCTCGGGGATGGAGATGAAGGGCAGCAGCCCCAGGTAATAGAAGAGCAGCATCCAGAACCCTCGGCTCAGTGTGAAGGAGGTGGGCATCTCAGGGTTCTAGGAGGCAAGGGGGAGTAAGGGGGATCAATCTGCTCCGGGGGGAGTGGAGAGGAGGCTTGGGCTGCAGGGGAACAATTTTTGACATTCAGGAAACCCCACCACCTACAGGAGCAAAGCCACATCTGGGCCCAGCATTCCAAGCCCTGTCCCTCTGGCATGCCTCTGCTCACACACTTCCCCTGCCTCCCCCAGCCCTACCCCTGGAGACTCTGCTCAGGGCTCCTTCAGCAACCCCAGACGCCCCCTGGCCTAGGCTGCCTGGGGAGGCGCAGAGAGGGATGGGGACTCACAGCAGCCTTGCATTTCTTCATGATGGAGCTCTTCTCTGAGGCCCAGAGAGTGATTTCGTTGCGGTCGTAGTGCCTCACCAGGCCTGCTATCTGAGGAGAGGGGGCAGGGGAGGGGGAGTCAGGCCTCCGTCCAGCCCTGGACCCTTGCCCACCCCTGCCCGCGGCACCACCTTGTGAATGAGCTCTTCATTTCGCTCTTTGACTTCCACACTCATGGGCGTCCGCGGGAACCTCCGGAACAAGTCCTCTAGACGTACCATGTGCCGGTCGGCCCCTTGTGCAAAGCGGCCTGGGGGTGGTGGGGAGAAGGATTGCTGGGGTGGGGGTAAGAGCCCCAGGGGAGGGAATGGGTCCCAGAGGAGAAGAGGGGGCAGGAAGTTGAGGGCCTGACCCTACTCCAGTAGGCTCAGCCCAGCGCATGCAGCCCATGCTCTTACCCGGTGAGAAGTAGACCTCTAGCTCTTCCTTTAAGAGGGGCAGGTCCTAGGGAGAGCAGGGAGCATGTCACCAGGAGGGGCATGGAGGGGGGTTGGTTCTCTGGGCGCAGTGGGGGCTGGGGCAAGGCCCACCTCAAAGTTCAGGCTGTCCACATCCCTGTTCACACCTGTCTGGCGGAACAGGTTTTTGTCGTGTGACACCACCACCACGCCATCCCGAGTCAGCTGGCAGTCAAGCTCCAGGAGGTCCGCTCGCTGGGCCATAGCGCTGTGAGAACGAACGTCAGTAAGTGGCTGGGGGACAGGGATGAGCCAGATGGCAGGGTGGTGGGGACGTTGAGGGGAATGTCAGGTAGTTCTGGCCGGATGTGCAGGCGGTGCACTGCACAACTCCCGGGGGCTCCAGTCACCCAGATCAGGAAGTGGAGGGCACCCCTTAGCATCATGCCTCACACAACTGGCACAACCTTACCCGGGGCATGGCCGGGCAGGTGGACTCACTTCTCCATAGCCTCCATAGTGTTCTCCAGGCGTTCTCCAGATCCTGTGGGGCAGTTATCGTGGGTTCCTGGGGCCAGGCCTCCCTCCCCCCACACCCCCTGCCCCTGCCTCATCACTTCCAGTCAGGATAGGTTGAATGGCTTCTTTTTCCCTATTCCATCTCTTGCCCTGCCATCATTATCTCCGCCTACCTTGAACTCTGCCCTCCCTTAAACATCCTGCCGTTGGGACCTACCCCTCTCTGCTGTCCACCTGCCTTGCAGTCCTCACCAGCCCAGCTCACCTCCACGGTGGGCCCCCAGGCGGGGACGGAAGGCTGGAACCCATGGTGTGTGTAGCAGACGAGGTCGGCGCAGGAAGAAGAAGGACAGCATGACATAGCTGCCCAGGGCGGGCAGGGCGTAGTACAGCAGAGGGCTCATGGCCATGCCGCCTCTCCAGGCTCCGGCAGCTGCGGAGCTCAGCTTTTCCCGGTGGACTGTGCTGCTTCACTGACTGCCTGGCTGATGTAGGCTGGCTCCACCACCAGCCACCACCACACCCCTCGGGACCTGCTGAGCCTGCTGCTGGCCAGAGGCCAGGCTGCAGGGCTGAGCTGGGGATGGAGTAGAGGTAGGAGAAGAGACCAGGCAGCTCTGGGCCTCGTACCCCAGGCCCTTCGCACAGCCCAGCCTCCCTGTCTCCGTGGCCAAACCAGGGAAATCAAGTCCACCCTCCCCGTAGCAGGTCCACTACTACACTCCTCCTTCCCACTGGTGCCTGTTGCCAGAGTATATATACACCCCTTGCCATTTCCAGAGAATCTGGGGGTGTGCAGGGTGTCCCTGAGTCACTCTAGAATCACCTCCAGCCAGTTAGACAGGAAGCCATTAGAGAAGGGACAAGACAATGACTAAGGGGGAAACTGACCCCGACTCAACAGACATGAATTGGAGCAAACTCGCAAGAGAGTGGAGGACAGAGGAGCCTGGCAGGCTGCAGTCCATGAGGTTGCAAGGAGCTGGAAACGAATTAGTGACCGAACAAGAAGACCCCATTCTGTCCAGGAGTCTAGATCCCACTCCCACCCTCAACCCTGGCTGACCAGAGGGGGAGCCGAAGGCCACCATGCCAGGTAAAGCATCGGGCTGGAGAGTCAGCGTTCAGGGCAGCAAGGGTGAGGGTCAGGGCGTCGGCGAACACAGACAGAGCCAGGCCATCCATAGACACATCTCTATATTTATATATTAGACACAGGCACAGGGGTGGGCGGGGGCCCTGGGCGCGCCACGTGCCCCCACCTCCACCTCTGCTCACCCGCACACGGAAGCAGCAGGGACATTAGATGTGGCAGCTTTGTAGGGGAGGGGTTGAGACCTGGGCCCCGCTCCTCAGGGGTACTAGCCCTTGAGCCTTAGGAATGTTCCTTCAGGGAAAACAGGGTGGGGTTTTAACGAGGCGAGAGGGGCAGGGCTGACCCTGAGTCCCAACTCGTGTCCTCGCCCCTCCCCCACCACCCCTCAGCCGGTCCGGGGCAACCAGAGCCCTGGATTCCAGAACTACCAGACACTGGGAGAGCCGGGCAGACAGAGGCCGAGCAGCAGAGGGGAATTTGCTTTGGGGCCACCTCAGCCCCTCAGGTCCTGGGTGGGGGGTGTGGCGGGAGGAGGAAAGGAAGGGCGCATTGGCCTGCCTGAGGCAGGACGCCTGAGCGAAGCGAAGGGAGGTGGCCAGGCCCGCCCTTCACCCCCGACCTGGGCTATCGGAGGGGTCTGGGTTGGGCACACGGTCCATTTTCTAACAGTCCAGCAGGGGAGGGGCAGGCAGGAGGCAGGGCCTAGACAAAAAGGCAGGCAGGAAAGGAACCATTAGCACCCGCGGCTGACCTGCCAGAGCCCTGACCCTCACTTCCCTTCTACCACCTGTGGCTGAGTGGCATACAGCTGGCTTTCCTTATCTGTCAGTGCGGGTGATATTAATACCCATTTCAAGGTACTGCTATCAGGACTAAGTGAATTGATCTAGGCAAACGTCTTGCAGGAGTTTGCTCTCATTATCAGGCTGTCTCCAGGAGACTGAGGCGCAGCAAGGTGAGGTGTCTTACACAATATCACACAGCCCTTATTAAGTAGCAGAGCTGGGCTTTGAACCCGGGTGTGTCTGCCTTGCTGTTATCAGGTTACAGCTGGCCAAAGACAGACAGGAAACAAAAGGAGGGCCGGACAGCAGTGTGGGTGCAGCCCCAACCAGGTTCCCGCAGGTATGTGAACTGCTGACCTGGACATCAGGTGCAAAAAAGCCTGGCATGTGGGTCAGGCTGGGTGCTGCTGGCTCCTCCCAAAGCAATCACTGCTCCCCCTGCCTCTCTGCCTGCCCTGGGGGAGCCAAATCCTGGCTCCGTTTCCTCAGGTGGATGAGGGGGGCCCTTCGTGACCTTGGGCTGAAGTCTGCAAGGTGTTGACATGGGGGAGACATGTGAGGCTGGGGACCGCAGGTCTCTGGCCGAGGCAGGCTCTAGCCCTTCTGTTGCCACTGAACACGTGGCTCGTGGATGTGAGCAGGCTTGTAACAGCATGGAGGCGTGTTGGGCACTCTGGTCTCAGGGTGCATCTGTGCAGAGGTGGGGGAGACACTCACCAGGCCCCAGGAGCAGAGGCAGCCAGCCAGGTTAGGAGGCCTCCAGCACCCCAGGCTGGAAGCGGGCTGTCTCCTGGAAGATGAGCTCCTTCAGTCGTTCCTTGGGTAGATCATCCAGCTCCATGTCGAAGGTGAAAGGTTCCTCGGCCACTGGCTGGGGTGGCAAAGAAGTGGGGTGGCTCAGGGCAGGGACCGAGGGAAGACCCCCATCCACCTGTCAGCCCTGCCACTAGTAGCTGGCCCACCTCATCCGTTGGGTCATAGTACTGCTCCAGGTAGGGGTGAGCCAGTGCTTCTTCCACTGTGATCCGTTTGTTGGGGTTAAAGGTCAACATCCGGTCCAGCAGGTCAAGAGCTAGGAAGTGCAGGGGTCAGAGGTCAAAGGGAAGGTCAGAGAAGCTCTCGGAAGCACTGCTTGGCTTCTCTGTGTTCAGAGGCCTGTTGGTCCAGAAGCCTTTGTGTCCCAGACAGCGGCTGGGCTCTTGTACCTTCCTCTACACCCAGTTTTTATTCACAAGTCCCCAAGTCTCTCTCACCTTTGGGGTCCGACTTAGGAAAAAGCTTGGCCCAGGCCACCTTGGTCTTGGAGGGCAGAGACTGTAGGTAGTTTCGGGCCTTCATGTTGATGATACAATTCAGGTCCTCCTGGGATGGGGAGCCCAGAATACCTGTGGGTAAGGCAGGTGACTTGGTGAACAATCTCTCCCTTCTGAGAACAGAAGGGGCCAAGAATAAGAGCCCTCCACCAACCTGCTCCAGGTCAACCATTATCTCCCAGACAATACTATGGGGGTGAAGAGCAGGGGGTCTGGATGGGGCAGCCCCAGGTTCAAATCCTAGCCCGAGCACTTCCTAAGTGTGGGGTGTATGGAGCCTTGCATTTCCCATCTATCAAATGGGGACAGTATCTGTAACTCAGTGAAACACTGTGAATGCTGCAGGGGCTCCTGGACCACACATGGTGGTCCCCCTGACCTGACTCCCGCACACTCACTGACCCTGAAATGAAGTCGCTCAGTTGTGTCCAACTCTTTGCCATCCCGTGGACTATATATAGCCTGCCAGGCTCCTCCATCCATGGGATTTTCCAGGCAAGAATACTGGAGTGGGTTGCCATTTCCTTCTCCAGAGAATCTTCCTGGCCCAGGGATGAATCCCTGGGCTCCTGCACTGCAGGCAGACTCTTTACCTTCTGAGCCACCTGGGAACTCTGACCCTAAAGAAATCTCACCTCCAGTAAGCGAGTTTCCCTCCCACTTAGCTGGCCAATCCCCCCTACCCAGAATGTGGTTGAGCTGGTCCAGGTAGTGCTTGCCAGGGAAGATGGGCCGGTTGGAGAGCATCTCAGCCAGAATGCAGCCCACAGACCAGATGTCGATGGACTTGGTGTAGCCCTGGGGAGGAGGAGAAAGTGGTGGGCTCCTGGGCCAAGCCAGCACCCCTGACCCTAGGGTCAACACCAGCCAGGGAGGCAGAGGGCAGAAACCTGGGGAGTGAATCCTCAGTTTCTTTCCATAGCCCAAGGACCAGAATAATGTGACAAGGCCCACTGGGGAGACTTCCTGCATCATGAGGGTCAGTGCTGGACTCAGAGGTGGCTCCAGGGCTTTCTGGGATTCGGTCTCTTCCCTTCAGGGGTGGGTGGGCCCCCTACCTTGGAGTTAAGCATGATCTCTGGGGCCCGGTACCAGCGTGTGGCCACGTATTCCGTCAGGAAGCCAGTGTGGTCGTGCTCGGGATCAGCAATCCGGGCAAGACCGAAATCACAGATCTAGAATACAAACCAGGCTGCTGAACTCAGTGCTCAAGGCCGCCTGGGCCCAACTAATCATATCACCATGTCTCTCCTACCCATGGCGGGAAGAGGACCACTGGTCACCCTGAAGCCTGAGACCCCAGGGGCAGAAGGAGACAGGCACGCAACCCTCAGACCTTAAGGTCGCAGGTGGTGTTGATGAGCAGGTTGGAGGGCTTTAAATCCCGGTGGAGCACATTGGCGGAGTGGATATACTTCAGGCCCCGCAGGATCTGGTACAGGAAGTAGCAGACATGGTCATTGCTCAGCTGCTGGCTCTTGAGCAATTTGTACAGGTCTGTCTCCATCAGGTCCTGCACGATGTAGCTGAGGTGGGTGCCAAAGGCCCCCCAGGTGGGGGCAGTGGGAGGCAATTGGTTAAGAAGAACAGACTCTGCTGACCAGGTTTCACATCCCTCCAGCTGATGCCCCTGGGACTCAACAGATCTGCCAGCTCATATCATGAACTGGGCAAGGCCCACACTTAGCAGGGGAGCTCAAGGCCTCTGCTGAGTCTCAGCTGGTGACCCTGAGCAAAGAATCTCAGTTCTGTGGCCTCCGTCTCCCTATTGAGAAAACGGGGATAATAAACTACGGGAAGCAGGAGACCATCCCAGCTAAGAGCAGTAACTCTAGAGTTCACCTGCCAGTGTCAATCACCCCTGCACTGCTCATTCATTCGCTTTAGGAACTCAAGCCCTGTCTGCGCCTCTCTTCCTCATCTGTAAAGTAAGGGGAAAAAAACCCTGTTCTTTAGAGAGTGGTGGTAAAGATTAGTTGAGAGATGACCCGGGCAGTGCAGCCAGCTTGGTGCCTGGCACGTTGTAAATGCTCGGCAAACGTGAACTAGTATTGCTGTTATAAAAGCCTGAACCACATGGCTGTTGAGGAGGTTAAATGAGATTATGTATGAACACCATCTGGCAGGCAATAAATGTTTGCTTAAAAATAAATGCCTGCCTTATGGGGATGCTTTGTGCAAGACGAATGAGGAGAAACTTCCCAGCAGCACGCTCCTACTCTGGGGGCTTGGCCCTACACCCGAAGACAGAGGAGTAAATGTCCTTTTATACTCTAAGATAAAAAAAGAATTAAACATAAATAAACAAATAAACGTCATGTGGCTTGTTTCTGGAAGACTCAGTTATGGCTGACTTTCAGAGTCAGCCTCAAAAGGGCCTTCTGAGAACACCTGGACCAACCCTGCTATTTTAAAGATGAAGAGGCCCGGCATGCTGCAGTGACTTGGTTAAGGTCACACGACAAGCTAGGGGTGAATGTGGAAGTTTCCTGCCCACAGTTTGTGGTGGGGGCTGCAGATAGTGCAGTACAGATCACCACTCTTGGGTGGAGGACTGGGACTGGCGGGGGTGGGTGGGGCAGAGGTGATGGGTGTTATAAGCTCCTAACAGAGCCAGGCAGGAAGTGGACCACAAACTAGGAAAGCCATGGGGCTTGGGGGAGGGCCACAAAGGCAGGTCTGTTCCTCCCTGGGCAAGGTACAAGTCCACAGGTGACTGAGGTGGGACTCTGAGCCGGAAGTCCCAGAGAGGTGACAGGTTCTTGTCTGGGGGAGGGGAGGAGGCAGCCACAGAAGCACTTGATTTTATTTCAGCTTTCTGGGCCTCAGTTTCCTCATCTGTGAAATGGAGCTGCTGAGACCCATCTCCTAGAGCAGTTGGGAGTTAGAATAGAAAACGTCAAAGCACTCGGCTTGAGCTGCACCAGACTCACAGTAGGCCCTCAAAACAGGGCAGTGTTCTTCCCGCCTGCCTTCCTGCCAGTCTGAGGACCCAGAGAAACAAGAATTGCCATCTGTTAAACAAAAGAGCTGACTGTGGGCAGAGGCTGGATCTCCTCACAGAACTGCCGATGTCAGAGGACAAAGCGTCCACAGAGCCCATCTTGCCCAGCCCCCTACAAAGCCAGCATCTAGAGAACAGACTTGCCCAAGGCCACACTGCCTGGCCGCAGCAGGCCAGGATTCAGCTGAGGCCTCCCTGCCCTCTTACACTGTGGCCTCTTGACCACTGGAAAGTTTCCTTTACTGGGTTTGTTTTGGAGGGAGGTTGGGAAGAAGGGAAGAAAAAACAAGCCCCCATTCTCCCAGCCTGGCTTTGAGGCTGGGCCTGGCCCGCCGTCTGGCCCAGGTGAAGGATACACATCCCTCATGGCTTCCAGGGTGGGTGCCCGCAGAATGTCTCGGATGCCGATGACGTTCTCATGGCGGAAGCGCAGCAGAATCTGAATCTCTCGCAATGTGCGCTGGCAGTAGGTCTGATGCTCAAAGGGGCTGATTTTCTTGATGGCCACTCGAGTCTTGCGCACGTGGTCGTAAGCTGAGCTGAGAGGGCCAGAGAGATGTTGGTGTCCAGGCCGGGTGGCCCCACCCAGGCCTTGGCAGGGCGGGGAGGGAGCAGGAGAGGGCTCTGGCCAGTCATAAACAATGCTGGTTCCTTCCTGCTGTGAAGGCCTGGGATCTCCAGGGAGAAAGCTGGGGACCAGCCAGGCAGCCCTTCGGTGACTTCACAAACAGAGGAAGAGACTGACCGCTCACTGACTTCCCCTCTCCTCAACCCTTTCCAGTCGAGCTGCCCTGACCCCTCATCCTCCCCTTCCCAAGACGGGCTCCCTCAAGCCAAGACAGGTCCAGGGGGTGGGAGATGTGGAGGACTGGACAATGAGGCAAATACAGTGAGAGGGAGGGAGTCGGAGGAGGGACTGGAGAGAAGGGAGAGGCATGGCCGGGGCGGGTGTCAGGGGGAGGTTCCTGGGCAGCAGAGCTATGGCCAGATGAACAAAGGCCCAGAGCACCCAGTGCGGATAGGAGAACTCGCAGACCCCTCCTAAAAGTTGCAGGAAGCTGTTCCTGGACTCCTCACGGCTCACTGGGTCCCTGGCCCCAGGCCCAAAGCCCCACCCCACCCCGCCCAGCCCTGAGCTTTGCTCTTTTTTCCCAAACTCCTTGGCAAGCCTCACTGGGGGGTGATCCAGGGCATCCTCTCCCCAGTGAGGGGACCCTCTCTCCTTCTTCACTAAGGATATCACCTCCCCAAGAAGACTGATTCTCTTCTCACCCCGTGTCTATGGGGTCCCCAAGGTCCCCAGAGCTCCCCCACATACACTCAGATACCCTACCCTTCATTATTGAATAGTCGGTTCAAAGCTCCCACACCTCCTTTCCTGAGACCTTACGCAGTGACCCCCTCCCCCAGAAAGCACTCAAAGGCCCTCTGCCCGGGACGCTCCACAGCCTCCTGAAGCCCCAGCTTCTTCAGGATGCTCAGAGTCCGCAAGGCCCAGAGAGTTCTCAGCACCCCTCCCCACCTCCTCCCCAGAGACGCCCCCTCCCCAAGAACGCCCCTCACCTGACCATGCCGTACGCGCCCTCGCCGATGTACTGCAGCTGCGTGTAGCGCGGGCCCACGTCGAACGGCTGCCCCTTTACTATCTCCACTTCCCCCGGGACCCCCGGGCCGACCCCATCAGTTCCCCTGGGCTCCCCGCCCCCGCCCCCCTGAGTCGCCGCCGCCGCCGCCATCTCCACTCCTCCCCTCCCGCCCGCCCGCCTCCCCCCGGCGGCCCCGCCCGAGGCCCCGCCCCTTCCCGCCCGCCCTCTCACCCGCGGAGCCGCGCGCGCCAGGCCCCGCCCCCGCCCGCCCCCGCGGCGTCACGTGACCCTCCCCGCCGTGCGCGCGCGCCGGTTTCGCGCCGCTGGGGCTGTGGTCCCTGGCACCTGTCGGCCTCGTCTGCTCTAGTCAACGTAGGAGCTCCCCAGGGCTGTCTCGAGACTGTCCAGACCCTCCCACCCTTCCCCCACCGAATGCTGACCGGTAGGGCGGCCCGGTGACCTCACCCAGAGCCACCTAGCAAATGAGTGCTGGAGCCGGGACCCAGACCGGGCTACGTGGCCCCGCTGCCCCAACTCAGCCCGAGGAGTGGCCCGGGGCTCGAGGTGGAACCTCCTGGAGCCAGGCCCGATGCTGAGTGATACGATGCTTATTTCATAGTAGCCGTGGGAGGTGGCTTCCTCACACGTGTGGCCTCTTTAACAGATGTGGAAACTGAAGATGACTGGGCAAGGTGACTTGATTGCTGGAAAGCCCAGGCGTCTTGACTCCCTGCCTAATGGTTTTCGGATGGAGACCTGTCAAAGTGGGCTAGGGACCGGACCTCAGCAAGCTGGCAGTGCCTGTATCCTGAGGACAGATAATCCCAGCCTACCTTTACATGGAGGCATAGGGAAGAGGTGAGAGCTGCGTGGACTGGGTTTAGTGAAAATACACTCTCAGGCTTTACTCAGAAACAGCAGGATAGCTAACATTTTTGTTGTCCTTGGGTTTGACAAAAATTGGAACCCTGTCAAGATCATCATCTTTTGCTTCTGCGCTAGACTTTATAGTTTATACACCATTTGGTCCACTTCAGTTTCTTCATTAGAACAACCCCATAGTATAGGTGTCATCTGCTTTTCTGAGCTGGATGAGCTGGGGGCCACGTCTGTCTTGTTCAGTGCTGTAGCCCCTACCCACCCCCATCCCTGCAGTCAAACGCAGACACTCAAAAATGTTGGAATAGGTGAATTAAGTTTTACAGAATGGAAAATCTGAGAGTTGGGGAGCTGAGACCCAACATGTATCTTCTGACACACAGGCAGAGGTTCTTTTTAATTGCATTCTGTCTCCCAGACTGTTAAAACTGAGGAGAGGGCCCTCAGAGACCATCCAGTCCATCTCCTTCACTTCACAGTGAAGATGTGAGCTGGGAGCTTCACAAAATACATCTCGTAGGCTTCAGTAAGAAATCACGTTGTTTTTGTCTTCCTTGGAAGCTGGGAGTAGGTCCTTGTATGCATTAAAGGTCAAGAGACAAAGTGGAACAATAATTATGATTCTGAAATTGCTCATAATTAGATCTGCAGTCAGGCATTCTAATTCAGATTAATGACACTGAGAGTTGCTGGTTCCCAGTAACCCACAAGTCAGTGAAGGTTAAAGACGTGCTAATTAGATCAATGGTTTTTTTGTCGGTGGTGTTATTCATTTGATAAGCTATTGACTGGTACTGTGTGCAAAGCTCTGAGCTAGGAACTAGGGCTGATAAAAGATTACTGGATAGTGTGAATTAGTGGTTAAGAGCAAGAGCTCTCTGGAGTCAGGTTGCCTGGATTAAATCCCATTTAGGCCACTTGTTGTGTTATCCTGGGCACTTTACCCCACTGGCGTTTCTACTTCCGGAGTTTCTCTTCCACTGAAGATGCACAAACAGAAATCAATGTAACCCAGAATGGATGGATGTAATATGTAGGGTAAGCTCAGGGGTGGACAAGATCACTCTGGGGATCTCCCCCAACTGTTAGGAATGAGGTTGCACAGCAGGAGTAAATGGCAGGCTAGCGAGGAGCAAAGCTTCATTTGTATTTACAGCCGCTCCCCATCGTTCACGTTATTGCCTGAGCTCCACCTCCTGTCACACCAGCGGTAACATTAGATTCTCATGGGAGTGTGAACCCTACTGTGACCTACGCATGTGAGGGATCTAGGTTGCAAATTCCTTATGAGAATTATCATGAAACCATTCCCTACCCTTGGTCCATGGAAGAACTGTCTTCTATGGAACTGGTCCCTGGTCCCAAAGAGGTTGAGGACTGCTACCCTAAAGAAGTGAGGCGGGGATAATGGAGGAGGTAGCATTGCATCACTGAAAAAGAAGCAGAGTTTCAGAAGGTCAGGATAGAGCAAAGGCTTCAAGAAGAAGGAGCAGGGTGAACCATGGCACGGAGGCAGGAGCACGAGTTGTTCAGTGTCTGCAGTGTGAAGTGTTAAGGGGAGTTTAGGCTGGAGAGATAGGTTGGGGCCACATTGAGGAAGGCCCCTGATTCCGGCAAGGAGTTTGGATGTTACTCAGTAAGCAGTAAAAAGCCTTTCAGGGACTTTTGCCAGATAATTTTGCAACTACTGGAGAATATAGTGACTCAGAGAAAACACCATGGAGTTCAGCGTGGAGCCAGGTTTCCTGAGTAGGAGTGAGTTTCCCGGCATGGGAAAGGCTGGTGTATCCGGAGGGGTGCCTGCTACCTCAGCGGTATCTGAGTCTCATTTCGAGACGTGTGACTGAGATTGCCCTCTAGTGGCTGAGGTTGGTACTTCCCTGGAGATTGGGTTGGGATTTCTGTCTGTTCCATAGATTCGTACTCAATTAATGGAGACTGAACAACTATTCTGTGCTAGACACTTTTTTTTATAGTTGGAGACGTCAGTATTGTACTTTTTTTCATTTTTTGGTTGTGCTCCGCAGCTTGCGGGATGGTAGTTCACTGCCTAGGGACCAAACCTGGGCTCCTGCAGTGAAAGCAGTGAGTCCTAACCATTGGACCATCAGGAAATTCCCTGTGCCAGGCACTTGTTTTTTTTAATTCTTTTTGGCTGCTCTGGATCTTTGCTGCTACACGAGGGCTTTTCTCTAGTTGTGGTACATGGGCTTCTCATCGCGGTGGCTTGTCCTGTTGCAGAGCACAGGCTCTAGAGCATGCAAACCCAGTACTTGGGGCACACAAGCTTAGTTGCTCCACAGCATGTAGGATCTTCTGGGACCAGGGATCGAACTCCTGTCCCCTGCATTGCAAGGGGATTCTTAACCATTGGACCACCAGGGAAGCCTGTGCCAGGCACTGTTATGTACTTTATCTCTGATCGTCCTTCTAGAAGTAGATACTATAAACGTTTAACAGAAAAAAAAAAAGCAGCTCACTGAACTGTGGAGTTGGAAGGAACTTTAGAATCATTTCCTCTAGCTCACTGCATTGTTAAAGTTTTTCTAATGCCTGCTCTAGCTCTGGATCTACCCAGACTGAGTCTTATTTTATTTTTTGGTAGCGCAGCACGTGGGATCTTAGTTCCCCAACCAGGGATCACACCTGTGCAGCCTGCATTGGAAGCATGGAGTGTTAACCACTGGACCGCCAGGAAAGCCCCTAGACTAAATCTTAAACCAGCTCTCATCTCTTTGTGATGTGAAGGTCACAGGAGAGGCCAGTTGGTAATTTTCCCAGAGTAACACAAGAGAGTAACATTTGAAGAACACAAATGAACAGTCCCATTTCAACTAACTCAGCTCTGCAGCACAAACTGAGAAGGGAGAAAATGTTCAGAAATAGACGTCAGAACACAGTGAATAATTTATTAAGATTTAAGTACTGAGCTGATCTCTTTTTTAAATCCAAGAAACCTCATACTGATTTTCTTGTGGCACTTCTTCATGTATTAGAAATTGCGTCTGTGCATGAAGTCACTTCAGTTGTGTCCGACTCTTTGAGACCCTGTGGATGGTAATCTAGCCAAAAAAAAAAGAAAAAAGAAGACTCCTTTCCATTTCCAGGATTAGTTCAAATACCACCCTTTTATGAAGTGTTTCCTGGTATGCTTCTGCTATGCATCTGCAGCTCTTATGTCTTAGAGCAAATGTGTATGATACTTATTTATGGGCTTATCTTGCTTTTCCTACTAGATGGTAAAATCTTGAAAGCTGCAAATGTTAGTGTCTTTACTTGTCAACCCTCTCCAGTACCAAGAGGTGTTTTGCATTCAATAAATAATTGTTAAAAGAGAGAATTGAGTATTTCTGGAATGGCCTCCACACCCTTCGTCAGCTGGGATGCACTTTTCTGCATGAGCTCAGGGTTGACTGTGTTCCTGTTAAAAACGCAGCACCCAAAATAGAATACCATTTTCTATATGTAGCCTGACCAGTGGGAGGACAAAGGAGTATTGCTTCCTTTGTATTGGTCCAATATTTTATTCTCTTCCACACAGAGCTTCTCCCTGAACCTCTAATCTAAAATATACACTGTTCATATGCCTCCCTCATGGTGTCCTTCTTCTTTCATGAGACTTATCACAGTTTGTCAGCGATTCATTTGTGAAGTGATAGAACACTGTAATTAGAAGTGTGGGGGCTGCAGGTTCCCTTCTCTTTCTGCTCCTGTGAATTCACTTTCCAGAACTGTGGAGAGATGAGGTATACTCCTATTAACTGCAGAAGCTTCGGTTATATTATTCCAACGCATGTTGAGTACCTTAGGGCCAGGCTGCTTCTTGTTCAGTCGCTAAGTTGTGTCCAACTCTTTGCATGCCAGGCTTCTCTGTCCTCCACTGTCTCCCAGAGTTTGCTCAGATGCATTTCCACTGAGGTGGTGATGCTGTCTAACCGTTTCATCCTTTGTCGCCCCCTTCTCCTCTTGTCCTCAATCTTGCCCAGCATTAGGGTCTTTTCCAGTGAGTCAGTTCTTTGCATCAGGTGGCCAAAGTATTGAAGTTTCAGCTTCAGCATCAGTCCTTCCAATGAATATTCAGGACTGATCTCCTTTAGGATGGACTTGTTGGATCTCCTTGCTGTCCAAGGGACTCTCAAGAGTCTTCTCCAACACCACAGTTCAAAAGCATCAAATCTTCGGTACTCAGCTTTCTCTGTAGTCCAACTCTCACATCCATACATGACTACTGGAAAAACCATAGCTTTGAATAGATGGACCTTTGTCAGCAA